CATCAGATCGCTAGTATCAATCAACAATTTTTGTCACCAGAGTGGACAGACCACGACCTCTTAGGGTTCTCATTCAAGTATCAAGACTCATCTGATCGTGGACCTGGTTCTTGGAAAGCGAATCCATTCTTAGCTCGAAACAAAGAGTTCAGGCAAGCTTTAGCACTTCATTTAGAATCATGCATGGAACGTTTTACAGAAATCAAACAATGTGCTAAACCGCAACAGCAATGGGATTGGATTAAAGGAGAGGTAAAGCTTTTTGTGAAATCCTATCAGAAGGAAGATCTGAACTGGAGGAAAAAGCAATTTCATAAATTGCAATCTAAGAGGAACAAAGCAATGCGGCATCAGAAGCATAGAGGACTGATATTTCAAGGCTTGGATCATATCAATTCCTTAATCCAGTCTTTACAACAGTCGATAGCAGAGATCGAGATTTTAAAGTCTGGTAAGTTTTGGAGAGAACATGGAGAGAAGTCTACAGGCTTTTTGGAGCGGACACAAGTATCTCGACAAAATCAGCGAACCCTCATTGAATTGAGAGATCCAGTGACTGAAGAGCTTTGTCAAGAGCAACATGATATTTCTCGTATAGCAACTAAATTTTATACCTCGCTATTTACTCCTTCTCCCACCGACACTGTAGCTCTTAGGGCTATGACTCGATCTATCCCTAGTCACTTGAAGATTTCCTCAGAACAACAGGAGAAACTTATGCAGCCTATCGATGTTGATGACATACTCAACGAGAGCAAGCGCACCCCTCGTAAGAGTAGTCCAGGACCAGATGGACTGCCATATGAGATTTTGTATTTGGTTATAAAATTCCCTCCATATCATGATCTGATATCGACTGTCTATAATGACGCTTTGCAGAAGAGTAAGTTTCCTCAGTCATGGAATGAATCAGTCATGTGTCTGCTGTACAAGAAAGGTGATCCTGCGGATATGAAGAACTATCGTCCTTTGTCCTTAGCAAATACGGATTACAAACTGTTCACACGTATCGTCAATCGTCGACTCATGGAGGTATCTTCTCGTCTTATTAGCCGTCATCAATTGGGGTTTATTCCTGGACGGTTTATCGCTGAAAATGGTATAATCTGTCAATTGCTAATGGAAGACGCTCAAAAAAAATGGTCGATCGCTGAACAACTGGATAATGATCCTGATTTTAGTACCTTGAATGCTGATATTGGTCTTCTCTTGGATCAAGAAAAGGCTTACGACAGAGTGAATTTACACTACTTGAAGAAAGTGATGAAAAAGTTTGGCTTCCCTTCCCCACTGATCAAATGCATTTACAAGTTAATGGGCGATAATCTTATCCGAATCAACATCAATGGTCATACCTCCTCCAAAGTTGCTAAATTAAGCGGATTGAAACAGGGTGATCCTCTCTCGCCTATTCTGTATAATTTGGCTTTTGAACCTTTCTTGCTCTCTATTCTCCGTGGTCGTCAATTTCAAGGCTACATAATGGGTACTGAACGGACGAAGCTTCTATTTTACGCTGACGATGCTCTGGTTTTTGTACATTATTCCACTGGTCTTGCTCGGCTACAACTGCATATGACTCGAGATTGCGAAGCCTCGAATGCAAAGTTTAACCATGAAAAGGTGGAAGCCTTCTCGGTGTCTGGCAGAAATACATGGACTTATTGGGAAGCTCCACTCTCTCAAACGGGTATCAAGCATTTGCACTCTGTCGAAGATGATGAACCCTTAATTTATTTGGGTTTTCCATTGATACAAAGCCGTTTTCAAAGAGTCAATTTTATGGTTCTATAATAACAAAGGTTAAGGCTGCCATACAAATTCACTCTACACGTTCATTGTCTGTTGTTGGCCGAGTCACTGTCTTAAATTCACTGATATTGCCCAAAATATGGTATATCTTGCGGATTACTCCGTTAGCGCTTGCTGATTTCAAACAATTGAGATCTTTGGCCATTCGATTCTTGTGTAAGAATATATTTCCTGTTATTCCTTGGAAAGTATGGACGCTGCCAAAAAAAAGGCGGACTTGGAGTAATTGATATTCAGATTCAGGCCTCGACTTTATGTTTTCGCTGGCTGCATCCTTTGTTGGCGTATGATCAAGATACTATTGATGCTCATCCGGTTTCGCACTTACTTAGCCTTCATATTCGTAATATCAATGACTGCAAATATCATCAGGTTCCATTGCTGCTTCCTTCTCGTACACAAGGGTTGAAAAAACAAAGAACTGGCACTATTGATATGCTATATCGTGCCGTTGATTGTCTTCCTCGATTATTTGCTAATGCTCGCCTTAATACTGCTCCGCTATGGTCCTACCTTTGCAAGCTGTGCTCTACGTTCCTCTTTATTCGTCCTTTGTTGTCCCCTACGTGTCAAGAAAATGATGGTGTCAGATGTCTTTCAAGTTGATGCTAGACTCAACTTTGTTCACTGGAAAGATACTCGTGATCCTTCATTACTTCATTGGAAGCGTACTCCCTCCACAGTCTTCAAAAGTCTTGCATCTGGGAGTTTGAAACTTCAGCCATTTTTTAGCTCTGTATGTAGTCCTGCTCCACTTGAAGACTCGACGGTCTCATTTGCGCCCTTGATCAACCAATTTCGGTTTCAAGATGATCAAGGTATTGGTAGTGTCAAGGCATCGGCTAAGACATTTCGTCAGTCAGTTCTCTCGTCTATGGCTCCTCCTTTGGCCTTGAGAAATATTGTAGAAGTGAAATGGAAATTCTTTTGGTCTCTGTCTCTTACCGCCATTCAACGTAATGCGACATACCGGTATATCTTGGGGTGTATTCCTCATCGTCGATTTTACATTTTATTATGCCTCGTGTGTTTGACTCTCCCTTCTGTCCGGTGTGCTTAACTACCACTGACTCGATAGCCATATGCTCTTTCATTGTCCAACTAAAGAGAAGGTATGGCAGGAAATCATCATTGAGTTTCTTTGGCCTAACACCTCAATATCTGATATCAAAGAGGCTCTTCTGTCCCTGGACTTCTCGTACATCTGGTGCTGTCAACGGAAAGGAATCAAACCATACAGAATCCTCATAATTACTCTTTCACAAATCTGGCTTGCTCATATGAGATTTATCTTTGACAAGACTCCCATTGTACCCACGGCCATATTAGCAAGCATCAGACCATTGAAGAGGATCAATGCCATTCAATCATGTAACTTTTTTTCTCTTTCTATCTATTTTATTTTATTTTAGTTTATTTTGTCTAGTATATTTCGTTTTATTTTATTAACTTTCCTTTTAATTGCACCCGCCTCTTCACTTTGACTATTACTCTTAGTGTACACGGCTCAATCAATAAACACATTTAAAAAAATAAAAAAAAAAAGATTATATCCAGCTTCTACTTTACATTTTTTTATACAGAAAACTGCCCAATTAAGGGAATCTCTTCCGGTGGATCATACTCTATTCTTAGCTTATATCGACAAACCTACTCAAGTCTCTTCGATTCGACCTTCAACGTTGTCTGCCTGGGTGAGACTCTTAATGGACAAATCTAGTATCGATGCCACTAAATTCAAGGCACACTCAATCCGATCAGCATCGAGTACAAAAGCTGTCAAAAAAGGACACTCTATCCCAGAAGTTAAGAAACATGCAAATTGGAGCCCACACTTAAACGCCTTCGAAAACTTCTATTATAAACCAACGCATCAAGACCATTCAAGTACGGCTATTACCCATTCAATTTTTTCTCAACCGGAAAACACTATCACATTTGCAGACGGAATGGAGCCAACTGAGATTGTATTAGGAACGACAAACAATCCTTATGTTGGCGGAACAAAGTCGAAAAATGTGATAGATGCCCTCCCTTGGTATCGTCAATTCTTCTAAATCAATTTATATGTTATCTTTATCTCACTATTATTAGCTATATATACCTCTTCCCAACCTGGAAAAAAAATTGAATTATGCTTAGGCAAGAAAGATATAGGGAAGAAAAAGAAAAAAAGTATTATACTTAAAAGGAAAATAAAGCGTGGCTCTGAGAGCATCTATCACATTTTTCAACTTTGTTCCGCCAACATAAGGATTGGGTTGGGCAACGTGGTTATAAACCTCTCTTTTTGCCACCTTATTCTCATTTTTTTAAAATCCGATCGAAGAGTTTTGGTCCAAGCTGAAGACTGTTGTAAATAACGATCCCTCTTCTATCAGGCATAATGAAAAAATCTCTGATCGTATTCGCAACGCTTCATTTTACATCAGCAGATAAGGCTGCGAGAATTGGATAAAGCTTTCTTTGACGTTCTGGCAGAGATGCTTGAATTGTGAAAAAGGAGGCAAAATAAAAGCATGTATTAAATTTCTTTATTGGTGACCCATTCTCATTGGCCGGCCCATTTTCATTTCAAGCTGACCAATTTTTTTTTTTATTGGGCCAATCTTTTTTCGTCGACTGTATTGGGCTTTGGTGCAGTGACAAAAGTTTTAGGTCTTTGTTTTATAGATCTAGTGACTTAAAAAGACAACAACCTTACTACTAAAGTATTGAGAAAATAGACAAACATGTATATGAGTTTTTTCATTCCTAGCATACCATTTCTATAATACAATTGGCAAGCAACTATACTTTTCAAAAACTACGGCTTTTGACGCACATTTTGAGTATTTAAGCTTGTTGGTATCTTCATTTCTCGTGTTGTAGTGTCAAAAAGAAAGTCGAGAGCTTCCAAACTGACAACTTTTATGAGTAGTAATCCTTTGGTCAAAAGGTCAAAATGGCCATTTTTCACAAGTCGCTTTTCTTTTATCCAAATGAATTCCAAAGGTACCTTATGGGTTAGGAAACATGGTCTGAGGGTAATTTGCTTTCAAACCATCCAAGAAAAAGACAAAATTCCTTTTTGGTTGAGTTCAACATGATAGTAGTTTCAAGGAGCGATAAAGAAGGAGCCTCTTTATGCAATGAAGCCCAATCTTATTGGTACTTCAAGTCTCACAGAATGTCTAAGCGGACACCAATCGTTTTACATTAGTTTATTATAAATATTACAACAACAAAAAATCTAGATAGCTGATGGAGAAATCTTTAACTGTTCAACAGGAATAGGATCAAAGTTATAGATATCAATGCCTCTTGACAAAAGTTCTTGTTCGCAGTGTGGTGGAACAAGTCTTCGAATCAAATCAGGACGAATGGATAATTCTATATATATATATATAAATGAGAACACATCATACTGTATGATTCGTTTACCTTCTCGGGTGAAATTCAATACAGGTGGTAAAGGTTGACCATTAGGCAATCGAGTGTTTGGGTCTCGAATAGGATCAAAAAAGGGATGACACAAGGCTTCAATAGCTGTAATTCTTTGTTGAGGATGATATTGCAGCATACGACTTAACAAGTCCACTGTTTCTACAGTAGCATGGGTAAAGATCTAATCTTGGATGAGTATCTATATTTTTTTTTCTTTTGTTTGATAGGATTCACTCACTGTAGACAAAGGGTGAGGTTTAATCATAGGGAATCGATGCTCAACATAACTAGCATTCATAGCAGCAATTTGATCTTTGGTAGGTGTTCCCAAAATCTTGATAATCTCTACCAATTGATCAATACCACTCTCACCTGGGAAGAAAGGTTGTCCTAAAATCAATTCTGCCATCACACATCCTGTTGACCAAACATCAATATTTAACGTATAGTTGGTAGCACCAAAAATCAATTCTGGAGCACGATAATAACGCGAACAAATATAAGATACATTGGGTTCACCAGGTACCAAGACTTTAGCACTAAACAATTGTCAGCCCTTCTTTCTTTCTTTCTTTCTTTCTTTCATTCTCTCTCTCTCTCTCTCTCTCTCTCTCTCTCTCTCTTCTTTTTTTTTTTTCTTTAGTTTGCTTGACATGGACATTTACCTTCCAAAATCACACATTTTACAGATACCACTGTTTGGATCAAGCAAGACATTTTGAGGTTTGATGTCACGATGACAAATACCGAGTGAATGAATATAAGCCAAGGATCGAATGACTTGGTACATGTATAACTGAACAAGAATCAAAGGCATATGTTGCTTTGCCTTAGCATAGTGTCGAGTGGCTCTATACAAAGTATCGGGTACATACTCCATCACCAGATTCAAATAGACCTCATCTTCTTTGTTTTCAACTTGATTGTAAAAATAAGATTTTAACTGACAGACATTAGGATGATCAACCAAACGCATAATCTGCAACTCACGATTCTAAAACAAAGTTCAATACGACCCTTGTCACAAATGATATGTTTACCTTGAACCTTCGATCCTGCAATACTTTTTTGATAGCAGCATCTTCATTTGTCTCCACAAGTCGCGTTTGATACACAACACCAAAAGACCCATTACCCGTGATCTTTTTATTTACATATTCGATTTTGATTTGTTTTCCAGTCTTTGCGTCTTTGGCAACTACTTTGATTGTCTTTTCATGATGAGCTAAAGAAAGCATATCCATATTTAGTATAAGTCATGGTTGCTATGTTTAGTAGGCTACCTGTCATTTGTTGAGAATAAAAAAAAAGAGAAAAAGAGAGAAAAAGATAGAGAAAAAAACAAGAGGGTTATAAACGCACTGTCGGAGATGCAGAGAGAGAGAGAGAGAGAGAGAGAGAGAGAGAAAGAGAGAGAAAGAGAGAGAAAAAGAGAGAAGAGGAAAGAAATAGAGTCACTTCTTTCTTAAAGTGATATACGATTGGATATGACAATCTAATAACAGATATTTATGCAACTAGATAAATAAGCATCTTGAAAGAACCAAATCAATGACGTATACAAATGAGCTTCTATGTCTTTACTTTGAGTTGCTCTAGTCATTCATACTCCGTCAAGACAATACCAAAAATAGAAAGAAGCATGGGTCAAACAGAACAGAAACAAAGTGCCTATATATAGATGAAATGCATAGAAAAGTCCCGGTGGATAAAAATATTGCATTCAAGCAAATAATAAAAATAAGAAGGGAAAATATCTTTTGCTTTTCTTTTTTTTCTTTTATGCCAAACTCACTTGTTGTTGAAGAATCTATTCATTCTGGAGATAGTCTCCATCGTATTGTTGCTATAAGCATTGATGAAAACTCAGCCGAATATATTTATGATTGGGCAGTTAATAATTTTATCAATCCTGCGACTGATTTAGTCGTACTTCTGAACTGTCGTACAGTTGATCCTCCTTCAATGGCACCCTATATTAACCCAACTGGATTTATGGAAGAATTTGACGATACTAAAAAACAAAAGAGTCATAAGTTACTTAAACATTATGCAGACAGAATCAAGGCAAAACAGGTAAGTACACAATTCACTGTATTCGCCATAAGATTGATATAGAATGTATTAGGTAGCTGTTCGGGCCATTGCTTTAGCAGGTGAACCCAAACAAGAGATTGTACGCAAAGTAAAAGAACTGAAAGCGGACGTACTCTTGATTGGCTCCCGACAATTGGGTGCAGTGAAACGAACCTTGTTAGGCAGTGTGAGTGATTACTGCGCACACAATGCACATTGTACTGTAGTGACCATTAAAGCAAATCCTACACATCCTGAAGGCAAACATGAAATGAGAAATATCTTTCATAGAAAGTCACAATAGTTTTATTCTTCTTTACAGGCTACACATTCAGACTTGTCATTCGATCTTGATCTAGTCCCATGTCAATATCTAAATAAACTTGTTCAACTCACTTTTTTTCTCGGCAAGCTTTTTGAAACTCGTCCCATTCTTTAAGGCATTTCGACCTGTCATTGTTGTTCTTTTCAAGACATGCTTTTAAAGGATTGTAATCACACGAAGCCACTTTATTTCCAGGATCCATAACAAAAAATTAAAATCAAAAAAAAAAAAGGTGAGTTGCTTTGAAATTTGTCTAAACCACCTATCCAGACAAAATCATCTTCTTTCAGGTGGAGCAATGATTTTGATCTTAAGAAAAGAAAGCGCAAGCAACATTCATTCTCTTTGAAGACGGCCAACTATACCAGGATATATATAACTTGGCTTTCATTGTCCATCATGATAGTGTGTCCATCAGGAAATATAAGAGGCGAGGATTGTATTTCTTGTTCAAAATCCAGAGCAACATAACACGGATCAAATTGTCTGTTAAATCACCGCCTGCTAAATCAATGCGTCTGGTAGCATGTGTGAGAGAGAGAGAGAGAGTATTGTCTTGACAGACAGGAACAGTGTGCGATACACCATCACCTGAATCAAGCGCCATGCCTGTGGTTTGATCAGAAGTGCACAGAGACAAACAAAGTAGGCGTGTTGAATGATTTGAGTCTTTTTTTTTTTCACGATTAGATGTAGCATTCCAAAGGTGTTTCTGCCAAGAGCATAGGGTGTTCTTTAGGAGGCACAACCCAGCTCATTGTAGAAAGTATGGTGCCTAATATTTTCCATATCGACCCAGTTGGTGATAATACCATGTTAGGATGATGAAGGTTCAAGATACCTCATTTGATTTGGGCATTCATGATCAATATGTGTCATTTTGGCCTATGCCAATCATGATACTTTGATGATGAGTACGCCCTACAATGGAAGGGGAATACTTACATGTTATTTAGGATAATACAAAAAGAGAGTATTTAGAGTGTAAGGAGGAGCATCATCATCATCATCACCAGCAAAACCAGCTTTACACAGACCAAAGCCATTGTCCATGACCCACTTGACCAAATCTATATTTTTAAATTACAGCAACCATAGTGAAATAATAATAAGAAATTCTACATAGTCCTTCTTGGCTGACTTGTTGTCATGGCTTAGCTTACATATGGCTTGAAACTGTGCCACCTGCAGCCTTGGTTCGTTGATTATGAGCATGTTCTCTTTACTGATCTCATCAACTCCGAATATGTCATTCCCAACCAAATCTTTTTCATAGCGCCATATAAAAAATTAATTGGATAGAAGAGAAATAAGGATCTGAGTGGTACAGAAAAGGAAAACATTGATCTTTCAAGATAGAATATGACTGATAGGTTATGTTGTGTGTGTGTGTGTGTGTGTGTGAATGAGTAATCTTTTTCTTTCTTTCTTTCATTTGTTTAGGGGTTTTATTTTGCTTTAGAATACTTGAGCTTGACTTGTGTATATATGAGCTAAAAGGACAACGTGCACGGTCCTCTGGTTGCTTGTTAGAAACATCATCTTGCCCACTCGGTAATGATGTGAGAAAAACGTGCGGGCTTTTATTGGTTCATCCCTCATCTACTTTTTTTTTTTTGAAGGCAATCTCCGCTAGGCTTGCTCATACCCTGAAGTCAAGATTACTCACACTCCTGAGAGTATAAATAGGAGTCCATCTAGATTTCTTGTGCCTTTACTTTTATTTTTTTAACTTATTATAAACATGGATCTCTCTTGGTGTATTATTTGCGATCGTCATTGTGTTGAAGACAACGTAAGTGTTTATCTATACATTTATGTACTTATATGTTATATTAGTTGTATTGCTCTGAATTATGCCGTGTTCAAGATGCTAACCACAATCACTCTACCATTACCAAACAAACCAAGACTGCTGTTACTCCACCATCTTCGCCATTATTGGATCCTTTCTTTTCATCATTCAATCATCATGATAGACGTACTTCAATTACCATCAGCAAGTCTTCTCGTGTGCATTATGATATGTTTGGCTCTATCAGCAGCAGTCAATCCAGTGTGCCGCGCTATAGTCTTTCTGATTAAGTTCAACATCACTGTATATACCCTCCTCCCAAACTACTGAGACAACTTTTCAACAGCATTTATTAATTATACATACAACAATTTGCATCGACGATTTTTTATTTTATTTTATTTTCTTTTTTATATCTTGACGTTGACTATAAACAACCTTGAAAAGACTGTTCCTCTCTTTTTTATAATTGCTGTGAACTTGTTTGTCCTACATGCATGTATATATATATATAAAAACACTTGTGTTTTTTGTATGTTCAAAAGTAATGTTACTTTTGTGTATATATATATATATATATATATATATGTGTGTGTGTGTGTAAAAGAATAAGTTCATAGTGATTATATAGATGAGTCCTTGAGTTGAGATAAAAATAGGCTTTTGTTTATTGTTACACATTTTCTTGCATTCAAGGAGGATGGCATAATGAATATCAAAAAAGAGTACTTTTTATTGAATGTCTATAAGAAATCTAGGGTGTTGAATCAATACTTGAGTTGCTAATGTTGCATAGATGGAGGTGCCACATATGTCGCTTTTTAGTGGCAAAACTGACTTTGCATTCTTTACAGAAATGCCATTTATCACTTTCAAGAGAATCATTGGTTTTGAAGCTAGAATCATCATCATCATCAGGCAAAAGAGAACAATGACTGTGAGAGCGAGGCAAGAACTTTTTCTGAAAAAAAGAAACGATACGGTTACTTGAAGAAGGGATCATGGAAAGGAAAGGAATGGGCTTGCAAAGAAAGAGTAAAAAAAAAAAAAAAAAAAAAAAAAAAAAAGTCGTTTATTTATATAGATTCATGTTCATTATCTTTTCTATTTTCTTTGTTATATTTGTACTCCTTAGGTCTCATTCTTGTTTAGGCCAAGTTTTACTTGACAGTCAATGATGAATTCTTTATCTTTCAAAAGCTTCATTTTTGATTATACACTTTTTAGGAGATGCAGATTTAATATGACACATATTAAAGTTATAAAACTCAGACATTTTCAGAGCCATAGTTAAACAAATTAAAACAGTTGCTGTCTCTCAAAGAAGATGGGAGTCTATCCTATTCAAGAGAGAGGGGGGGGGTAAAGTTCATCATCATTATTTAGGAAGGATCAATTCATGTCAAGAAATAAAACAAGTATGAAGTCTTTTTTTATTTTTTATTTGTTGGTATCTTTAAGTGATTACCAGGTAGACAATTGCCTACAACATATAGCAGCATCTCTTCTTCTTACACGTGCTAGACATCAAGCATGAACACCTACCTCATATACGCCTTACGCCTTATTTTTGCCATGACTCTGGCATCGAGATACTCCTCTCTCTCTCTCTCTATGATGTGTTGCTTCTGAGTCATGATGATGGGCAGCCAATACGCTTTTGTTGGTCTGAACTGTCTTTAGATTCTTAGGCCATCTGGATCAATGGCGCTCCATATAACCTATACCGTGCCTCGGGAAGATTGTCGGGATAGGTTATTGAAATTGGCATGGCGCCAGGGAGATCAGACAAAACGAGTATCAGAAGATCTAAAAAGTGCAGTACAAATATGGATATTCCGCGGATCAAAATACGCAAAGTGCGGATCCTAAAGATGGATAAACAAAGAAAAAAGGGTTCATAGCCAAAGGTAAAAAAGAAATACGCTCTATAGTCTTGATGAAAGTATCCTAGATCAAAGAAGAGTAGAACCTAACAATAGACAGTATATATATTTATGATTGCTAGAGACATTCTATTTTTTTTTATATTTTTATGCGCCGTAATAGATGCGCTCATACTTGTCGAATGATATAAATGTATAAATTTAGCTTGTTTTTTTTTTTTTTTAATCTTTCTCTTGATTATGAACATGCATCGACGTATTATTCAGCCATTAAAACAGCCCTTTTTAGCTCGGTTCCATACCAATGCTATTTCAAGAAACAAACCCCTTTATTCGTCATTTGATAATACAGGTAACTATCCATAAAATAAAGACAAGTCATACTGAAATGATCCAAGGTACCTCTTTACCTACTCAATTACGTGAGAAATGGCATATGACAGGTCATTTGCCTGCTACAGTCGAAAGTATGGAAAAACAAGCAGACCGAGCATTAAAACTGGTGCGTTCTAAATCAACACCTTTGGAGAAATACATGACCATGGCTCAACTACGTAGTACGCATACGCGCTTGTTTTATAAACTCATTCATGACCATATCGAGGTAAATGATTAAAAAAAAAAGCCATCATCATTGCTTTATTGAACTCTGGTTAGGAATTTGCCCCTATTATCTATACGCCTACGGTTGGAGAAGCATGTCAAAAGTATTCTGACATTTATCCATTTTTAAACCCACCAGGTAAGCATGACGGATAGGCAAGCTAATTGATACTGATGCATGATAAGGTGCCCCTGATGGACTCTATATTACCTTGAATGATTTGCCTCACTTGAAAGGCATATTGGAGTGTTACAAGCAACGGTCAGAAGGCGTACCCGATATTGCAGTCCTGACAGATGGTTCTCGTATCTTGGGTCTAGGTGATCTCGGCATCAATGGTATGCCTATCAGCATGGGCAAATTACAACTGTATGTGGCTGGTGCAGGTATGGATCCCAGAAAGACATTGCCTATCGTTCTGGACTTTGGTACCAACAATGAAATGAACATGATGGACGAGTTCTATTTAGGTGTTCGAGACAAACGACCTGACGATCCTGGTTTTTATGATGCGATGGATCGTGTCTTACAAGCACTCCACGACGTCTTTCCTGACATGTTGATCCAGTTTGAAGACTTCTCGAGTGCTCATGCGTTTGGACTCTTGAAGCAATACCGACATAAACTACTTTGCTTTAATGACGATATTCAAGGCACAGGTGCTGTTGTTTTGGCTGGTCTGATCAACGCGTTCCGAAAAGTGCAAAAAGAATCCAAGGTCCATATCCGTGACCACCGTATCTTGTTCTATGGTGCTGGTTCAGCTGCTATTGGTGTTGCAAAGCAAATTCAACGTTACTTGGAAACAGAACATGGTCTAACCGAACAAGAAGCCAAAGACGTCTTTTATGTATGTGACTCAAAAGGTCTGATCACCTTGGATCGAGGAGATACGTTAGCAGAACATAAAGTGTATTATGCTCGTCAAGACAACCAAGGACACCAATATGCCACATTAGACGCCATTGTTGATGTTGTCAAGCCAACCACACTAATCGGTCTCTCTTCCACACCCAATGCGTTTAATCCCCACATACTTTCAATGATGTGTCAATGGAATAATCAGCCTATCGTGTTTCCTCTCTCAAACCCTGCCACCAAAGCCGAATGTACTTTTGAAGATGCCATGAAAGCAACCGACAACAAAGTGATTTTTGCTTCAGGCACAGCTTTCCCAGCGTACGTGGTGCCAGAAACAAAGCAAGTCAAGATGCCTGGTCAAGGTAACAACATGTATATCTTTCCTGGGTTAGGATTGGGTGCTGTCTTGGCCAAGAGTCGGTCTGTGTCTGATGATATGCTTTCTGCTGCTTCTATGGCTTTAGCAGACTCACTTTCCAAGGAAGAACGCCAACAAGGATGGTTGTATCCCTCCCTTGTTCGTATTCGACAAGTGTCTGCTTCAGTAGCCACTGCTGTCATGAAACAAGCCATTCAAGAAGGACTTGCGAAACAAAAAGTGCCTCAGACCAAGGCATTTGTTACATCTCAAATGTGGTCGCCTGAAAAATAATAATAATAAAATTTTCCTCCCCCCGCTGCATAGAATTAAAAGTGGCTAGCATGCACGTGTTTTATTAGGATAGTATTAGAGTCGATGAGAAGGAATAAACACAAAAACAACAGTCGAAAGTAAAGACAATAATAAAATGGTCAATAGCCAAAGCCAACCTCGTTTACGATGAATCTTTCTGACTGTCACATCTTGTAATTCAACATAGACCATGAATTGCACTTCACTAATTCAATATATCAGCAATTGTTAGTGTTGAGTCGACTTTACCTTGTGCCATAAATACTAAACCACCAAGCAAATTCTGTGACACTCGTAAGTAATAAAGACCAGCCAAAAAAGAAAGCAATGATAGGCAGCCAGCGTGTGGCCAATTGTCCTTCATCTAAGAAGATCAAGGATAGTTCTATTGAAAAAGCCAACGTCAGCACTAGAATGCCTAATATAAAGAAGAGCCATGATGTGACAAGGGATATGTTCTTATGAAGCACTTCATCAACAAAGAGCGGATAATAAAACACATTCAATATCTCAAATACATGAGATCTGGCTGAATCAAACACAATAGGCTCTGGTCTTTGGTTGACTTCAATCAGTGTCTCTAATGCTCGTCTATGGTCGTCTGGTAAATGAATTGTCTGTGCAGCATCCATAATAGGCGAACAATAGGTACGATAAATACGAGTCGCATTCTGTATAAGGTCATGCCGACTCAGTGGTTTGTCGGTTGTTCGAGAAGCATAAGTAGCATAAGGTGACCGAGGTGTATGTGGTGGTAATGGCCCTAATAAATCATCTGTATCTGATGCCTCGACATAGGAAGACATAAAAGGGGCTGAATGTGGCATGTTTCGCTGGTCTTTTTCAGCAGCAGATTCCAAAAAACGTGATAATCGCTGTCTATTTTGCCTGTCCACGCTCTGTAGATAAGCTCTCCATAATTTATCGTGTGTCTCGAGTTCCATCAGGAAATTCAGGTTTTGATGCACTTTGCGTCGTCGTAAAAAGGCTGCAAAGCTGGATTGTGTTAGTGGAGAATAAGTATGTAGACGCATCATTTGGTCAAGTGTAGGTAGACCATTGACTCGTAAATTGTAGTCTTTGATTTCTTGCCAGGCTTCCATAGGTGCTACTGCAAAAGGGTCCTGGAAGCCATATGTCTTGTGTCGCAAACTTTTATGAGCAGGTGTCCGACTAGGCTGTTGAATCTGAGATATGCCTGATAAATAAGGATTGTGAGCATTGTTTAATTGGGATTCTGTCGACGAATTCATTTCATAGAGTGGAATAGCAAGACCATGTTGTGTTTGTTTTTCGTCATCTTGTACTTTACGATTCAGATCGTTCTCTAAAGCTGACTGAAGACCAAGGGCATGTAGTCTACTGTTGGCTTGGCGGATACTCCATGGTCTGTGTGATGTTTCCTCGTTGAGATTAGCGTAAAGTTGAGGATGAAGTGAAGCTGGCTTCATCTTGTATAATAGAAAGAAAGAAAGAGAAAGAGAATAAACAGTTGTGTAACAGCTTCTTTTTTTTGAGCTCCTTATTTGTTGTCAGTTTATTTTTGTGTATTTGAACAGATTCCACGTTATTTCCTGGGATATTCAAGTATTGTCCTTTCTCTTCTTAAATTGTTGCTGAAGTTTTCTTTATTGAGCCTTGTTCAAACATAAGCTACTTTTATGATCATAATTGTCCTAAACAAACATAAAGGACACCGATTTTCATGCATTTTCACCCTGCATTTATAGAATTGTCCTAATATAAAAGGGCGGTTTTTTTTTCTCTTTTTCTTTCTATTATCACTACTGTTAAGGGGAGGAGGAGGAATGAAATGAATCCTATACAATCTCACTCCATATATATATATATATATACATGGTTAAGAACAAAGAAAAAGATATAAAGTGAGCACTGTTTGTTTAAGATAGGATTTGAAGTCCAGTAAATAAGAAACACGCGTCAGTCACAGCAAGCGAAATTCGCGTAAAGTTCAAATTTTTTTTCTTCTTTTTTTTTTTTTTCTGTAAGCATAACTGAAGGACACTTCTTTCATAGAAACCTCAATATGACAGCTTTAAGAGAAGAGTTGCGTACTTTGCTTGGTCAAGTATGTGAACACCAAAAGTTATCTTCTCCTGCTTTAGCTATGCAACTTAAAGACGAGTTATCTATCAAGAAACAAGTCTTTTCAAAACTACTCGATAACTCACCCAAGAATGCAGAGCATCGTAAAATACTTCAGTCAGGTACTCAGAATTATGTCAGTCTATCCACCTACTCACTTTGAAACTAGGAAAAGCATTCATCGACGGCAAAGAGTTTCGTGTCAATGAAGACTTTATGAAAGAAGCAACATACTTGTCTGATCAGCTTGACGTGGATGAATATGAAGCTTCTCGGTTGTTATTTGGTGGTATCAGTGTTGCACCTACAATGAACTCAACGCCTTTGGATGCCGCTGTTTCTTTATACCATGATGAACGAGGATATATTTTGGCCACATTGAATGTCATTTTAGAAACAATCAAGAATCCAGACATTGACCAGCATGTACATTCTATCTTTAATGCATTTATCATGGAGATTATTGAATCAAGTCCTAGTCTTGTTATCAACATATTAAAATCAGAAAAACACTTGGCAAAGATGATCAGTGCCTTGACAAAAAACGGTGTTCTGGATTCTGTTCCTAAGCCTCAGCAGCAGCAGCAGCAGCAGACTTCTATGTTACAACAACAACAACAACAACAACAAACTACCTTACAGCATGCAAATGACTCGAAATTCAATGAAACAACACTCAGTTTACGTATCGAAAGATTGACAGATGAACGTATTTACTTGGTCCAGATTTTGTACCATATTGCTTCACTCTTTTGGTTAGCAGAACCTGATTTGTTGGGTGTGTTGGAACATGTTCAGTCAAAGAACTTGTCAGATATCACCTATCCTTATCTGTTGACGGTCGTTTTAGCTGCTCTTTCAAGTAGATCAAGAGAATGTACAAAGCATCAGCTCACAAACAACGAATCCTTTATCAAAAAAGTACATGAACAAATCACCACAAAGCAATGGAAAGTCAGCACATCAAAGGCCTTGGTGCAAATCCAATGGGGCCTATGGCTCTCTGAAACAGTCAAAACAAAACCCACGATTGAAGCCACCCTCAAGATGAACAAACAAGAACGCATCACATTCATTGAATCAGCTCTTGACTTGGATGCTTTTGGTATCATGAACCGATATTTGCTGTATTTCAAGCAAAATCAGACCAACAGTGATAACGCAAGCATGATAAAGAACACAGATGTAGAAGATTCTAACATGGAGATTGACGGTCTGATTGTGGATTTAAACGATTACACAAAGTTTGTAGCTCAAGTATGGACTGATTTTCAACCCTATGTTGTCTATGAATTGGAGTCTTTTAGTTCTTCTTTTATCCTCAACATGTCTGATGTGTTTAGCAACTTCAAGAAGGTGTCAACTGAAGCATTAGGCGAGGAACAGCCGTATGAAAGTGCAACAGAAGACAAGAACAGTTTAGGGCAATTTTTGACGTTGTTAGCCAGCATTTATAGAGATCGCCTGAATGCTGGACTCAGCTTTTGGGATCAATCGACTGGACTTAATCGATTCTTGGCTTGGCTTCTGGATTTTAGATCACCCAACACACTCGCTGCTACTTTTGATTTCTTGGGTGCTATCTCTGCTGGTGAAAAGTGTGCTTTGTGTGCCCATGATATGCTCAAGATTGGCATTTCATCTACAAATATTGATGCAAGCCATATTTTCTCTTGGGGTAAACTCTTTGGCACACTACAGCATTATGGTAGAGAATACGCCAACAGATCATCCGAAGACGAACCTCCAGCTATGCAAGCAATGGAAGAAGACATATTACACAAATTCCTGTATCTTTGTCAACAAGTCGTTCAGTACTCTCAAAATGCTCGAATCCTTGTTTGGTCTGATCCAGTCTTGCGTGCCCGTGATTCTATTGTTCAAATGATCAGTAGTCCCACTTCTACTCGACTTCGGGCTGCTCTTTATCATGTATTGGCTGCTTTTTGCTCTAATTGGGGCGGTGGCGTTAACCATGTAGGACAAAAGATCGCTTTAGATGTATGGAATATCTTAGAGTCTTCAGATATGGTCATTGCCAACAAGACTATGGTATCACAGCCAGAAGAACCCACCGTCATGGAAGATACAACGCCTTCTCTTCCTCAAGCCAATATATTATTTGGCAGCAGTCGTCTTCCCCCACTTCAACCACCACCATCCTTCTCGGAACCCACCAAATCAAAGAAATCAGCCCCGTCTTATTGCTTACCAGAACAGCCTGCAGGGTTTCTTTGTGAGTTCGAAGATGAAAAGAGTCGTCGCTTATACACAGAAACATTATCTTTATTGGACTTGTTTGCTTCTCTGATCCATACCTCAAGTAAAAGAGAGCAGCTCTTGTCTGGATTTGCTCCTGGTTTGTCTTCTATTCCTTTCTGTTTGGGTAAACACAACAACCGTTCGCCTGGTACTGCTCCTTATCTCTCTCTTGTGATTGATCATATCTTTCTGAACCTCAATCATCTGCACTACGCTCAACCTGAAATCCAGTGGCAACTCTCCGATGCTTGCCTTCAGATCATTGAGAACAGTATGGCGTCTTTTGATTTGCAGCCTTTATACGATTATTTAAAATCAAGAGAAGACCAGTCTACACAGACCATTGTAAGCTACACAAAAGCATTGGACGAACCTGGCTTACCTCCTGTCAACACAGTCGATGCCGATAAGGACCTGATGCAAAACACCCTTTTAGCCTACACGACACATCCCGGCTTTGATATTCTGTTGCGCATCTTGTCCGGTGGATCGCTTGTGCATGAATTATTCAAGTTGGTTGAAAAGGGCAAGGCTGCTATTATCGAAAGCAACAAGAACAAAGCAGGCAAAAACAAATATTTTAGATCTTCTATGGTGCGTTGTTTGCGTATCTTTCAGTACGTCTTTTCTAAACAAGATATGTTTGCCAACATGCTTGTACCTCAATTAATGCATTATGCCACCACAATGCCTATGGGTAAAATTAAATTGGGCAATTTCGAATTCGCTGCTCCTCCTTCTACTTTACAATCCTTGGCCAAGTTGATGTTGTATGATACTGAAGTGATTGTACAGACCGCCTTGATGGTCAATTGTGAAGATGACCTGGAGATCTGTCGTCTTAGTATGTCTGTGCTTACCTATTTGGCTTCTGAACCTGACTACAGTCGTTCCATACTATCTGCTCGTCTTCCCAATCACATCCATATCCATATGGGCGGTATTGGCTCTCAATTGGCAGGTATTTTATCCGCCAACCGTTGCTCGTCCGATATCATCTTAGGCTTCAGTGAACGTCTTGAAGTAGAAGGCATGGGCACAATGACCTATGATGACTATGAATATGATTTCAATGTGATTCCCTTTTGGTTTGCTAAGGATGTCATTAGCAACATTCACAACTACAAGGATCCTGTCTCTAGCTTCTCGTCTTCTATCTATGCTTTGATCTTGGACATGCTTCTCAAGAACACAGATCCCAATATATCCTCTCCTACCTTTACCGAGTTTTTGTTAGGTTACGATGTAAAGGAACTAGAACTCAAAGGTGCACAACACAAATCGATTGGTAGCGATGTGCCTTCTCAGCTCGCATGTTTGACGACCATTTTACACACCATTCAAGCAGGTACACAAGATGACCATCTTGCTGACAGTCCTGTTTTCTCGCATCCTGTCTTGACCGAGAAATTCTATCAATTGGTGTATCGCTTAAGCGCACGTCTATCTACCTCAACAGCCACACTCCATTATCTTCGTAGTCTAGACACATTCTATCTCAAACAATTCAAACTGATTGCTTCTCGCTTTGAACGTAGTGTATCTGTGGCTGAACCTTTGTTTGAGGGTGTTTTGATCTGTGAGAATGGGACTCGAGTTCAGACAGATTATTTCACCATGGTCAGTGTCTTGAACCAACGCGCTTGGCTGCTTCAATTGATTGCTTTGGAATTACATCAAGCATCACATACGTCCTCTAAATCAGCCATTCTTCCTTTGCTCAAGCTAATGTATGGTGTAGAAACAGATAATGTGGTAGCCAAGATGAGCAATATCAACCTAGACCACCAACATGACTACCAACAGCCTCTTTGGGACATGCTTGAGATCATCAACTCGCTTGAGTTCAAATGGATTGATAGTATGGACAGTCAAGAGGATGTGATGGAGCCCAACTACTTTAAAGATTTTGATCCCAAGTTGTATATGATCAAGAAAGAAGAAGGTCATGAACTGTATGATATTCAAGCGATTTACAAACTTCTTCGTCAATACCAAACGAGTCATCCAGAAATGAAATCTTTAGCAAGTCAGGAACGAGTCCAGTTAGAATTAGAAATGGGTAGTATCTTGAAGCGTCTTATGGCCGATAACCGTCATCGTGAGATTGCGTATGGTCGCCTTCATTGCTTGCGTGCTTGGAAACAAGTGGTGGAAGTGACCCTGTCTGATTGTTTTGATATGTTTACATTTGCTGACCGTGAACGTATTGTGTATGATCTTCTTACTATGTTACTTTCCAAATTAGAAGGCGATCTTCATGCGGATGTCTTGAAAGGCTTGAGTGAAGTGATCTTAAGCTTGCTGACTCGATTAAGAGAAGACAAACGTAGGCAGTCGATCTTGCAATTGTCTTTGGAACAAGATGTCTCTACTTTACCCATTGAAAAGCTGTGCCATATGTTTGTCTCGATTGTCAAGGCTATCTGTAATACAAGCTCCACATTGGATGTACGCAGCACGTTATATTCTGCTCTGGTCAATTTATTGCAGTACATTGCTCCTGAAGAAAACAAGCAAGTGAGTGCTCGTTTATCTCAAGCCATGCATACCGACCTCAGACGACAACTTTTGGATGCTATCTGTAATGATGCCAACCTTGGCCTTGATACCTATAAAGCTGCTGCATACAGTGCGCTGGAGGCCCTCTACGTCTTGGTGGATCAAGACCATCGTTCTATCATGCATGATTACTTGGTTCGCGGTAACTTTTTAAAGTTGATTATTGACTTGAGTCCAACGTCAGATACCGTGGTACGAGATAAGCATGGTAAGTGGATGGAGTGCATTGTCATTTGTTAACCGTCTTTCTAGATTCCCCTGTGCTTTTGCTTATTCATGAAGCCAAGATATCTTTCTTTATGCGAATTGCTGTCAAAAGAGAAGGAGCGCAATTGCTTTTGAAGGGCGGCATTGTGAATAGTTTAATCAACTATAAATTCACTTATTTACGTCCCGAAGAAACCAATGGTAATATATATATATGTAAAAAGACCTCTATAGACTTATGCTCATTTCTTTTTGTTAGATACAGATGCTGTGGAACACCAAAGAAAGTTCTTGACACCTGTACTCGAATTGATGAATGCTATTCTAAAAACACTGATTAGTTATCAAGGAATTGAAATTGTTAAAATTGAACATTGGATTGCACATCAAGACATGATTTCTCATATCTTGAAAGACACTGAACAGCAAATGACTCTCTCCTCACTCTACATTCTCCAACTTGTTATTTCATTAATATACCAGTTAAGCACACAACCCAATTATTTCAAGCACTTGGAAAAGAAGGAACTTGATTCAGTTGATCATGCTATGATGAGTCTTATTCCAAAGTATTGCATGTTACAGAACAGCACTTCCCTTGTTACTTATTCAAACGCACAAAAAGAGAAATGGGCCAAAGAAAAGATTTTAGGTAAGCAATGGGAAAAGAAAGAATCATTCCACTCATGATTGATAGAAACTCATCATGACAATCAAGGCTCTGTGTTTACAATGAAAGCTGACAAGTACATTACGGATATCAAGAACAATCTATTGGCATATGCATTAGCCTCCACCTTTAGATCTAATGACAAGAGTAAGTGGACAGTTATTAAATAAGCATGAATTAATGATGGAATAGAATCCTTCAAGCCTTTGTTTGCCAACACACTTGATTCTATGAAGCAAGTTGCTCCCAACACTTTACATAGAGCTATGTCAACGCCTTCTCTGACTCATTTGGTTGCTTGCTTACAATACACTGGTAAAAAAGCAAGCAAAGCCATTACTGAGTACACATCTCTTTATGCGCAAAACAAAGACGTAGCCTCTCTGAAATATGAAGAAACAGTGGAACTTGCACAAAAGGCTATTCCAAAAGAATTCGGCATCGAGTATGACAGCTTGAATCCTTCACAACAGTCCCAGGTATTACTGCGAGAAATTAATCATCGTCGCCATCTCAAGGAACAAGAAATCCGTGATTTGATGTTTACGATTGAAAATGCTACTTTTATTCTTTGGCGTCATTTGGAATTCTACTTGAAGATTGAATATTCTGTTCCAACAAATTACAGTCCATGTGAACGGTATGCGAATGAAGATGCTATCATATTCCAACGAGCTGCATTCCATACTTCGCCTGCCTTGATACAACAGCTCAAAAAGGCTTGTCAAGAAACGCTTGATCCCATTGTTCAAAAATTAGAGACCTTATCCCCTCCTCCTTCAGGCCCCTCAACATTATCCAATATGTACAAACGCCTTCGTCAATTGTATGAATGAATGCCATAATAAAATGAGTCCCAAATTAAATTTGTTTTATTCTTTTTTTTTGTCAAAAAAAAAGTTGATTGAATATACGAGGTTAAGGGATTTAAGCAGAAGCAGACTTTTGCATAGAAGAAGTACGACGGCGTTCGATCTTTTCTTGCTTGGATTCCTTGACACGCTTAGCGAGCAATTGCTTGTATTCAGCTTCGGCTTCACGAGAAGCTTCGGCTCTTCTGCGCTTAAGAGCTTGTCTGTGTCTCTTGCGTTGAAGGGTAAGGGGAGTAACAAGACGTTGGATCTTGGGAGCCTTGGTGTAAGCCTTCTTACCTTCAGCCTTGGGTTGAACTTCACGACGGATAACGTACTTGCGGACATCATCTTCCTTGCTCAAGTTCTATAGAAAGGTTATAAATGTGTTCATTGTGTATACACAAACTTACAAAGAATTTTCTGATCTTGGAAGCACGCTTGGGACCGAGACGCTTAGGAACAGTAGCATCAGTCAAGCCGGGAATGTCTTGTTCACCTTGCTTGACAACAACGAGAGACAAGACAGAGAGGTCAGAACCAACGATACAACCACGGACAGACTTTCTCTTACGTTCACCAGTACGGCGAGGACGGTAGCAAGAATGACCCTTGGACATCAAGAGCTTGACACGGTGAGGCAAGAGAACACCTTGCTTCATGGGGAAACCTTGCTTGTCGTTACCACCAGTGATACGGAAAACGTAACCCTTGAATTCGTCACCGAGAGAATCACCGGAGACTTCTTGGGCCATACGCTTATCGTAGAAACCACGGCTATAATAAGAGGGGTCAGTACACAATTTCAGGTATAACAACAGTTAAAAAAGAGTCAGTCTCAACATTTGATACAGCACATCGATGTTTTATCATGTCAAGCGTCTCTCTTTCTAACTTGTTCTATTAGACACTTACAGACGACGTTCGTCTTCAATTTCAATCAACTTTTGGCAGCCAGTGGCTGGGTTGGCGATGTTCAACTATAGCACATGAAATCAGTATATATGTATAAGATGAGCATGAACCAATATCAACACAAGACAAAGAGCATCTTTGCATCCATATCCTAAAACCATCCATCCTTTTACTCTTCTTTCATCTCATGTGATTGTTGGCCCATCCATGACAGTTTACACACCTTCATGACTCGTCAAATGGGAAAGACAGTTCATTAAAAGCAATTGTTGCCCAATTTATCGCACGCCCTGCCAACGCCTCTCTCTCACTGAATCATGGATATTTTTTGTCTATCTCTCTTCGTGTTCGGTTCGCATATTCTTCTCGGCTCGAACATATGCAAGTCACACAACTTTTTTTTTCTTTGCATATTTGGAGCAGAGACAGAAGCACAGAGGGAGACAGAAACAGACAGAGGAAATTCCCCCTACGCGACACAGTGAGAGGGGGGGCAAAAGGCAAAAGAAAAAAGTTTTTTTTTTGGTCTTCTTCTTTTTTCTGTGACAGAAATTGTTGTAACTATGACCACCTTGCCTGCCGAAGTAGTTGAATTATGTCAGACTATTGACTATTCAGCCAAGCACCCTCTTCAAAACACTTGGACTTTGTGGTTTGATAATCCCGGCAAGAAGGCCAATGCTCAGTCTTGGGCTGACAACTTAAAGGAGATCATCAATATTGATACAGTTGAAGATTTCTGGAGGTATATATAGTGCAAATTTATACATACATACACACATGATAATGATACAGAATTGTTTCTATAAAGTGCTTTTAACAATATTGCCAAAGTAAACCACCTTGCTCCCAACTCCAACTATCACCTCTTTAAGCAAGGTGTTCGTCCCGAGTGGGAAGACGAAGCCAATGCCGAAGGTGGTAAGTTTGGTATTCAATTCCCCAAGAACAAGGCTGGTGAAGCTATCAATGAATACTGGATGTACCTTGTATGTATCTACTTATATTTGAACTATTGTATTGATTTGTTCTCTAGCTTTTGGCTGTCATTGGTGAACAATTCCCTTCTGATGAAGTTTGCGGTGCTGTTATTTCTGTCCGTAAGTCTTTCTACAGAATTGCTTTGTGGGTCAAGTCTTCTGATGATGAAGAAAAGGTCAACAAGATCAGGTAATATAAGCGTAAGATGGAGAATATCAAGACTCATTACGATGATAGTCAACAAATCAGAGACCTATTGAGTCTTTCTGACGAAATCCCTGTTGAATTCACTCCTCACCGTGAATCTCCTGCTAAGGTTGCTGCTGCTTTGGCTGCTGCTTCTCTTGAAGACAATACTGATGCTCCCAAGCAAACAGAAGAAGAAGCCGCTGCTGCTACTACTACTCCTGAAAAGACAGAGGCTTAGATATACTCTATTTAAATAGTAATAAGAACAATAAAAAAAAGAACGATACATGTTAATTTGACAGCTTTGTCTTCATATACTATTTTTTTTTGTGATCTCAAAATTGCCATAGCAACCATATAATAAAACCCCGCTCAATTTTTTTTTTTGGATTTGGTGAAAGAGTCGTGCGGGCTGCAAGGACTCCAGAAAGAAAAAGACGCTTACCAACCAACCTAAAGAACTCTCTCTTTTCCAGGTCCTAAAACGTATGTAATCTAATCTATAGTTATTGAGGATAGAGAATAACGGATGGATGCACTTGAGAAATGGATGGATCACTCACCTCCTTTTATAGTTAAATTAGACGACAAATGGCTTCACACAAGATTCAAAAGGCCAGTGGTGCCGCTCCTGCTGACGAAACTGAACTCGCTGTTGCTCAAGCTCTTGTTGATTTAGAAACTAGCATTCCTGAACTTCGTCCCCTTGTTATCTCTAGTGCCAAGGAGGTAATGTACAGAGAACAAGATGTTGAGAGAATCAAACCAACTCATTGAATGATAGGTTGAACTCGGTGCTGGTAAGAAGGCTCTTGTTGTCTTTGTCCCTGTTCCTCAACTCAAGAGCTACAACAAGATTCAACAAAAGTAAATCCGCATACTTGGCAACACATGTATTGACATTTATGATAGGCTCACTCGTGAACTCGAAAAGAAGTTCTCTGATCGTCATGTTGTCTTTGTTGCCCAACGCCGTATCTTGCCTGTTCCCAACCGTCGTAACACCGGTAAGCAACCCCGTCCCAGATCTCGTACTTTGACTGCTGTTCACGATGCCATCTTGGACGATATGGTCTACCCTACCGAAATTGTTGGTAAGAGACTCCGTCAAAAGGTTGATGGTTCCAAGACCCTCAAGGTGTAAGTAACATGTTTGGTTGTACTTGAATTGGTATTCACACTATTTGTATAGTTTCCTTGATGCTAAGGATGCCACCTCTCTCGAGTACAAGCTCGATACTTTCTCTGCCGTTTACAAGAAGCTTACTGGCAAGGATGTTGTCTTTGAATTCCCTGCCAACGCTGAACTCTTTTAAATGGATTGAGTGAAAAAAAAAACAAATTAAAATATCAATTAGATATATTATTAAGATTGTTTATTTATCTGTCTATTTGTATGTATGTGAAAGGAAGAAAGTGGAGGGAGAATATGTACAAGAGAGGAGAATATACATTTGTGTCATTCCCTTTGTTTTATTGTATTGATTGAGTGCAAGTCATGCTACAATTACAAGCATTTATTGCTCATAAACTAGACAGAACAATTGATTTATTCAAAAAGGAAGACTGTGTTTACTTCCAGAAAGTGGCAATGCTATAAAAAGTATAGTTACAATAATCATGTCAGCAAGTCTTGAAGTATCAACACATAAAAGATTGACTACAAAACTCAGAACCTTTGATTTTGGCTGCTAATTTAATGACACTCAATAAGCCTGTCTTTAGTACTATGTAACAAATGAAAGACAAAAAAAACATAATTATTTTAAATATTAGTATATATTTCATTGAATAAAAAGATAAAACGAAACTGGTACTTTAGCCAAATACTGTGAGTATTTGTTTCCAGTAACTAGGATGAGGACCTAAACCATTTCAATTGAGTTCCCAAAAAGATGGTGCGCGTACGCACAAAGCCCCCAGACCCCACTATATAGTATTCACACTATCAAAAAAAAAATGGAATGCCTATCATTTTCAATAGATGATTCACAAACGAATGAATGGACAAACACGATATATAAAGCCATTACTCTGTTCGATAGTCAACTCTAAGTGAATAGAGCTTGCCGCGAATAGACAGGTACCCCTTCAAAAGTGAAGCTTAATTTAGAAAAACTACTCTAGCCGCCAGACTAAAGATAGGCCCTCTCTAAAGAGCATTCACAAAAGAAAAAGCGAATGATTATCAATCCCAGTAACTTTCACTACTGCTTTCTAGCACTATTACAGTAGCAAAAGACCAAGGCTGCTGAAATATCCTAATAGCCACACACACACACACACACACACACACACACACACACACACACACACACACACACACACACACACACACACACACACACACACAAAGAAATGAGACTACCAAGATACCACGAATAGGGTTAAACTTGTTACTATCCGATAGGTTCCCCTCCCTCCCCACAAGTGAGAAGAAGGTGCCAAAAAAGATAGTAGCCTTCCAGCGTTGGTAATATCTGAACTTGGACTGCCAGTGCGCATAATTAAGATGGAATACCCCCTCATACAAGACCATAAGCCAACCCTCTACACTCGTTTGTTTCACTCTCTATCAAATTCGGCAAAGACCCGTTTAGTGAAGAAAAAAGGCATACTATCTTGATAGAGAATGCGCTTGCACCCAGGTAATAGATCCCCCTAGATACCTTTGGTACATTATCCTAAAAGGACAGAAACCAAACGCGCTGCAAAAGAGAAGAAGAGAAAAAAAATGGATGGGAACTTGTTTTTTATACTCTGATGAGTTTCCTGACCATTATTCAGGCTCAGTTGTAGTCAACAAACTTTCTAGAACCGTCTTTTAAGGGTTTATTCAAGGCTTTAGGGAAAGAGAAACTACATAAGCAAATACAAAGGCATATGGTTAGTGTCTAACTAGCTTATTGAATTGACAAAGTGATAATAGTATCATTTTATATGACAATCCTCTTTCATGTAGCTGCATAATGGATTTCGATTGCCGCCAAGGATTACAAAGTAGTAGTATCAGACAGTTGTACCTGGATCAAGTAATACAGTTTGAATTTTGGCAAACAGGAAGAGAATGCTCATTAAAGCAGAGAAGACAGCTATTACCGCAGGTAAAAAGAAGATCGGGTTTGAAACACCGAATCTTTCTTTTGCATGACATTCATTGTTGATCATGTCCAAAAACTACTCCCTTTGGACTCAAAAGTGCCAGATATCATAATATGATTTACCCATATACGTCTTGTGAGCTAAACTATGTAGAAATAATAACTCAATTACTATTCGAACTTCATTGAAAAGGGCCTCTTTTGTACTGATTACAGTGTATCACGAACTTTGAATGCAGACTTGAAAGCAATGCCCAAGTTGATTCGCCTTTCTCGTCTTAGTAAACCATATTTCTTTTCCTCAGAAATACCTAGAAATGCACTTTGCTGAAACTTTTTGGAATATTTTTAAAATCGTCATCCCAAGGTCCAAAGAGCTCTTGATCAAACTTTTTTCATTCCTCTCAACGGACTCTCCATAGGTCAAAAAATAAGTTTTGTCTAACTGTCAAACCAATGGTATCATTCGATTCCTGGGTGCAAAAGATTATGCTTTAAACAAACCCCCCCCAACTGTTTTGATAGTCTAATTGTCGAGCAATGGCACATCAAAGATTAGCTCATTTAAGCTGTGATTTAACCTTTTTGCTTTAGGTAACATATAGAACTTGTCAGAAATCAACTCTTAAAAGCTTTGTAAGTTACCTTGGATACGAAGGAGTATAAGAAAGTAGAAATATAGGTACTTTATATTGTAAATGTGGGAGTAAATCGACATAGGACATACATGATGGCTTTGTATGGAGATTGAAAATGAAAGTAGTTCCACTTCTTCATCCCATCACATCCAAAATCGAGCTTTTGCTGAGACCTGCATAAAGACGCATTATTGGGCTTTGGTGCAGTGACAAAAGTTTTAGGTCTTTGTTTTATAGATCTAGTGACGTAAAAACACAACAACCTTGCTACTAAAGTATTGAGAAAATAGACAAACATGTATATGAGTTTTTTCATTCCTAGCATACCATTTCTATAATACAATTGGCAAGCAACTATACTTTTCAAAAACTACGGCTTTTGACGCACATTTTGAGTATTTAAGCTTGTTGGTATCTTCATTTCTCGTGTTGTAGTGTCAAAAAGAAAGTCGAGAGCTTCCAAACTGACAACTTTTATGAGTAGTAATCCTTTGGTCAAAAGGTCAAAATGGCCATTTTTCACAAGTCGCTTTTCTTTTATCCAAATGAATTCCAAAGGTACCTTATAGGTTAGGAAACATGACTTGTAGGTATTTAGAGCATTTATGTGTGTCTAAACAAACTTTGCACTCCTTTTTGGTGTACATTTCTTGAATGGAAAAGTGCATTGACTTCAAAAAGTACGATGCATTTCGTTTGATTCATAAAAATCAGACATTTTATGCAAACGGAAAAGGAGTCGCTATATGTATATCTGATGAGAAATACTACAAGCGACGATGATATGCGATCAAGTGGCAAAATACTTTTAATAAGTAGAGGTCTTTTTTTTCCTTTGTGAAATGCTTGTAATTACAACTCTTTTAAATTAATATATTTGAGTAAAGATGGCCTCATTTTTTTTAAATGAACATTGGAGTGGATGAAGTACCTCCTTATCTAAAATGTGTTTTGCTCAATACGTTACTATTGAAACCAACCAAGTTACATATTAAGCTTGATTCATTGTTGTTTGCTACACAAAGAACACTCTCGGATGCATGCGAATTGAAGATAAAAAAATAAATTGATAGTGTAAAGGAAGAATCTTGTATAGAATGAAGACTCAATATACTTCTTTCATTGCTATAAATGTTGTTGAATCTTTTTTTTTTCTTGAAATAAGTACCTTTATGCAAATTGTCGCTTTTTTGGAGTTAAAATGAGAATGAACTAAACAAAATGTTTAGTCTGTTTAGTAAGAAAGCCGATGAAAGCCTGAGGTTTGAGAATTCTTCTTCAAGAAGGTCTAGAAAATACAAAATCAAGAAAATGATATAGACAGTTCCACCAAGTCGAACTGCGTGACGCAAATGATCATTGAAGAGTAGTTGTAGCATGTATCAAAAATATTTTCAAAGTCAACATATACATTCCTGTCAAACGAATATAAAGAGCAATTGCTGAGCAAGTTATTGTCGTTTCAATAGATAAACATCACACTTTAGCAATATGTTACCGCTACCAAACAAGACTTGACGATGCTGTTCTTTCCTCATACAGTTACCAAAAGAAAAAACATCGATTCAATAACGTTGTTGGTAATATGTTTGAGTCTCGTTTCATAGTGGAATAAAATGATATAAGAGACACTATATAATACCAGCAAATATCTCAAAAGGAGACTTTTAGCACGCGATTCAACCATCTATCTGTTGAAATTGTGCTCCCTAGCGTCCAGTGGATAAAGAAAACCAATATGTTTATATTCAAGCACTAAATTCTTTATTATATTGTACTACAACAAAGACTCGAACGCCGTATCAAGCGCTTGAAGTGTCTTAGTAGAGTATGTTAGACAAGACTGTGATCTCAATCCCAGACCTACTGCACTGTCTAGAGACCAAAATGACTATAAAAACTGAGTAACGTTTCATCAAGCGAGTAATTCTCGTCAAAGATACCTTTTCAGTAACATCAGCCACAAAAAGCGATGCATTTATGAGTAAAGCAAGCGCCATTGATAACAGGAAAAATAGGCGTTTATACAGGAAGGAGACAAGATCAAGTTCATACGGCTTTTTTTCAAAGTACCAAAAAAAAAGTGAGCGGATAATAAAACAAGCAAGCAAGTTACTCATGCAGCGTGTTACAAAAAACCTTTTTTTATTACTATTTTGTTTAGTCTTTTTTTCTCCTTTTCTTTCCTTTTATTTGAGTAAACAAAGAAAAAAATGTCAAAGGCTTCTTTTCTTAGAGAGTAAGCTCTATTATAAGAAAACAAGAAAAAGAAAACAAGAGTAACTGAGTTTTATTTTTCTCCAGGTACAAGATAGTTATTGTTGGTGGTGGTGGTAAGTTTAACTGACAAGTGATGGTAACGAGACTTACAGCCGGATAACATAGGTGTCGGAAAGTCTGCTCTTACTATACAATTTATTCAATCTCACTTTGTCGATGAATATGACCCAACTATTGAAGGTAAAAAAAAACGAGTGGCTCAATATCATGATCTTAACATTCATAGATTCGTATCGCAAGCAATGTGTAATTGATGAAGAAACTGCTTTGCTCGATGTCTTGGATACAGCTGGTCAAGAAGAATACAGGTACGCCACATCTAACCTTAAAATAAAATGTAACCTAGTACATGTTAGTGCTATGAGAGAGCAGTACATGAGAAACGGAGAGGGATTTATTCTGGTCTATTCAATCACTTCTCGTCTTTCATTTGAAGAAGTCAACACTTTCTATCAACAGATACGACGTGTCAAGGATCGTGACTTTTTCCCTATGGTTCTTGTCGGAAACAAATGTGATTTGGAGAGCGATCGACAAGTATCAAGTCAAGAAGGCAGGGATTTAGCCAAGAGTTTTGCATGCCCCTTTATCGAGACATCTGCCAAACAACGTGTGCATGTTGATGATGCATTTTATGAAGTTGTGAGAGAGATCCGTCGTATGAATAAGGAGCAAGAAGGCAGATCAAAAGCAGGTCAGAGAGAAGCATTTGAAATGTCAGACAACACGAATAGTGATAGCTGCTGTGCTTGTATTTTGATGTAACATTGATTTCCGGGGTTTTCCAGCCATTTTACCTTGGATTTTAATTCTCTATTTATCTCTCTTACTATTATCTATTATATTTCTTAAATTATGAATGCAACTTATAAGGTATATCTTGTCTACCTTATTTGTATTGTTGGACAAAAAAAAAGAAATAATGTTTATTTGCTGACATGCATGATATCAATGTTTTGACTTTCTTACACATAACAAAGAATGAGTAATTACATTCAAGACATATTGTATTCTGGATAACTATCTTGTCCCCTTTTTCACCCCTCAACCTGTCATGAATACATACAAATTTAGAAATTGCAGATCCGTTCCTTAAGCCTTTTTGGTTTCTATGATGATCCATGGTTGGTACCTGAGAAAAAGAAATTGTTGCTATGCATTCGGGGGAGTGTAAAATAACATGATGTCATGCTTTATTTTGTGAGAAACATGTTGAAATCAAATGTCATTGCAAGAAATCAATATTTCCTCACCCAATTTTAGCGATCATCTTACTACTGTCTTTTGCAAAAGACAAACTTGTCATTCCTTCGTATACAATGCTCAATTCTATGATTGTGTATTAATGCTTTCAGTAAAATGACTACTCAATCGCAAAGGCTTCATTGTCTATAATCGGACTTTAAATAAAAACTGATGCCATCTCAATGATCAGATTAAAATGATAAAAGGTTTTTTTTTATCAAACCCCTCCCCCTTCTTTCTCCACCTTTTATTATTATTATTAGTAATATGGATCCAGACAGACTAGAAGAAACAACCACGATTAGCTCTGTGCCTTATGAGTTGACACCACTTTCTTTTGATGTACCATATGAATTCCCTCGTCGTTTTTTACCAACTGTTATGAAAGGCAAGTTTACTTGATCTCAACTGTGACTTATAACACTTGGTATGGTAGATGACAGCAAGATTCCTTTAGTCTTGGTAGCCTGTGGCTCATTTTCGCCTGTCACTTATCTTCACTTGAGAATGTTTGGTAAGAAAACAAAAATAAAAAGAATGGGTGACTCATTATCATGATTAGAAATGGCTCAAGATCATTTCAAAGAAAGAAACGAATTCGAGTTATTGACAGGCTATTATTCCCCAGTATCTGATTATTATATGAAGGAAGGATTGGCTAAAGCAGAGCATCGAGTCAAAATGTGTCAACTAGCTGTAGAAACCACATCTGATTGGTTAATGGTAGATTCCTGGGAAGCACGTCAGACAACATATCAAAGAACAGCTGTCGTACTTGACCATTTTGATCATGAGTTAAATACAGTAGGAGGAGGCATTTCGACATCTGCAGGTAAATAATAAGCGGGAAAGACAGTATTGATAGCATTGGCTTTAGGTGAAAAAAGAAAAATTCGTATTATGTTATTGGCTGGTGGTGATTTGATTGCTTCATTTGGACATCCTGGTGTCTGGGCACCTGACGATGTAAGTCTTTGCATGTTGAAGATAGAGTAGCTTATGTATGTAGTTACATCATATTGTGGGTCGTTATGGTAGTGTCATTATTGAAAGAACAGGAACAGACGTGTATGGTTTCTTATTATCGCACGACATCCTTTATCAGCATAGAGTAAGTCACTAATGAGTCAAACATAAGGCTGACAACAAACTTAGATGAATGTGACAGTCATTAAGCAATTGATCCATAATGACATTAGTTCAACAAAAATAAGGTAAGTAAGTTGACTGTGTTCATAGTATTCATATACTCGCATGATATAGGCTATTTGTTAAGAGAGGCATGTCTATCAAATATCTGCTACCAAATCCTGTTATTGACTACATACATGCTCATGGTCTATATCTGCCTTCATAATATACCTTCCGATTAATAGATAGTCACGTGACTTGTGCTTTTGTTGCTATAGTCATTTTTTATTTTTATTTATTTTTCTTTCTGTGTCATGTTGGAAGTGAAAGAGATATTTCGACTTTTGGGATTCTTTCTCGTGTTTCTCTTTCCTCTTGTCGTTGTTTATTTAACAGGTGGTCCTGATAAGGAACCCTTACTCGATGATGATGAATATGAGCGAAGAAAGAGACTTGCACAACAAGCAGAAACAACAGGAAAGAAAAACAAAAAAAAGTCAAATAAAAAGAAACAACAACAAAAAAATACGAGTATACAAGAAGAAGAAGCACTAAAAAAACCTCAAACAAACCAAAAAAAGCAACAGAAACAACAACAGCAACAAAAAAACAAAACTGCAATAAAGACTAGTGTAGAACAACAAGACAAAGTTCAGGAACCAAAACAAGAGCCTATTGTTGAGGGAAAAGTCAAAGAAATTGATGAGCATATGGATCCTACTGTCAATTATGCTCGTGTGATGCGCATTCGACCTGAAGAAGAGGAAGAAGAATGGGAAGCAGTCCCCTATGAAGAAGGATGGAACCAAGTCAAGAGTAAGTCAAATTCCTATCTACGTTACAACTAATCCTATCTCTAGGTCGTCGTCCTGCTACGACGAATACCTCAAAGTCTTCGTCTTATGTGGACAACAATGCCAAGTTGTCAGAGGCAACAAGTCGATACATTCCTGGACTAGACAAAAAGCAGCGCGAGAATATGGCTCGTAATGCCAAGAAGAAACAACAAAAGGCCGCTGCTGATGTTTTACAAGCCGAAAGATTACGCAAGCATCAAAAAGAACTAGAAAAGGCCAAGATTCAAGAATTTTACTCGAAAGGTAAAGGCAAGAATACACCTTGGGGTAAAAATGGTCAGCGATCCTCTAAAATACCTGACTCTCATGCTACATTTAATGAATATGGCCAATTGATTTGGGAATAAACAGGCACAATTAATGTTACATGATGATACTATTTATTATGAGATGAATGAAGTTATTTTTATGCTTCTAATTGGCATAGAAAGGATGAGAATAGAATTCACAAGTTTCATCATGTTGAGTAGTAGCACTCAACTTGTAGTAGAAAGCAGTGTTATCGGCCTTGGCTGAAGTAGGGACAGTGTCTTTGATATTGAAGACGTTGGCAATGGATTCCTTACCAGTCCAAGAATCTTGAACCTTGCTGGATTCACGAGTTTCGAGGTTGACCTTGTAGAGTTCCAAACCAGTCAAGTAGTTGGTATGAGCAGCAGAATCACGCTTGACTTGGACAGAGAAAGTTTCACCAGCAGTAACATCAGCACCAAGAGCAGGGCTTTCCAATTCGATACCGAAACAACCACGATCAATGTCTTCGCTCAAATCTCTGTATTCAGATTCTTCAACAGCGTTGGAGTGAGAAGAAGACTTGACCTTGAAGACCTTGGACATCAAAGTACAATCTGGACCAGCAGTGTTGGTAACCCAAACACTTTATATTAGGTTAGCAACATGTATAAATATAGCAATAATATTTTAATTTACCGGAATTCAAATTGGCCAGGGAGTTTAGCAGCCTTGATTTTGCTCAAGTCAACACTATCATATATGAGTAAAACGAATTATATTGTATATAGACCTACGTTAAAGAAGCTTGCTTGTTCAATTTGTATTTACCAGTCCAGACAGTGTTGAGGTAAGTAGCTTTACCTTTACTGTTGATAGAGTAAGCCTACAATGAGTGAGTTTAGCATGGTCATAACAATCAAATGGATATTTACATCAACACCAGTGATAACCTTAGAGTAAGAGTTGGGAGTTCTCTCTATTAAAAGTAAAGGTCAGTTATATGTATGATGGGAATATAGAAGAAAAACAAGGGAACGATAGTTTACTGACTGTGACTTTAATATTCTTGGGATTAGTGAAGGTTTGTCCCTTTGATGGTCCAGTAACAGAGAGACCTAAAAAATCAAAGTGAGATTTTTTTTTACTATTTTTATCGTTTAATAAACAACATACCACTACAGAACTTCTTTTCGGCAGATGCAATTTCGTCTTCAAGACTACCAGCCTTGACAAGAGTAATGGCCATCAAAGCAGATAAACATGCCAAGAGCAAAGAAAACTTCATTTTAAAAAAGGGATATATATGAAAGAAAAAAGAAGAAAAAAAAGAAGGGAATGAGTTATAGAGAAAAAAAAGAAGGAAATGGCTATTAAATCAACAGAAGCTTGTTCATCTGGGATTCATTTACGTATTACACAACTAATTTAAATTGAAAGGTTTCTATTTTTATCAGAAAAGCACGTATACCGTGCTTCAAGTACCAATTTGTGTTGAACCCCCCAAATGAATGGACACAGGCCGGCCTTGGCTTTCTTGTCCGGTTATTAAAGGTATCATTGTGTATAAGTTTTTTTTTTTTTTTTTTTTTTTTTTTTTATTAAGGTATACGAAAGAAAAAAATTTAACCGTACTTTTAAACATATACATGTCTGTTAGACTTCTGAGATAAGACATAGACCATAACACAAAATGGCTTGTTTACGAGCAGAAGCGACTAAAAGGTTGACATGGCATTTTTCTTCTGGTCTAAGGGAGATACCAATGTTGCACCAATCATTCTTTTGAATTTTATGAGGAGACATGCAAAGATCATGGATATACTTTGTAGTGCGATCATTCAGATAGGTTGGAATATCAGAATAAGTGTAGTCTTCTTTAGTGACACCCATGATTTTCTGAGTATAATACCAAATAGCGTATCTTAGGGGTGAAGTATCAACCACTTCTTCTGCCACAGGATGAAAAATACTATAGAATAAATTAAGTATGAGCACACTTTTTCTATAAATACATACCTCCAATCCGTAATACTAATAGCCTCAGTAAATTCAGCTACCAAATCATCCCCAATGCCAGGCAAATAATGATTAGCCAAGTCGCAACCATGGTCTTCCCAGCAATATTCTCCCAACATGAATTCAGCATATTCTTCATGCTCCTGTTCGAATTCTTCCAGTTGAATAACCTCATCAAGTGAAGTATTGACAAAGCGTTGCAAGTCTTCATGCACAAAGTTCACTTTGAGACTACCATCATCACACTCTTCATGGTCTCCATGATTGGTCTCATCCTTATTATCAAAATTGGTATTGACAGTCATTTTGGTTGGTTCTTGAATCTTCATTTTATCCAGACTTTCAAGGATTTGATCCTTGATGGCACAGTTCTTTTTTGACTTGAGTTTATGAATCAATTCTTGTGTTGTCTCCATTGCTTGGTCGTCTGTATCAGCACTGGTTGTTGTGACACCTAGTCCTACACCATGATCTGTATTGAATCGATGTTGCTCTTCATCTGTAGCACCAGCCAAATGAATCGTAGGCAAATCAAGTTCATTCTCAATACCCGTCAAATCAGGCTGCTGAACAACAAATCCACCCGTCATGTCTACTTCGGGCGTGATACCACAGCCGAGAACAAAGCTCGACAGACCGAGAAAAGTAGCAATGATCAAGGTCGCCTGGACCAGTTCACCACGACTCCATGCATCGCCTAATACACCACCCGCAAGTAAATGACTGATATCCTCGCTTGTCAATCGCCAGGGTTGTCGTGCTAGCTTAAGGACCAAGGTAGAAATATTGCGTAGTTTGGTAGGTACAAAATCCAATCCAAGTAGCCAGTTTGGATCACCCCCGTTGTACAGGAAATCAAGTTTCATGATAGACACTAAATATTGGCATTTTTGTTCTGAGGCAACCATCAGGGCCAAGTATGTTTTCCATGTACGGTTTAATGGTCCAAGGGGTGCCTTGAGTGTCTTTGTAAAAGTGACATGAAAAATCTCGAAAAAAGTAGGAAAGAATGCAAGTACACGATACAAGTTGGCCAGTCTTCCTTCGTCTGTGAATGTCTTGATCAGCATCTGTCGCACATATTCATCGGATGGTCTACCACCCGTATAATCCACAGAACTGGTAGCATTCAAGGAAACATTGTGAATGGAAGAAGCGGCTGAAGTAGGTTGTCGAATCTGTTGGTGTGAAATAGGTTCATCTACCGAAGAATTTGTATAAGACCAAGGTGAGAAAGATAAGTTAGATGAGCGTGGATAAAGTACAGTTTGGTGACATGAAGAAGTGGATTCAAGTGAGAAAATATCGGAAATTGGAATGAAATGAGAGGGTGATTTATATTTTTGTTTAGGTATACAGATGGCAGCAGATTCCTAATATTGCTTAAAAACTAAGAACTTGACAGGATGCAAGATACCTTTAAACCAGTTAATAAATCTCTACATGTTTGTCTGACATCAGAATAAGGACAAGTAAGCGATAATCTCAAGATGGTCAAGAGATAATAGAACAATTGTGCACCAAAGTCTTCGTCTTGTCTGCTTTCTTCTAATTCTTGTATTGAATCAGATAAATTAGGTGAAGCAGCAGAAGAAGAAGGTGAAAGAGAACTGCGGACATAGGATTTTATGACTTGAATAATTTTCTCTAGTGCAGCTGCTCTATCCTCATAACTATCGACTTGTAAACCTTTAAATAAGGCAATACGTTGTCTACAGGACTGAAGTTGACCTGCTCTACTGTCTCGAACTAAAAAAAATAAAAAATAAAGTAAAAAAAAAAGAGTGCCTGACATAGACTTGTACTTACTTATTTCTGCTTGTTGATCGTCAAGTTGGTTCCATGGCTGACTCATCTCTTGATAAAAAAGTGTTGCATATCTTTTCAAAGAAAAAAGAAGAAAAAAAATTGGGTTTTTTTCTAGAATAGTTGAAACCTAATGGTTTCCCACCTCGTTGTCGCCTGTGACTTTGTTTACACAATCTGCCTTATTTCCAAGAAATAGAAAAGAACATATATTCAAACAACCTAATGAGACACTCTATAAGTGAAGGGTTTCTCAAATGATGACATACTAGAAGAAAATACTGCCTTTAATAGACATCTTGATGCAATGGCTAAGGCTAGGCTGATAAGTTAAAAAGGAAGATGCATTGATCTGACAATGATGTTGGTAACTGTCATATTCCCTTTATTAGAAACATGCGATTGAAATCAAACTTGAAGCTAATACAAACCATTGCATAATATTCTCTCTTTATAAATTTGCATAAAAAAATCTATTTGCTGCATAAATAAAAGTGATGACATATTGAGCAGTCGATCTGCAGTATCCATCAAAGAGCATAAACCTTAGTTTGCTGTAAACCAAATAATAGTAACTTTATTCACATGAATTCCTTCCATTTATATAAAGCTAGTCAATATTTGTTTACATAAACCTAAAATTAGTCATACTTTGTAGCTGTTAAATTATGCCTCTTTTTATAGTGACCCTATTTACTTTGAGAAAAAAATTTTTTTTTGAAAGATTCTGAATAGAATTGATTTTAGTAAGTTTTCGTACAAGATGTTTTTACAGCAAATTAAAAAAAAAAAAAAAAAAAGAGGCATTCCTTTTCTGTCAGCATTTTGAAAAAAAAAAAAAAAAAAAAAAAAAAAAAAAAAAAAAAAAAAGACGGAACAGCATTTATAACAATAAGAATAAATACTTAAATTGTATAAAAAAAAATTATTAAAAATCTCTGTCATGTCAAGATATTAATGAGAACTATTTATTGTTGCTCATTGCCTTAACCAAGAATGAAGAACATGACTGATCAAACTATATCAAGAAAATACTTGTAGAATATAGCCTTGCTTTTTTCAGATAATAAAAACTCACGATATTCAAAAGTGCATAAATTGTCGCTTTTGAATTGTCATGCAGCTCTTTCATAAAGCGATTTGAACAGGCACAATAAATCCGACTTTTGTTGCACGACCTCAATCGTCTAATTAGGCACAACAGATTCTCAATCACCTTACTGCTTTTACTTGTCCAATAAGATCTTTTATTAATCCAGGTATTTAATTTGAATAGCAGTTAGTCTATAAAATTTTGTCCCTTTTTCTTTCTTTCTTTTTCTCTTTTCCTTTTTGCTTTAATCATAACAGCAATGTCAGTAACAGTAAGGTAAATATGACCCAAGTTAAACACAATATTTTTCATTTTCAAAACAATTTATACATATACAGGGTGGCTTTACGAGTACGACCTCTGAGCGAAAAAGAAAAAAAAGAGAATAATCATTCAAATAACTTTTTAACATTCGTATCTCAGCAACCACAACAGATCAGAATTGATCAAGATCGTCGTACTTTTACTTTTGATTATGTGTATCCACCTCACATAAGCCAAGAAGAAGTATATCAATCTTGTATACAGTCTTTGTTTGAACAGTACACAAAAGGGTAATATTAATTTATGGGTCACATTATGCCACGGTTTTAAACAATGGGCTCCTTTTTTGATAGGTGTAATGCAACCATATTAGCCTATGGGTAAACAAACATGCCTATTGTTGTCGTTGTTTACTAACATGCCCCCTCCTCCTCCCTAGACAAACCGGCAGTGGAAAGACATACAGTATGGGTACTGCTGGTCATACAGACAGCATTCATTCAGACAGTGGTATTATTCCTCGCTTTGCAGAGAATTTGTTTGCCTGGATTGAGAATCAACAAAACAATACGGCATACCAAGTCAAAGTTTCTTTTCTTGAACTCTACAATGAAGACATCATTGATTTACTTAATCCTAAAGAAATGAATAGCGTCATTTCAATTCGAGAGGACGCTAATGGCCATATTTCATGGTCAGGCGTGCATGAAAAACCAGTTCAGAAATCTACTGATCTTTTAAAGTAAATCATAAAAAACATGTCTGTCTTGTAACTCATGTCCCCTTCTAGTTGTCTCTTTCAAGGCTCTGTATCACGCACAACAGCTTCAACTGATATGAATTCAAATTCCTCTAGATCACACGCTATTTTTACTGTAACACTCATTCAACATATCAGCACAACCTTCAACGACCAAGTCATTCATAAAAAACTGGAATCTAAATTTCATTTTGTAGACCTTGCTGGATCTGAAAGAGTAAGCAACTTTATACAAACAAAGTTTAATCTCTCCTCCTTTTGTGTCAGCTTAAGAAAACCAACGCCGTAGGCGAACGAGCCAAGGAAGGCATTTCCATCAACTCGGGTCTTTTGGCCCTTGGTAACGTTATTTCTGCTCTAGGCGATGAATCCAAACGTCAACAGCAACATGTACCTTATCGAAACTCTAAGCTAACCAGACTTCTACAAGACAGTTTGGGCGGTAACAGCCAAACCTTGATGTTGGCATGTGTTTCACCGGCGGAGAGCAACGCCAATGAAACACTGAGTACCCTCAAATATGCTAACCGGGCAAAGAATATTACAAACACCGTTATCATTAATCAGGAGCAAAGCCTCACAGACGCACTAAAAGAAGAAATCATGCGTTTGCGTGAAGAAATCCAAATAAATGACGCATTTGTTAAAGAAGTTCATGTGGAGCTGGATGACCTTAGAGCAAAAAACATTGCATTACAGACAGCATTGAACAGTCATGGGGTGTCCGTTCCGATCATGGACACACCACCCAAGCTACTATTGAAGCCACCTGCATCAAAAAAGAAGGAAGATGACGAGGTAACACTCATTGGGTCTATCGGTGATGACGATAATAGTATGATGAGAGCTTTACCTAAACAAATGATCAAGTCCACAAGCACTAAAAGAAAAAGAAAAAACGGCAACAGTGATAAAAAGAAATCAAATGTGGAAGGCAAAGGTGACAATGCTTTTCTCTTGACACTTGAGAAGCACAAGAACCGACTCAAGAAAGAAGCTTTGTTTGTGAAGCAAATTAAAGTATATGTTGAACCCAAAAAATGTTGTAACTAAGCTATTGCTAGGCTGACAGCAACATATCATCAGACCCTGTCATCTTTGCTAAGATGGTAAGCATGTTTCAATCAAGCATCAAAGAGCAAAAGCAATTGTTTCATTATCTTGAGCAAACTGCCCATAAGCAAGAAGCCAATAAAAAGATGCCTACCTCGGCTGATAAAAAGAAACCTAGCAAGCCAAGTATGATCAAGCAACCAACCACATTTACTTCTACTGTCGTGGAAACTCAAGCAGATACTCAACTCTTGACAGTGGAGATTCAGGTGCTCTCTGATAAACTCAAGCAGATTGTATCTACAATTAAGAAAGCGATTGTCTTGACAAATAACCCCGCTACTCCTCTATCACAAATAAAGACATTGCTCAACAAAGCTGCCACTATTCATAACACAAACAGTACGAGTAATAGCAGCGCAGGAAGCAACACAAGCAAAGTATCCAAAGTCAATCTTCCAACAAGAAAATCAATTACCGTTGGAAAGCGTATTAATATCGAAGAGATACGAACCGAAATTCAAAGGTAATCCAAGAAAACAAGAAAATTTACTCATCATAATGGTAGTGTCATCGCTATAGATCATATTAAATCACATCCTATTTGTTTAGAAATGATGAAAGCACTCAAACAAGAGGTAAAACGAGTGTTACACACACCTATATTCATAAATGCCTCATAGAAAATTAAACTGATGCGTGAACAAAAAGACTTGCTTAAAGAAAGAAATGCAATGCTCAAAGAGTTCTACAAGGATGAATATGAACAACAGCAGCAGATGCAGCAATACATGGACGAAAGAATAGATATGATCACAGTTCAAGTAGATTTGATTACAGAACGTATAAAGCTATTGTCTGCTTCCTCTATACCCTCTATTATTAACAAGAACAACCAGAGTCTAATTGATATATTGAAGCCCTTGAAGGAAGGTGATTTAAGAGCCCTTATTTTACTCATGATTCAGCAAGACCTAGTTACTTTCAATATACAGTCTCAACTTCAGCATCAAACAGCACAGACACTAGAAAAGTTCCAACAAGGCATTGTTCAACTAAGAAGAACAAGTAAAGTGATGAATAACCAAATCTTGGTTGATTTACTTAGATCGCCTGTGCGATGTCTGTCAAACGGTTTATTACTCATTTCTTGGAAGTGACCAGAGCTGAACCGCGATTTTTAACTATACCTTTTATGATTTTTTAACAGTTAATTTGATTGGTGTGTAATCTATTATTTTTTCAATGAAAGAAATAACAAAATATAAAAACTAATTCCTTTATCTATTCTTTCTTTTTGATACATGTCATATTGGGGATCATTATTAAAGCTTCAGATTCCTGTGAAGAAGGATCCTAGACTTTTGCCGGCCTGGCGAAAGAGATTGTTGCTTGGTTTGGTATGCTTTATTGCTATCATTCCTGGATTCTGTTCCACTATCTATGTAAAAAAACAAAAAAAACAAAAAAAAACGAAAAAAAGTAAACATCATTCTGATTTATATTTTATTATGAGAATAGTTACCTGCGTTAGAAGAAATTACTGTAGAATTAGATAGTCCTTCTATTATGGTCACGCTTAGTAATTCACTTTATATGCTCTTTATGGGTATTGCTGTAAGCAGAAAAAAATTTTTTTTAGTGTCTTACCTAAAAAAAAAAAAAAAAAAAAACCATATCATATAGCCAATTTTCTATAGTAGTATAAGTGATCACTGGAAGATACGTAGACCAGTTTATTTTTTCTCTATCATTATCTATACAGTTGGATCGCTTGCAGCTGTATTTGCTCATGATATCTATGTCTTGCTTGGTATGAGAATACTTCAAGCTGTTGGTATTTCTTCAGCTTGGGCTATCGGTGCTGGGTAAAACGAATTGTTTCAAATGATTCCATGTTACTGATGCAATACTTTAGGTCTGTTGCTGATATCTATGAAGTTCATGAAAGAGGCAATGCATTAGGTATTTATTTCACAGGACAGTTTGCGGGGTAAGTTTAGTTTTCTCCTGAAAAAAAAAAAGATTTTTAACCTGTTGATACTTAGACCTCTTTTTGGTCCTATCTTTGGTGGTTTCCTTGTAGAAAGATGGGGCTGGCAATCTGTATTTTGGCTTTTGTTTTGCTTTGGATGCATCTTGTTGCTTTTGGTATTCTTTGCTATGGAAGAAACATACCGCCAAGAAAGTATTTGGGGCAAAGAAAGTAAGGCAACTGCATTAGAGGACATTGAAACAGACAAAATTACACCACCTGTTCAGGATGTATCTGAGCAAAATACCATGATAGAAAGTAAAATGATCAATCCACTCTCTTCACTTGTAAGTTGTTTTTATTTCTTTTTATTCAATTAACCCTACATCCTTAGGCGTTGTTAAGACACCCCTTTGTTCTTGTGTTTTCTATGGCAACTGGGTTTGCATTCGGTGGTATGTTTGCCATTGAAAACATGCTCCCTGACCTCTACACCTCTACTTATGGACTCAGCAGTGGTATTATTGGCCTTACTTTTATTTCTCCTGGCTTAGGTGAAGTATTCGGTTCCTTAATTAGTGGCAAACTGTCCGATTACTTTTTGAATCGCGCCAAAGCAAAACGTGGTGGCGTTGCTATTCCTGAAGATCGGTTAGCACCCAACGTCTGGCCAGCAGCGTTTATCCTCAATCCTCTTTCCTTTTTCCTATGGGGATGGCCTGTTCAATTAGGCTGGAATGTATGGGTATCTATCATTATGTTTGGTGTACAGTGTTTTGCTATGGTCCAGATCTTTAATCCTGCCATGTCTTATTTGGTAGATGCAGTATCTGACCGTGGTGCTAGTGTGACAGCTGCTGCTAACCTTGTGCGAATGATATGGTCGTGTGTCCTAAGTTTAATTGGTAAGGAAGAACAAGATAACAAAGTCACTTACATACCTTGACTAGCTAACCCTATGACACATGCTGTTGGTGCAGGATGGGTGACATTCTTGTTTGGTATGCTTAACTTTGTTTGGGCATTTTTACTTTTATTGATGAAAATCAAGGGTCCTAATATCCGTGCTTTCTCTGGTTACTAAATCTATTTTTATGATATACCAATTACAATTAATAAAGTAAATTACACAGTTCGCTCTCTCTCTCTGCTTATTGTTAGCATCTTACCTAATCTATGAGAAACGGAGTTTTGGTCATTAAATAAAGAAAAACGAGTCAATACACGTGTATTGCTTTGGTTTCTTTTCAAAGAGGCGGAGCGTAATTGTCTTGATCTGCAGCGATATAACTTGGGTTACATTTTATATTTTCTGTGTGTGAATGTGAGTGAGTAAGAGCGATCTTTTTTTTTTTTTTTTTTTTTTTTGTCTTTTCTCTCTTCTTTTTCTCTTTTTCTTGCGCGAAATACAACTTCACCCGTCGCCATATCACAGATAACATGTCAGGAGTAAAAGTTATATGTCGAGTTCAGGCACTTTATTCCTTTCAGTCAAACGATCCCTCATCGCTTTCTTTTGCTCAAGATGATCTTATTGACGTCTTGAACAAGCTGCCTTCTGGTTGGTGGGATGGCTTGTAAGTCACTTTTGTTTGTTGTTTTGTCTCTTATGTTGATGAATAGATGTAATGGTGTTCGAGGTTGGTTTCCTAGCAACTATGTCAAAGTGATTGAAGAACAACCTGATGATGAAGAAGACATACTTCCACCCGAAACAGTACGTAGTCTGACCATAGATGATGACCAACACTTCTATAGAGCAATAAACAAGATGAATATCGTCTCAGTATGGTCTTTACTGATCATACCACCGAGAATTCAATGCAGGGCAGTAACTGGATCATGCAGCGAACAGAAGATGGTTCTGGCATTTATTATTACAATCCAGTCACTGGCGAAATGAAGGTCAATGAAGATGAAACAATCAAATACAACTATGTTCGTGAATCTACCATGTTGCCAGACAGCGAATATGAATCTGACCATGTATCTACCATTGATTTGCCAAGCTGGTCTGACCAAAGTACAACACATTCTTCTATTGATGATAGGGTATCTATTTAGTTTGTTTAGTGAGCCAATTTAACATTTTCTTTCCCGCTCTGTTGATAGCATTGGATCCGTGTAACACCACAACAAAGCAAGCCTTGCTTTAGCGACACAAACAGTATTGTAAGCCCCTAAAAATTAAGAAAGATAATCCTGACCACTCATATATATCTATATGTATATAGGCTTCTCGATCTTCTAACGAAATGAAACACCCTATTCCTCCACCTCAGTTATTACCAAGATCACCCTCTCGTAGACCTTCTGTACGACGTATTGATGCTTCAGAGCCTCTTAGTTGGACTAAGCTATCGAGCAGTATTGCTATTGCTCTTCACCAACTCACATCAGCAGCTAAAAATGGCCAACATAATATGTATTACAAAAACTCAGTTGACATTGTGAATTCAATACGATTCATGTTGATGGCCTCGTCTACTATCGATAAAGATTCCAATTACATTAAATCAAACAGTACACTTCGCTCTCATCATCGTGCTATGATGGCCAGCATGTCCAAACTTGTCTTGACCGCACAGACTTCCCACACTGCATTTTCCACAGACGATGAACATCAAATCACAGCCAATAAACTATTGGCTGAATCCAGCGAACTTTTAATGATGGTCCGAAACTTTGTAAATACATGTCAAGAACTCAAGGTGCCTTTGACTCATGCAGACCCACAATGGATCGAGGACGAAGAAACATTGACCTCAAGAAGACCTTCCAACAGCAACCGATATAGTCTTCAAGTCAATTTGGCTGAAAACCTAGAAACCATGGGTACTTGTATTCAAGATTCTGCAGAGACAATCATCAAATGTATTGCGTTTACTTTAAAAAAAGAAGAAGACAATACAAGTCTGTCGCAGGACGACAGAGCATCATTGGCAGCACTGTTATTTACTCATTTTAGAAACCTCTCTAACCAAACAGGGTTATTTTTGGGCTATTTGGAGGAGACTGATTTTTCAGCTGTACAACAACAAGCTGAAATGAACGATCTTAAGTTGGGTAAGCAGGCCTTAGCAGACGGTCTTGGTCTTTTGTTTTTCAAGCTACAAGCCTTGACAAGCGAAGATAAGGTTAACTTTCAGACAAGTTTGAGAGAGACAGAAAGTGCTGCTGGTAGCTTGTTTGAACCTATCGAACATATCTGTGAAAGTGTGCATCGATTGGCCACGAGAAATCGCAGCAGAAGCAACAGCACAGCTTCCTTTTTAGCGCTGCCCGATCCCAAGACATTATCTAAAAAGACATCCTCACTCAACACAGACGAATCTATTATTCACGAAGACGACGAAGACGACGAAGACGACGAAGACAAACAAGAAGGCGATACTACACTGCCAGATGAAAACGACCATGATAAGCGCAGCAGTAAAAGTAGCAGTGAGAAGATCAGACCATCTGTTGAGGTCATGGATCGCCATAAATCTGAGTTGCCGCTCCAATCACAGCCTGGATTGCCTTATCCTATGCAGCGATCTCAAACTGCGCCTGCTACTAAACAGACTTCGTCTAACAAACTCAAAAAATTACTTGGCGATGATGCACCTTTGACTGCAGAAGCAGTGGCAGCCAGTACACCAACGAAACCCACAGCAGAGGAACGCCCTGCTTTCCTTGAATACGACTATGGACCCAATGATCTTGTATTCAACATGGAAGGCAATGTCAAAGGTGGTACCTTGCCTGCCCTTGTGGAGCGACTCACCTTACATGACTACTTGGACATGAACTTTATTAACACTTTCTTGTTAACTTACCGATCTTTCTGCAATTCTATGAAATTGATGGACTTGTTAGAAGCCAGATACAATCTGAAATGCCCGCCTGATTTAACTGAAGAAGAAGCATCTGTATGGGAAGAAAAGAAATTGAAACTCGTTCGACTTCGTGTGTTCAACGTGCTCAAGAATTGGCTTGAATTCTATTATTATGAAGACGATAGTGTTCTTCTAGACCGCCTCTTGGACTTTACACAGACAAATATTCGCAATACGCTTAAGTTTTCAAACGGTCAGTTGGAATCATTGATCGAAAAGCGTCGCAATACAAAGGCCACCGAGAACGGCAGTCTAAAGAAAATGATCTTGACTTTGCCCGACCCGCCGGAGCCTATTCTGCCTAAAAACAGACGCCGATTTAAGCTGTTAGATATTGATCCACTCGAAATGGCAAGACAACTTACGATCATGGATTTTAAGTTTTACAGTGCTATTCGACCCATTGAATGTCTGGACAAGGCCTGGTCTGTTCAAGACGATGAAAACAATCTGGCTGTCAATGTGCGTGCTTCGATTGAATACTGTAACCAAGTGACTTCATGGGTCTCTGATGTTATCCTAAGTCAAACTGATATCAAGAAGAGAAGTGTCTTGATCAAGTATTGGGTACAAGTAGCAGAGGTAAGCACGAGTTTTTCTAAGAGAAAACAATGCCTTATGATGTTTCTATAGCGATGTCGAGCTCTTAATAACTTCAATACATGTATGGCTATCTTGTCTGCGTTTGACAACAGTTCTGTAGGTCGATTAAAACGTACCTGGGAAGCTGTAGGCACAAGGACAACTCAAATTTTGCAAGATATCCGTAAACTGATGGGTGCCAATCGTAACTTTAATGCCTACCGTGTCTTTATTCACTCTATCAATCCACCCTGTATTCCCTTTTTGGGTATATACCTCCAAGATTTAACATTTATTGAAGATGGTAATTCAAATGAACTCAAGAAGAGCAAGGATTTGATTAATTTTGCCAAGAGAGCCAAAACGGCTGAAGTCATTCGAGAAATTCAACAATATCAGTCTTCTTTATACCAATTAAAGCCAGTAGAGGAGTTGCAAGACTTTATCAAGCACAATTTGAAGAGTACCCGAGATGAAGAACAACTGTATAAAGAAAGTCTAAAACTAGAACCAAGGTAAGCATTGCCCTGAATATAAACACATTTACTTATTCTATAACAGAGAACGTGAAGATGAAAAAATCACTCGTCTTTTGCAAGAATCTGGATTCTTGTAAGCTATATACACCAAGAAAAAAGTCTCTTCATTCATTTCGTTTTTTTTATATATCTTATTTATTCTAATCTCTTTCTGTCTTTCTTTTCTCGCTCTCATTACACAACACTCTCCTTTGTTATATATTTATATTTAATTCATATGTTAAAAAAAAATTAAGCAGCATTTTGACATAAACACAAGCCTTGTCAGCTACTTTCTTGATTTTTCAAAATAAACGGTCAAACCAATATGTTAAAGAATCTTTGTTCTAATTTATACAGCTTTATTTTATTGATCTAAAAGTGTTGTTCCTGAAATAATCAATTACCTTGTTTCTATTTATACAAGCAGCACCCAGCTATATCCGGTGACCTCTTTTTTGTTTTATATCAAAAGTATTTACACGGACTGTATGCTGTCTTGCACAGACAACTACAGAAAAAGGGGGTCACCTGCTTGATGTTACTGACAAGAACTACCACATTCAGTTCTATACCCGAGAAAATACTTATTTTTTGTTTTTTTGTTTTGTTTTTTTTTTGTTTATACTTTTTCTTTAAAAAAAAAAAAAGGTCATTCCAGACTATTTATGCATTCACAAATGACCAATCTGACAAGTGCACATAATGAAAACCAGGCACTGAAAAAAAAAAAGGACTCGTGACGTCAAAAAAAACAAAGTAAAATCAAACACATGTTCCTGTTTTTTTTTTACATACTTTTTTCTTCTTTTCTTTCTCTTTTCTACTTTCTTTATATACATATATACATATATATACATATATATACATATATTTATTATACCAAATGAGTGTTTCCGTCTTTCTTGATACCTTAAGAAAACACGACCTTGACCAGGTAATTTTTTTTTTAGTCTTATTGTACTTTGATAACTAATCCAAGTGTTTTGTTAGTTTTATTCAACGTAAGATACAAGTCGCTGATTTCTGATTTTGTGTTGATTTAGTTTTATTCTAGTTTTTCTACACACGGCATTACTCACCTTCAAAGTTTGGCTCAAGTAAAAGAAAAAAAAATATTTATTTGTTTATTTCGAGTTCAGCAAGTCTCTAACCATACTATATAGCTTTCTTTACAAGACTATTCTAGATTAGGCATAACAGATACAGTCGACAGAAGAAAGATTTTTGGTCTAGTACAGGCCATTCGAAAAGATACAGATAACCTCACTAGAGGAGCAACCATGGTTCCTTCAGTTTCTACCTTAAACAGTGGACTTCGTCAGCCTCAAACTTACCCAAATAGTGGTACAACAACAATAACAACAACAACAACAAGGCTACCTCAACCAGATAGTTTCCCAAACAACAACAACAACAATCGTGGTAGAAGACAAAGTGTGATAGGATCCAACCTAAAATCACCTCAAGTCAACGCAACCTCACTCGAAAGACCTACTCGAAGCCGCACCATGTCAGATGCTCCTCGTCCTGATTTTTCAAACACAAAACCATTCTCCAAAGACCGCCGCATAGGGTTACGCCGATCACTCTATCTGGATCAACCACCCATGCCACCTCAACTAAGTTCAGACGACGACAATGAAGATGAAGAAGAGGAAGAAGAAAACAAGCGAAAAATCCGTGTTTCTGCACCTCTTTTAGATGCTTATGGTGTCCCACTTTCACCTGCAAGAGCACAGAGAGCATTGATGAACACACGTTATGACTTACCACCTAGTGATCTAAATCAAAAGATTCGTGTGTGCGTGCGAAAAAGACCGTTGAGTAGAAAAGAGATTGATAAAGGTGATAAAGATATGGCGCCCACATTGGGTACTCGAAGTCTACAAATTAATGAACCCAAGCAAGTAGTTTTAATTATATAGTGTGTCACTCATACATGTTATTAGGTTAAGGTTGGATTTAACAAAATACACAGATCAACACACATTTACTTTTGACGATGTGTTTGATCTCAATTGTGCAAATTCAATCGTCTATGAAAGAACAGCACTTCCACTTGTCAACTATATCTTCAAAGGAGGGAAAGCAACTTGTTTCGCCTAGTAAGTCATGGTCTACATCACAATAGATTAAATGTATATTCTAGCGGACAAACAGGCTCTGGTAAAACCTATACCATGCTAGATCCTAATAATGGTCTTTATATTTTGGCCGCTCGTGATATTTTTTCCATGCTTCGTAAACCAGAAAATCAGCATTTGACTGCTTGGATTGGTTTATACGAAATATACCAAGGACAACTTTACGATTTATTGAACGAGAGAAGAAAATTGTTTGCTCGAGAAGATGGTAAAAACAATGTCATCATTTCTGGACTCAAGGAATACCCGATTGATAATGTTGACAAGCTAATCCAAGTGTTTGAATATGGCAGCAGTGTTCGTAGTACAGGTAGGACAGACATCAAAAGAGACACACATCATTCATATCTTTGTATATATGTATATATAGGCAGCACAGGTGCTAATGATAGTTCATCCCGTTCTCATGCTGTACTTCAAATCTTACTTAAATACAAGACAAACAAGAAAAAGATACATGGCAAAATGAGTTTTATTGATTTAGCTGGCTCAGAAAGAGGTGCTGATCGAGGCGAAGCAGACACAAAGACAAGAATGGAAGGTGCAGAGATCAACAAGAGTTTACTTGCCTTGAAAGAATGTATTCGTGCCTTGGATCAAGACAAGCGACACACACCATTCAGACAGAGTAAACTGACTCAAGTGTTGAAAGATTCTTTTGTTGGTAATTCCCGAACTTGTATGATTGCCACTATATCTCCTGGTGGATCCAACAGTGAACATACCCTAAATACCTTAAGATATGCAGACAGGTAAAACCCCTTAAAAAAAAGAGTGTATGTGTCACTCACTATCATGAACAGAGTCAAAGAATTGAAAGGAGAAAGAGACAAGAGAATGCAAATGGAAAGAAACCCAAGTGGCTCTGGCAGTAGTGTGAATGAACAAACACAACAACATCAACAACAATCAGAAGAAGACGAATTAGAAGACGACGAGGATGACACCTTCTTACAAGACGATGAAGATGAAGAATACTTTAGTAATGAATCTGATATCTTGGACGACGATACATTCAATATTGACCAAGAAAACATTTTTGATGTTGATTTCCCTCATGAACAAGACGCTTTGATTCATTCCAACTTTCATAATAATAATAATAACAATAACAATAATAACAATAATAACAATAACAACAGTGCAACCACAGCATCACCTCAAAAATCACCTTCACTTAGGTATGGCATGGTGAGTGCAGCTTCTGTTGCTTCATCACCCGAAGACTCTGTCTTTAGCAGTAACAAACCACAACGACCTAACTCAATGTCGCCTTATTCAAGCTTATTGAATGAACCGTCTTCTACAGCTATGGGTCGACCTTTATCATTACAAATGAAGCGCTCTTCATCTACAATACCTCGCTCTTTTTCCATGTACACACCACCAAGGGCCTCTATGACAGACGATTTCGCACGTCCTACTCAACAACAATCATTTATGACGATTGATACATCCAACTTACCACAATACCGTCAACCCAAGACAGCAGACACTGTCTCCTCACTCACAGGCGTACCTTCATTTAGCTATGAAAAAATGGACGAGTTTGTCAAGTTCCATCGAGCAGAAATACGTGAAATCACAGACTGTACAAAGAAAGAAACCAAACTGGTAGCCAATATTTCTCTTGACCTTTCTTCAAATCAAGAAGACGGTCAACAAAAAGACAGCAAAAGTCAATCTCAATTCCATAAATACTTGCGTGACTTAGATGAAATTTTGGAGCGAAAACTGGCTGCAGTGGAAGCCTTAAGAGATCGCATTAATGAAACTGTTTGTCAAATTGAATTATAAGCTTTAAATAAAAGAAGTTTATTATCTTAAATTATTATTCGTCGTGATCTAAACCACCGTAATGGCCTTCAGCAGCATCTTGCTTGGCTTCTTCCATTTGTTCAGCTGTAAATGTAATACCATCATGCAGAGGATTAGCAGGTCTTAACTTGAAGAGGGATTTATTGTCACCCTTTTCTTCTTTACCTTCATCTTTTTCTTCTTTATCGTCTTCTTTTTCTTCTTTATCGTCTTCTTTTTCTTCTTTATCGTCTTCTTTTTCTTCTTTGTCATCGTCTTTTTCTTCTTTATCGTCTTCTTTTTCTTCTTTATCGTCTTCTTTTTCTTCTTTATCGTCTTCCTTTTCTTCTTTGTCATCGTCCTTTTCTTCTTTGTCATCATCATCTTCTTCTTCAACGTCTTCTTTTTCTTCAGCGTCTTCTTCAGCGTCTTCTTCAGCGTCTTCCTTGAGTTCCTTGTCCTCGTCCTTATCGTCTTCTTCGTCTTCGGCTTGAGCCTCAACATTGCTATTCTCTTCTTCCTTGTCCTCCTCCTCCTCCTCTTCTTCTTTGTCTTCTTTGTCTTCTTCCTTCTTTTCTTCAACATTGGTTTCATCTTCTTCAGCGAAATTGATAGGAATAAACTTGTTCACCTTAACAGTAGGTTGATATTCTCGAGCAACAATAGCAGCAGGACGACCATGTTGAATTACTCCGTTATCAACAACAGGACGAGCCAATGCTAAAGAAGCCAAGCAAGCAAGGATAGCACCACCCAAAATAGTCGAACGAACGTACATTTGTGAAATTTGAATTTATCGTATAGAATTTTTTTTTCGAGTTTTTATAGCTTGCATTGATTTGATATTGAACTAAATAACAAGCATGGAAAATTGACGGGTATTTTTTTTCTTGTTCCTGACCTATATGTATTGTTTGTTTAAAGCAATCGTTTACAACAAAATAAATCCTGATAAATTCAAGTCATGAAAAAAAAAAAGAGAGTTTATTGTGAATGTATCGAATTATCCTTGACTTCCAGGCATAAAACTTAGATGTTGGAAGGATAGAGCATCTATTTGAAAATAATGAGAACAAGCCAATACACACACATACACAGTATATATACTTACAACACGGACAGAAGCACCAAAGACCTTAGGGGGCAAGTTCTTACGGAAACGAGCCTTGACAACACCGTTAGTACCGTGAGTACGAGCAATGCGACCCCAGATGACACGGATCTTGGAACCGTTGATTTCACGTTGAGCACGGTAAACGTAGGCAACACGCTTACCGAGGTAGAATTGAGCATCCTTGGTGGTTTGGACACCTTCAACTTGAATGAGAGAGGTGTTGGGGTTTTGGTTACGCTTAGCACGTTCGAAACCTAAAACACGGCCCTTGCTGTACAAACTAAAGCAAGTATAAGATCATCCATCCATCTATTGATTGATTGATTGATTGATGAGCTTACCGATCGGATCCAGACATGTCTAAAGATTGGTGATGAAAGAGGAGGGTGTCTAATTTTTACCCATTGCGACTTTTTTCCCCCAAGTTTACAGTAACCTCCCTTAGAAGAAGATTACCCCCCAACTGTCTGTCTCTCACCTCTCTGGCTCTCTCTCTCTCCATCCAGATACCGGAGTATTCCGGACCGCACCTGAATGATCAAAATTAAAGGGGGGGGAGCAAAGAGATCAGCATAATTCAGATACCGTATTTCTCCTTTTCTCTATCTCTCTCTCTCTCTCTTTCTTTTTTTTCTTTTTTTTTGTTGCTTTCAATGAACCCAGAAAAAAAACGAGCACATCATATATCTGCCCCTCTACCGCCACATTTTCAAGGATTTAACCAGTCCACTTCAGACTCGTTGTTTGAAGATTATCCACCACCTCCTGCTTATCAACCACCTCAATTCAACGAGGGCTCTATTCCCCATAGCAAGAGTGCTCATTACCCTATGAGCCAATTCTATTTACCGCAACCTGCACCACAGACTGTGGTTGTGTATCGACAACCAGCAAAATCAAAAGATGCTTGTTGTTGGGGATGGTAAGTACGCTTTTCTGCACACCATTGATTTCCTTATCCTTCTTTTAGTCTAGCAGCCATTTGTCTATGCTTTGGCGCAAAAGAATGCTGTCTTTAACCAGAGCCATGTAGATTATCTATGTATACCCTTTCTTTTTTTTTATATTTATAATGTTGTACAAAACCATATCCAAAATAAACTCCGTAGCTTTCATATTCTGTGTACTTGCCCTTAAAAGCAAGTATATTAAATACTTGTAAATGAGACAAAAAAAAAACTAGTTTATAGAGTACATTGCATTGGAGGTTTTTTTTTCTATTAGAAAGAAAAGAAAAAAAAAGTCAAAGATTATTTTCCAAGAACATGACATACTTATTTGTACAAAACCACGTTTTACTTTCTTCCTTTATTTTGCTTCCATAAAAAAAAGTTACAACTCAACTGATCTTCACTCGGCCCGTGTTGCAGCCGTGGTTTAGAACATACATAAAACACACGGCCAAAGTTCGGCCCCTTTTTAGTCACAGTTCTTTCAAGACATGGTTCATTGTGGTATGTACACCGAGGAATTTCTGGTGTCTGAAAGATAGATGTCCAAGTGGCTTTTGTTGCTTGATTATTGGAGATGATGGGGGATACGTCTTTCTCTATGACTGTCGAAGGCTTCTTAATAAAATAGTTGTCTATCATAGCTGCTGTCGTCTTCTTTTTCTGACTTGTTTTCTGTATCTTTTCTGATGTTTCTTGTGTTGATTGTTCTTCAAGAGGTCGTTTTCTAAAGTAATTTGACAATTTGTTTTGATGTTTGAATTCTGGAAAATTAGAAGCCAGCAATGTTGAGTTTAAATATCGCTGCTCCGATGTCATCTTGTCCCTTAATTCGTCCGAGAAATCTGCATAAACAGGACAATGATCAGATCCCATCAGATGCGGCTGAATATCTGCAAATCGAAAGTAATCTGATAATCCAATCGAGGGCAAGACATAGTCAATACGCGTGCCGAAATTAATAGGTCTTGCATTCATACGCGTATTCCAACAGGTGAACATTTTCTGTCGGCCAGGATGATAAAGACGTGTCATGTCCACCAAAGGACCTTTAGGGTCTATCATGTTGTCTAACCATCGTCGCTGAGGTAAGTCTTTAAAGTCCTCTAGGTCATGATCTTTGATACTCTGCTTTGGGTCACAATGGTCTATTTCTTCATGGACAGCATTGATATCTCCTACCAGAATGACATGTTTGTGCTTCAACTCACGTTCTATTCTGTTCTGTACAGCACGATGGAAGTCCATTTTGAATTCAATACGAACCTCTCCAGCATCATTTGGAAAATAGATGTTTAGTAAAATAAAATAGCCAAAGTCAAGCAAGATAGACCGTCCTTCTGCATCGAGTTTTTCAGCTGGCGTATTTAGTGTATAGTGCTCCATGTCATCAACAATGGTTTCATGTATTTGAATAGGCTGAGGTAAACTTTCTCTGACATAAGCCACTACTCCTGAATAGCCCAGCTTAGTTTTTGAAAAAGAGAAATAAGCATGATAACCAGGTACCAATGCCATTTCCCTTGTTAGTTTAGATCGTTGACATTTCACTTCTTGTAGACTAATAGCAATGTGAGTTGAATCATATAAGCTATTATCCAATTTACCAAATAATGTCAGCATTTAATGTGTCTAACAAGGCCTAAACACACACATACACACACATATATAAACATCTGATTTATTTTTGTTACTTTATTTACCTTAAAAGACTTGGTTTCTGACCAAGGATGATATTGTATAGTGGTTGCTAAACCATTGACATTCCAGGTTAGTATCCTCATCTCATACACAAAAATAGCTTGGGTGGGAAATAGTAAACAAAAGATAAAAAAAAAAAATTCATGCGAGTACATCATTTTCATTGTGTCATGTAGAAATTGCCATAAAAGGAATAATCAACGTGATGACGTATCAAATCCATTTGTTTTTGTATACATAATAAAATATGCATGATGACACGCCAAATGAAATAAACTTAAACTCATTTATAGCATGTGACAATTTTTATTTACCTGGGTGGGAATGACTGTAGGTAAAAATCGGAAAAAGTCGGGCACAGCGAAATAAAATTTTCTATTGGACCATAATGACAAATTTTCAGTTTTTTTTCTTTTTTTTTTTATAAAAAAAATCTTTTTTATTGTTTTTTATTGTTTTTACTTGTGGTTTGAATTAAGGTACAATGACAAAAGTAAAAAAAGTAAGAAAGAAAAAAAAAAAAAAAAAAAAAAGGAAAATGAGACCTTGCAATTAAATTGATCTTATCAGTAAATAATAGGAGTAAGACTGATTTGTTTATCCTGTTCTTATCTTTAAATTTACCACCGAATGATTGGTTGAAATGTCAAAATGGACGCCAAAATAAGAATAATCCTGATAAGACGAAAGATCGCTGTCTGATTGGCTAAATCGGAATCTATTATCTCTCCATATGATTTTTATTTTCTCTTTCTATATATAAAGTCTATTTTTTTTATTTCATTTTCTATTTTTTCCTTTTCTTCTTTTTTTTTTATTTTTTACACAAATAATATATATATATTTATAATTGAGATTTTCTGCATGTATACTTTTCAAAAATGTCAGGCTAAAAGCAACAAAGCACCTCTTCATATCAACACTGATTCTTTGGGCATTGCCTTTCATGAGAGCAATGGCCCAAAGAACATGGCATCTCCTTTGCCTTCTCCTTCCTCCTCCTCCTCTTCTTCTTCTAGTTCACCTCATAAATCTATCTCTCGTAGCAAATGTCAATTAAATAGACCTCAACAAAGCTTACCCAAAGTCACTGGTAAATCCTATGAAAGTATCAAAAGTCCTGCTGCTTCCTTCTTAGCTGGCTTTGCTTTCTCTCCTGTTCAGACTCGTGCAGTCGAAGAAGAACAAGAAGGAGATGAAATTGATGATTACGTAATTGATAAGATCATTGGCTATGGTGGATTCTCAACTGTTCGAAAAGGATTCCGTATCTCTGATGGTCAACACGTAGCTATCAAAATCATCAAGAAACAAGACATGCAAGTCGACATGAGACTTGAAAGAGAACTGGATATCTGGAAACAACTTGACCATCACAACATTGTTTGTCTTCAAAAAGTACTTGACACGGATCATGCTACATTCTTAATCTGTGATTATTGTCCTGGAGGCAGCTTGCTTGATTTATTGAACAAGAAATCACTGACTGAATCTGAAGCACGCCGGATCTTTGTCCAATTGTGTGATGCTATTCGTTATTTACATGAAGATGCCAAGGTTTGCCATAAAGATCTCAAGCTTGAAAACATTCTGTTGCAAGACAATGACCATGTCAAACTATGTGATTTTGGTTTAGCCATGTGTCAACAGCCACTCAAGATCAATCCAGTTACGCATCTTCCCTTGTCACCTGATCTCAGTGACTCTGACGACAATTGTGCTGGGGGTTCATTGGCTTATGCTGCTCCTGAACAGATCAAATCGACAAAAGCCATTGGTTGTCCTTCCACTGATATTTGGTCCTTGGGCGTCATTCTGTATGCTCTTGTCACTGGTAAATTACCCTACTCTGATAACTATGATTTACGCTTACAACAAAAGATCTTGCATGGTGAGTTTGAAATGCCTACTTTTGTTTCTCCTGAACTTCAACTCTTACTAAGACATTGTCTTGAATCTGATCCTCAAAAACGTTACACAATTCAACATATCTTACAGTCTAGCTGGTGTACTGCCTTGTAATTTTCTCATCTTCTCATCCTTAATTTTTATTTTCTTTTGTAAATAGCATGTTTATACCATACATTCCATCACATGATAATAAAATAAAAAAAAGAATTGTATATTTTTTTAACCATCATTGACTAAACGATCAAACCCATCTACCACAAAAAAAAAAATGAACAAAGTGATATCACACGTTTAACTTACATGCACAAACGCCTTCCATATAACACGCTAAAACAATACCAGCCCCTACTTGAGACACAGGATGATCAAACCGAGTAAAAAAAGCCAAACTATAAAAGATTTGCCAGTGATGTAAATGAATAACTATTTTGGAACTGTATGGGTTATGGAATGCATTCGTCAATAATTGTGTCCTTTCCTCGCCATTGGTTTGGTTTCTCCAACCAGAAAGTCGTGCTCGAATCCAATTTGAGTTGATTTCAGTCGATAAAGCAAACGAAGACATTAAAATGCTGATAGGTACCAATAATCCCGAGACATAATACAACAAAAAAGGTGGAGGCAATAAAGAGCCTAGATAGATATGATAGCCAGCAAACACAAGGATTACACTCAAGGCTATCAAGAACACAATCCACATGCCTCTTGGCCAGTGTTTGATATTGGGCAATGATGTCTTTGTGAAAGGCAACTCGGCTATTAAGGCATATCCAAATAAGGAAGGATAGAAAGCAGCCACTGTGATCCAACTAAGTTGAGTTCAGCCGATAGTGGTTGCTATGGTAATCGTACCTGAGTGTATTTGCATAATTGCCAAACGTGAATAACAATAAGCCATAGGACAGTCCATCTAATAAATCACTCCAATGCCTTGAAGCTGATTTTGGATTTGTTTCCCATTGAAAACGATGAGCAATCAAGCGATAAATAGGATAAGGAATTAAGTAAAATAATAAGAAAAACAGACAAAATGTCTTGATATCAAATGCATATAAAAATAAATCTTTTTCTTTCATTTTTTTTTTCTTTATTAAGAGAGAAAAAAAAAGAAAAAAAAAAAGAAAAAATTTTTTTATATATATTATTGTTATGTATCTATTTGAGCCTAGTGAACTTGTTTCTTTACTTGGACATGCAACCACTGTCACTTTAAAGAATAAAAAGACAATAGAAGGCTATTTGTATACTATTGATCCAGATGCTCATCACGTCGTGTTATTTCAACATCCCAACAAAGTGATGGTGATTATGCACCACACAATAACAGACATAAAAAGTAAAAGACCACATATATTTACAATTTAATAAAATTCAATCTAGTTGATCAACAGCACAACATAGACTCGAGTACAATGGATGCATTACTTGATTATGACGCCAAGCCATCCACAGCATGGATAGAGAAAAGGCGCCTAGATCTAATGGACCATTTACACAAAGTAAGCTAGAGTCCAGTTGATCCTTATTGAAACCATTTGATTAGCACCGTGTGCCTATAGAATGGGACGGCCAAGTGATTCATGTCTTGAGTTGTGCACGTGTTGAATCCCCTTATGTGGCTACGAGTATCGTATGCGATAATGCCCTGATTCGAAAACGTGTGCGGGACATGATTCTTCAATTTGACTGAGGTGAATTATGAAGCATCACTAACACATTGGCTGCATCTTGTTCAGTAGGTGAAGTACTGCGTTTTTCTGAAATAGGATAATGAAGTAATAAAGTGGAAATATAGCGAGCAGGTGTATATGTTGCATGTGTCTGTGTTGGATAATAACGATGCTTGGTAACTTTTGGAAGAATTGATTCAAGTGTATAAAGGTCATAGTGTTCATAGCCATGCTTTCTTTTAAAATTAGCCAATGCTAATCTCACTTTTAAACGATATACTGTCTAGACAACCATAAGTGACTCTGTTTATACAATGCTTTGTTACCTCTTTCATTGTCTGTGTCATTAGAAATAAAAAGAGAGAGAGAGAGAGAAAAAAGGAAAAAAAAATGAGAAAGCAGTTTTATAGATAGACAACTTATTTTGGGTTATGACGCGTGAATAGGGGGAATGATCATAAAGTGGTCTTTTTTACAAACATCTTTCTCCTTATATGTTCTTATGATCAAGACCGATGAAGAACCCGATGATGTTTCTTGTCTGTGCGTCATGTTGCTTTGATCATGTGCATTTCGATTATTAAGACGAACCGGACAAGTGCCGGACATGGTTAGTCATGCATGACATACATTTCTAAGCAACACTTTGATTTTTAAGCAACATTCAAACAAAACATGTCTATTTATGACACTTGTCTTTTTTACTTGTTTATTTCTGCTTTTTGCTGTTTTTTATCCATTCAATATGAATTCGCAAGAACGTATTCCTGTCACGGTCATTACTGGCTTCTTGGGCTCGGGAAAGACCACTTTATTAAACTATATTCTGGATCAAAACAAACAAGGAAAAAACCTTCGTTTGGCTGTGATTGAGAATGAGTTTGCTGCTGCGTTTGGGATTGAAAATGAAATCTTGCATCATGACAAGACAGAAGATATTCAACACCTTTACGAATTTGGCATGTAATGTTTATTTCTATGTGTATTTCGATACTCATGTTGAATATTAGGGGATGTGTATGTTGTTCTTCAAGTGGTGAATTGATCAATGCCCTGGTTGAAATTGCCATGCGTAATTTGGAAGAACCCAAAGAGAAGCGTATTCAACATGTCATTTTAGAAACAACAGGCTTAGCAGATCCAACGCCTATTCTTCAGTTGATCACTCAAGGTGCCGACAGAAAGGGTACAGATGACATTGTCCAAAACTACTATGTCAATCAGATCATTACCTTGTTGGACACAAAGCATTTTTATCAACACTACTTGAATGCTTCCACTGACTATAAAAACGAATTACTGGCTCAAATCTTGACTACAGACACGATCATTTTGAACAAAATAGACTTATTGGACAATTCAACTCAAGACTTGGAGACCATACAACAGCTGATTCAGACACATAATCCAACAGCCAACTTATTCATGACTTCCTTTGCTCAAGTGCCTATGGACATCATTTTGAATGCCCGGTCTCAACAGCCCATTCAACCCAATGCACTTCAAGAAGCTGCCAAGACACATGATCCTTCCATTGAACAAACCATGGTACTTGCGCCTGGATATGTTGACCTTGAAGCCACTCAACAGTTTATCAAAGATGTTACCTGTCAAGGCCATATTTACCGTGTCAAAGGTGTCTTGGCACTCAAAACTAAACCAGATACTAAATTTGTAATTCAAGGCGTCGATAATGATCAACTTGCAGTAACAGAACATGGACTATGGCAACCAGAAGAAACAAAAGAAAGTCGAGTGACCTTCATTGGTCGAGATGTGATGCAACAATGTCAAGCACTAGAGGCTTTGTTTATCAAAACTTGTTTATTAAACTAGAGTTCAAATCTTTCTTTTCGCATTGGCCAATCATAACGCACAGCGAGATTGTGTGTGGTTGTCATGGTAGATTCATGTGCACAGACACCTAATGCCACTGTAGAGTGACCTTGAATGTCATGAAAAAGTTGAGGATAATTAGGTCTAAAAGAAGCTTTAAACTTGATAGAAGTCAAGTTATGGGGTATACTATAGTTTTCTTCAGGATCAGATAGACCAGTAATGTAGATCTGGATCTGCAAATCTAACTGAATCGTGTTGGAGAATGCCTCCAATTCCTTTTCAAATGCGTAAAATGTGTCTATTACATGGATACTCCAGATCAAATGCACTGTTTGTGTCTTGATAGCATGTTGTTTCTCTTGAATGTATCCTAACAAACAAATCCAAGGTGTGATGCCTACACCTTCTGCTACCAACACAATCGTTTCAAAATCACCAAACTCAGTCCCTGAGCTAGTTAAAAAGGGCCTGCCTAAAGGTTTACTAATTCTTGCCTTGATGGTGGTATCAGCAGAAGATTGACCCAGATCATACAATCTTCTTGTTTGAGAACCATTTGCTTTGATATAAAACACATAATATGTTTGTTTAGGAATCAAAGTAGATGCGTCCTGTTCATCTTTGATGTCATAGTCTATACGAGCAATAGAGAATGGATGTGAATAAAACCAAGCCTTCCACCATGAAGTTGAGAAAAAGGACACGTATGCAAATTGGCCAGGCGTAAGAGACGAGTGTGAATAAGGCACATCACAACTTATGCGGACAATATCCCCAGGCATGGCTTCTACATGACACACTTCTGTTTTGTAAGACCGGTCCAATTGATCTGTGATCCAAAACAAGACCACTGCTGCATAAAATACATAGAATAAACCATGATGAAGACACCCAAAGCAGATCAACACAAAGAAGCCTAACAGATGAGTGACACGAAAGAGCTTGTAAGACAAGGTACGTATCAAAGGATGGGATCCCAAGGTCAATACACAAAAGGCAGCTAGCATACATGTACCCGAGACATAACGTACATTCAACAGCTGTTGTTCATAGTTGAACTGAAGTTGCCATGTACCGTGATACAAGACTTGAATGAACGCAATGCGTCCAAACCAGACATGCCATCGTATGGTTTGGCCCAAACTAAAAAAGTGCTGTTGAATGAAGGATCGTTTAGCTGATAACAGAACAGAACACGCTGTATTGACCATAGCAAGTTGAGCAGTTCGGTTTGCCATGACTTGTAAATTGTCCTCGGGCATTGGGTTTGGCAACAAGAGAATCGAGATCAGATTAAGGCTGATAATCATCAAGATCTTGAAAATATGTTGTATGGACAAAGTCGTTTGAAAGATACGCCACTCGTAATAAAGCCATGGCCATACCTGTGTATGAGATAATGTATGGCCTAATAATTTAGCTTTCTTGTATTTGACTTGTTGATACCAAGCATGAAATAGAAGCAGTAATGAGCCAATAGACAATGAAGATATATAGGTCAGTATGGCAGCATAATCCTTGCTTTGTTCATGATTGGGTATGGAAACAAAGGCAAGATAAGAGTTGAGCTGAATAAGAAAGAATACAATAGCTATGCTCACTACACTATAAATCAATAGTCTGGAGGATAACATACAGAAAAGAAAAGCAATGAATTTATTATTAAGCCCAGCTGGATTTGATATGATGATTATTCGTCATAGCTAAACAAGGTTTGCTTGCTTAATGATATTTTCTCTAGTATGACTGTATATTTGCTATCATCTGGAGTTCATTTGGTATAATAGGACTCGAACAAACCCTTTTCACTTGCTTCTTCGTCTGAGAAATCAACATAGCAAAAATGCGGCTTGTGGTTCAAGGCGAGCTCAAAACCAAATAAGGTAAGGAACTCCAATCCTTTTTCTTCTGTGTCAAATATAGCGACGACATGATCAAATTCACCATGGTCAACAAACAGTCTTCAGATAGACATGGTATAGTGTATTTAATTACCGCGTGTGCATGTAGACATTTATATTTTGAACAAGTCACCCAACTAGAAAATCTTTTTTCTTTTCCTCTCTCTCTCTCTCTCTCTTTTTTTTTTTTTTTTCTTTCTCTCTTATTATGACAGGAAACGACGACTCAACTAAAAAATCCAAGAAATTTGCAGTAGGTGACCTACCTCCTTCTCCTACAACCAGTACAGGCATGGTAGGCACTACAAAGAGACCCACACGACACCACGTCAAGAGACGCTCTAGTGGCCGAGTTCATGTATCGAAATTGGCTCCTATGGCACGAGCTCATTCTGACGCGGATACTGAAAAACCCATCAAACGTACTCAGTCCAATAAATCGCTTTCTCGGTTATCTACAGACCGTAAGCCTGTCGGACTGACACCTGCTGAGCCTCATTCTCCCCCTACTACACCACCTATGACAGAAACCAATCATAAACCTAATTTCCACGTTTCACATACAATACCCGCTGCACCTATAGAGCAACCTCTTTCTGTCACAGCCGATGATTTAGTGACACCTGATAAAAAACCCCTTTTGAAATCGCAGTTTGTGGATAAAAAGACCACACTCTCCAATGCTGCTGCTACGACTACTGGCATGACTCGGACACAGCAGAAACTGTTGTTGCAGCGAGAACAGAGTCTGATTCATGATGAGAATCATATTGCTCATCCTAAAAACATGATTCGCTTAACGCGCGAAATGGAAAAGATGGGCAGAGAGTATCGCTGTGTGCGTAAATACCAAGATCCCATGATGGACAGTCTGATACGATGTCAACAACAAAAGAAGCCTCATTTGCTTCATCAGCGTACCATGTCTTCTGCTCAACTAGCTCAGAATGTAGTTCCACATATGGAACAAAGAAGACAGATCTTACTAAAAGCAGCATTACAGAAACAAAGGGAACAACAAGAACAACAGCAACAGCAACAGGAAGAAGAAGAGTCCTTATTAGATGGTCATCGATGGAGTGCAGGCAATTTTATCGAGCGTTTGTTCTATGGTACTTTATAACTTTAGGTCCAACAGACCATTCTACCCGTTGCATTTGCAGCTAAAATGGTTGGGTTTGCTGTGGTGGGATGGAATTGACACACACTTGGAATAGCTGTAATATGATCTCCGTCATATAGTCTTGCCACTTCTTTTCCTGTCACTCCAGAATAAATATCCGTTGTATGCTTCATATTACCTATAATCAAGTGTTGGTAGTCCCAACCATTCAGTTTGTTGGTATTCCATCTTGCTCTAAAATTTGTCACCCATCTAAAGCCCTATCAACTTTTGTTCTTTTTTTTTTTTTTTTTTTTTTTTTTTTTTTTCATTGCGTTCTTCCTTACCTGCCAGTATGATTGTTGTGATGAATAGCAGCTTTGAGTTCAAGAGATTTTTTATCTTGAGTTAAATCAAACAATCGAATATAATCATCATAAGACGTGGTAGCTAAAATATCCCCTTGAGGTGACCAATAAGCACTGGTAACTGAATAGCCATGCTCTATTTCCTGCAAGATTTTTTGTTGCTTAAGCATACGTGTATCCCACATGCTCGCTGTTCTATCGTTTGAACCAATAGCCAACAAATGTTGATGTACTGGATTGAGATGGACACAGCCTACTTTTTTATCTCGTAACTGGTGTTCTTCTACCATCTTTGATCGCTTGTCTTTAAAGATCACTTGTCCCTCTGAAGTAGAGAACCAAACAGAATGTCCATCTTGAGAAAGATCAAAGCAAGTAATACCGTAACTTTCATCATTCAAATCAAGGTCATCAATAAACTCTGCTTTGTTCATGTCAAAGGTTCGAATTCGACCATCATAAGAAGAGGTCATGATCTTGGAATGATCTGAAGGCATGAAATGAAGATCTGTGATATTGGCTGTATGAGGTCTATATTGATATACAACAGGATCACCATCAGGCTGAACACCTTCCACATCCCAGAATCCCAGATAGCCTTCTGTATCAACACTACAAGCTAATAACTTTATATCTGAAGGATGAAATCTAATACAAGTGAACAAACAAATACTTATGTTTCAGTAACTTACTGACAAGCTGTGATACGAGAAGGATTGACTTTGACAGTAGCCCATTCATGTTGAATTTTAAGATTGGCCAATCGTTTCTCAAGTGCTTGATCTGACTTAATCACAAGCCCTGATTCTTGTTTGACGGTGGGTTCTATATTAGGAACTGACAACGCATCTTGCATCAAATTCTTGAGTTCTTTATGTTCTTTTGCATCAAGGACATCCTGTGTTTGATTCTTTGCTCTTTTCTGACCAGGAAACGCATCCAACTCAACTAAATCAAGACCTCGTTTGAGTTCATCTTTATCAGGACTCTTGCCACGAAGACGATTGGAGACACGCGTAGGGACTTTAGGTTCTTTTTTCTTGGGCTTAGGCGTATGTTTTTTTAAAGTAGTGGTGGATGGTTTGGTCGGTAAAGTAGGAATTTCTAAATTGCGTAGTAAAGCTTCGTTTTCTCTTTTCTTGATGTTAATTCATGTGCAACATGTTCATTTTTTACCTAATATTTTCTAATCGTCTCTTTTCGTATTCTGATAAAACCATGATGAAAGCAGAAAGAATAAGGAAAAGAAAAAAAAAATGAAAGACAGTTTTTCCTCTTTTTTTATGCTCGGAGTTTGGAGACTTGACAGCCCGTACGATCAACGCTAATGCAAATACGAGTTTGTATTAAAGTGCGTCATTGCTTGATGTCGAGCATAAAAAGAGAGATAAATACAAGAGTATTTGATGTCAGTACGATCTACAATGGCTACCTCTCATAGGCTTCTTTCTTGTATACTCAACATAGAGTCATTGCATATATTTTGCGTCCATTGTTAATGATAAAATAAACTTACAATCTATATTGGGTAGTTTCTGCTGACCAAATGTGGCAAAGGCATTTCTTAGGATGTTATTGTTGTAGTAGTATGTGGTACAAAAACTGGAACAAGTATTCCATACAACACGAATAAAGGTCTATATTACACTTTTTTTTACTTGAAGTATAAATGAAGAAGTATTTTACGGTAACATAGAGACAAAGGCATTATGAGAAACAACGAGCGTTGTCCAAAGTGCACGCCAAGAACAGTTTGACAAAAGTAAAGAGTTGGCAAGCCAAGGGCATTCCTCGGAATCAACCTAAAAAGCAGTCCGCATTCTCTTTTATCGTGTATCGCAATACAGTTGTTGACTGCCATCTTTATGATAAAAGGTACATAATATCGTACCTTTCTTTTCAAGAAAAAACAACATTATCCTTATGATCCGAGCCAGTCATAATCATTTTGGTGTTACCTCCTTTGCTATCAGAAACTTTAAATTGGATCTTCAAATGGGGTTTCATTTTATTGCTGCGAGAATAGAAGAAAGAGAGGGCCAGAGAGAAAAGTTTAAAGGCGCTGAATTAGCAGTCAAGCTAAGAAATAAACCGCAGCACTTTTTTTTTCTGGCTCCAAAAGATTATTTAACTACGAATACGTGTTCACTTTTCTATTTCTTTTTTTTTCTCTTTTTATTTTTGTTTTATACACATATCTTTCCCCTTTATATCTAATTGGAAAATTGACTAAACCATTCTCTTTCCTATTTGTTTTTTTCTTTTTTAAAACAAAAAGACATAGGCCAACTTCTTGCCTTGTTTTAACATATCCTTTTGTTTGAAAAGAAAGGATTGCTCTATTAATAAAACGAGAAAAAAACCGAGAGAAAGCGAGAGAGAGAAAAAGAGAGCTATATAAAAAAAAGGAAGAGTTATAAGCTTATTTTTGAGTAAATCATTCTTATACTCGAAACAAGATACCTTTTTTTGACATAACTATCTTGGATCAACTCTCAAAAGAAAAACAATCGTCGAGGCAACACTTCTCTATGGTCACCATTTTATAACCAACAACAAAACAACAGTGACTTCTCAATTAACCAAATCAAACAAGCTACAATGAAGAAAAAAACAAAAGACAAACAGGCAAGCCGGCATGAAGGCGCCACAGTAAACTATCTCCCTCCATCCCCTCCTGCTCAGCAGAAGCTTCCTCAAGAAGCTCATTTTCAATCTTCCTCATCGCCTGTAGGAAGACCTCCACCTTTATTTATGGATCATCTTGGCAACACACCTGTGTTGGACGAATTGACAGACGCAAGAGATCATGCAGTATTTCAAGATTTCGATGCTTTCCTTGCTGCTCAAGAAGCACCTTCTGTTTCTTCTCCCATTGTCAATCCTTGCTTTATTCTAATGAATCAACAGCAAATGGATTTCGATCTCTCTGATCTTTTATGTGATGATAGTCAGGATACCATGCTAGACTATGAAGAAAACAACCTTTTCCCTGCTTTGCCAGATAATACCAGTGGTTGATCTGCCCACATACTTTTTATCTCTTATTATTTAACTGTACACCATTTTCATTTATACATTTGTTATCATTTCTATTTTTATAAAAATTACCCTTTTCTCTGTCCCTTCTTTTTGAACCTTAAAAAACATTACATCTTTTTCCTCTCCCAATAAAACGGCATATTTCACTTCCATGTTGACCTCTCTTTTTTTAGAGTATTGTTGTCTAATGACTCATATTTTGTAACATTTTTTGTTGCTATTCCTATGTTGATACGTCATTTCTTGCCATTGTAAATGAAGTTCAGGTCCGCTTTGATGGGCAATGGCAGACTATAGGTAATTGAAATCATAAGGAAAGGGCGGCCAATCCAATGAACACAAGTGTGTATCATAGTTTTACTTGCTATTTGCCAAGATAGACTACGTGTAGTCTATATAGAAAGTTTGGTCATTAAAAATAACAAGACGATAAAAACTAGAGATGTATATCATTTGATGTATAAGATGATCCTTTTAAAATAAAGAGTGTAGTACAACAGTTATCCTTTTGGATTTCAAAGCAAGACGAAGATTGAATTGGTTTCAATGAAACTGCATATAAAAAATCAGGACACTTGAGGTTGAGTACACACGCCACTACCTCCAATCATTTCTATTTGTGTGTTTGGTTTGCTTAAATAAGCATGAAAACGGGAAATTTCTTTTTATTCAAACCAATCTTATTTGTTCTCACAATCAAGTTTTTCCCCGCAATCCCAATAGGTCGTACAATGGAATAAACGGTATTCGTGGCAAAAAAGAAAAAGATGTTTTAAAATAATCCCTTTTTCTCTTTCTTCTTTCTTTCTTTTATTATGACTGAATCTATTGATCAACTTGCCCTTGCTATTTCCAATGTCTCCCATGTGGAGCGACCTTACCTTCATAACCTTTTGACTATCAAAAAGTTCGAGATTGCAAAAGAACCTATTGATAGTGAACACCGTGAAGCTCTTTCCAAAGTGTAAGTTAAGTGGATAACCCCCAACAAGTAATAATATGTATGATAGAACCATGTGGGAAACCGAACGCCATAATCTGGATGCCTGGACTCTCCAATGGCTTCTTGCCAAGGCTACTGTAAGTCATAAGGAAATCAAGCTTGTACTGACACCATACATAGTGTAGCATTCAATCCGAAAAAGATCGCACTCAAAAAGGTTTGGAAAAGGCAAAGGTATTAGTAGCAGAAACCGAAGAAAAAGTAAGACAAGAGAATGATAAAATCCATCAAGTCGAAGTTCAGAATGAAAAGTATGCTGTGGATTACAGAGAACTTCAAAAGTACCGTGAAGAATTTTTAGTCTTGCTGGACAAGGTAAGGGAAAAAAAATCCGGAGGAAAGTAAATTAAAAAATCAAAATTTAGGCCTTGCCCAATGAAACTTCAAAGACACAAGAATACAAGGATAGAATAGAAGAAACTAAGCAAAAGTCACAAGAGGTAAATGGAAAGATATGTTTAAAAGTTACTCAACAAGAAATAGAAATTCGAAAACATCAAGAAACTCGACAAGGTCAAGGAATATCTCAAGAATGCCGATTTGGCTTTATTAGAAGCCATTCTTGAACTCCGTGCTTCTACTGTGAAGGAAAGTCTGATGGGTCAAGGAAAAGTTTACTTTCCCGAGACTGCTTATGAATGTCTTGCTAAGGCTCGTGAGGAATACCCTGATTTACCTGGTTTTGCTTCTCCCACTGAATATGTGAATGAGGCTGATAACACAGGTGCTTATTATTCACCTATGCAAAAGTATTTATGGGATGTGCGCAAAAAAATAGCTGATTTGATTCTTTGGTGTGATGAAGAAGCCATCTCCTTGTTGGACAAGGAAACCGAACTCCAAATCGAACTTGGCCAATATACAGATGAATACAACTTGAGAAGACGTGACGCTCTTAAAAATGAACTCTAATTGATTCCCTTACAATACTATAACTATACTTTAATTAAATTGGTTACTTTAACACTGCCATCTACACTTCCTAAAAGACAAGCATTGGAAGAATGTGTCCAATCTACTGTAGTAATATTTTGATATATAGGTTGAGTACCAAATTTGAGAACAGATGGATTCTCTTCTTCGCATACGCGATAAATAGATCCAAAGGTATCATTTTTGTGTGCAGCAGCACAAAGAACATAATCTGTATCAGTGCTAAAGACAGCCATTTGAGAGCGAGGAGAAGTAGCAAGCAAAGACTGAGCCACACTATCGTCAACAGAAATCTTGGAGGCAGATGGGGGGAATCCATCCAATGGACTGCTGAAAATACATGTTCCTGGCTTATGAATAGACCATTGGGATAACTATTGAAGAGAAATTAGCTGATTGTCAATAGGGACAAGAGTTTACCTCTCCATTCAGACCAGCAGAATAGATTGAATTTTCATCAAAGCTAAACTGTGCAGTACATGATGGTTGAATCTTCCATTCAATAATTGATTTCATGCTTCGGATATCTATATGAGACATGAATATGCTGTATATACAATAGATATAGTTACCAAATATACGCATTAAGCCTGTGGTATCTCCCGCTACAACCATTTGACCATTATGATTAAGTTTAATGGTATTGATATTGGCTTCTGTATCACCAAACTCAAAGTTACCCTAACCCCCTCAATATGTTAAATGACAAGCGCGAATGCTATAGACTTACACAAGCTGACATTGTCTTCATACTCCATGCAACAAGAGCACTTGATTTCTTATTATTTGATAACTGATTACTTGAACCAGCACAGACAAAGATAGGTTCAACAGGACTTGAGGATAACTGATTAACCCATGGATAAGCCTCATTCATAATGAATTCTTGTACAATAGATTTTGACTCCACATTATAAACACGGATTAAGCCTGTGTCTGTTCCCATATAGATCTAATAAAGTAAATAAGTTTAGTAGATATCTCAAACAACTTACGAATCTATCTGATCTAGCATCCCATTCCAACGACAAGACATTTGAGGAATTGTTTCGAATCTTGAGAGGACTAAAGGACTGCCCTTTGTAGCTCCAGATCCTCACAATATTGTCTATATCGCAACTAGCAATCAGCTCACCTTGACTTGAGAATTTAGCGTGTGTAATAGCAGACGCATGCTCTGCAAATTCTTCTTGACTAACAATTAAAAAAGGTTCATCTTCTACTGCTGTGGTCACTGAGGGAGACAATGATGGTGGTAGAGGAAGCGAAGGAGGCGAAGGAGATGATCTGAGTTCATGTTGATTTTTACGACTTTGATATGTTGATTCTGAATTTGATTTTTTAGGTACATTTGTGTTGCCAAGCGTGGCTGCATTGATGGAAGCTGTGATGGACTTGAGTGATTTTTGATCGGCGCTTGTAGAAGAAGAAGCAGCTCTACGTCGAATAAGCGAAATACCATCCGTCATTTCCTTTCGTGTTTCAACCACTTGATGCTTTAGTTTCGCAATATCATTCTCGCGTGCTTCCAATGTTGCCTTTTGATTCTCGACTGTGCTTTTAAGTGCTTCAATTTCAGTTTGCTGTGTCTTGCGTTGAATGCGATCAATATTAAACGAAAGCAAACTAGGCAAAGCTACCATGCGGGGTTAGCCAGCCTTCGTGATCAAGCAATATACATACTTACGCATATTCTGAAAAGTAGCAGCTAAGAAATTATGCAATGAAACGGTATAATTATCCACCCATTGTTTCGAGAAAAAAGTTTCAAATGTTGGATCATTCATTGGGCTCTTTATATAGGGTAAGGCTTAAACATTCCTACTTCATCAATAGCTGTGCTTTCGACATACTTGAAGACTTACCAAACCATTGAGACCATTCTGGCTTGCCATGTAATTCAGGGCCATAAATATCAAAAAACTCTATGACTTTTTCTCGTTTTTTATGTTGAATAGCTGCATAAAGTTAGTAAATGAAACAGACTAGGTGATGTATACCATGGATCAGATAATGCCTTAACAGACAAAGTTCAAACTTTTTAATAGTACGTTGAAATCGACTTTCTAGTCTAGAAAAGAAGCGTAGATCCAAGTATCGATAATAATCTATGAGTGCCTGTATGTCTCCACTTGCTATGGCACCCAATAACTCCTCCATGATTTTATCTACCTATTATTCTATCAGTAACAAAATCAACTTTAACATTGATTTACTTGAAAGCCTTTATCTCTATCTGTTCTTATTTCTGACTCTAACGCTCGAAAAGTAGCTGTGAATCCTCGAAACTGAGTGCAAGTCAATAGATGAACCACTTTTGACATTGTATTTTACCAGCAAATACTCCTTTACAAGCTCATCCACTTGGTAAAGTGAGTTCATGTTATTCATAAAAGAGTTCGTTTCAGTGTAATAAAATAAAATAAAAGAGAATGAATCCTGCAATACGCGTGTAATCAGTCACATTATATATGAAAAAAAAGGAGAAGCAAATTTATTTTAACGGCTGTTTGGATTGTATTGACCATACAATTGTTTCTGTTGTTGCTGCTGAATAGCAACTGCAGCTTGTTCGTTCCATTGAGCAGCATGAGCGGCTGCAACAACTGAACCAGTATGAGGATCAAGGCTAGGAATATTGGAAGTATTATGGAAAGCATACCCATTTGTTAAATGAGCAGGAATACCAAACATATTTGTGTTTTGTACAGTGCTGCGATGATTTCCTCTGTATTGCATTGGATTATTCCAGTTCTGCTGTTGTTGTTGTTGATGATGGTGATGATGATAACCATTGTAGTTTTGCCAGCCTGGAGGAGGACGATCTTTGCCCCAAGAGAGCTACTCATATAAGTACTGGAATAAACAAGCTTGTCTTACCTTGGCGGCATTGCCATTTATATTGATATTTTGTAAATGAACAATGGCATTAGCAGCATTTTCGTGTGTATCCATCTTTACAAAAGCAAATCCACGATCAGCTTGAAGTTTTACTTCTTGAACATATCCAAATCGTTGGAATGGTTGTACCAGTTCAGCCTCTATAGATAAACATGAGTTAATCCTATGCAAAATCTTTTTATTACTTACGAGACACATTGATAGGCAAGTTACCAACATAAATGCTAGTAACATAAGGAGGTGTTTGATGAATAACAATTTCATAGGGTAATTGCTGTCCTGGTTGAGGAGCAGGCGTGGCTGTCTGACCTTTTTGTGTAGCCCAATTACAACGAATGGCTCGAGAACCTAGCCATTCGCCATTCATGGTAGCAATAGCTTGTTCTGCATCTGCCTTATCTCTAAATGCAACAAAGCCAAAGCCTCTTGATTTTCCTGATACTGGATCCCACATAACATGCGCTTGACTGCCATAGAGACTTAGTGAATCATACTCAAATGTTGTACTTACGACATGGATCCAAATACTGAGAATACTTGATAAAGTGCTTCATCTGTGATTTCTGGTGCAATATCACCGACAAAGATATGGAAATGATTAGCTGTGTCTTCTTTTGCTTGGTGATTGGATTGTTGGGCCCAGTTTGCTCTTATTTCCTACAGGCAGAAATTAAATACAGTGTTGATTGGATGCCTTAATTACTCTACATAATTAAAGATTTTTCTGCCATTCATGTCTTGAATAGCGAGTTCTGCTACTTTTTGATCAGCAAATTCAACAAAAGCGTAATTGACACCAGCCTAAAATAACAAATGAGTTTTTCTCTAGACTGCATGATTTCATCTTACATAAGAAGCGTGTCTTCTAACCTAGAGAGAAGGATGTCAATACTGTGTGTGTGTATGTGCGTGTGTATTTATTAAGTGAACCTACAGATACAATTTTTACACTAACAACGGGTCCAACTGTCTCAAAGATCTCATGCAACATCGTTTCTGTGACTCTATGGACGAGCATAAGTTTCGTTTTTATTATCATACAAAGCTATACCTTTGGTCAAGGTTACCAATGTATATGGTGTTTGCAGGATTCCCAGTACCGTCTTCCATGTAAGTATTTGCCTCGGCATTAGAAACTGACATTATAGTAAATCAAAAAAACAGAAAGAAAGAAAAAAACAAATAAATAAATAGACGTTGGTTACTTTTCTTTTCTTCTTCTCTTTTTCAAGATATGCGTTTCTTTCTTTTTTATAACTTATTGCTTTTTTACAAAAAAGGATTGAAAGCAGCTAAAGAAAAGAAAAAAAATCTGTTGATGGTCCGAAAAACTTCAAAAGAAAGATCCAACGTGACGTACTGCCGACACGTAGACGGAGTTTGTCTATTTTACGGTGCTCGGATGTTTGTTGTCATGACAATGATTGTCAAGGTAGTTGAATAATATATTTTGTGCTAAAAAAAAGAGGCACTTAATTTTGTAGCATCAAGAGTGCCTCGCTTTCCTTTTTTTTTTTTTAAAAAAAAAAAAAAAAAAAAAACTGCAAGTATCATAAAATCAACACAGACTATTATCATGAATACACTATGTCAAGATGTTTTACTAAGACTGCAAGATTCGAGAGAAACTTTATGTTTAAATGCTTTTTGGATATCAAGAAAACAAACACCATACAATATTTATTTAATTTTAATCAAACTTGATAGTAAAAGACTTTGTCAAACTGATGGAAATATCTTCAAGGACAACTGTATTCTTGTTATCATGAGACAACTTGTATGACTTTTCATTGATACGAGCATGCTTGAATTGGGTAGCGGCTTTTCCAACAATAGTCACAGAAGCGAGTTTTTCAGGCTTCTTGTAACCAAACTTGCCAGAAGCTTTGAGTTGGCCATGCTTGTAACTAAACTTGATATCTGAGCTAGACTTAACATGCAGAGATTCACCATTGTCAATGTAGAGCCTTCCAGAAGCTTCATTATTATGATCAAGAGCAATGATCAATTTGTAATCAGTAGCAAATGTTTCGCCTACAGTGTACTTGGGAGTCTTGGTGGGAATAATACTGCCACCACGCACATGGATAGGAATGTGTGTTAAAGGAGCATCCAAAGTCACCTTTTGAGACTTGTCACTCTTGTTATCAACAGCTGTTTCCAAAGTGTACCAATCATACCAGATACTCTTTGATGGGAATTGGGCAACAACTGTAGTATCACCCTCATTGAGCACAGGAGACAAGAGAACATCAGATCCCACCAAGACTTGGACATCGTTATTAGCAAACTCGTTGTGATGAGGGTATTCAAAGATCAAGGGACGCCAGACAGCAGTACCTAAACGGTTGGATTCTTCATGAAGTGTGTAGTAGTAAGGAAGCATAGCATAACGAGCAGCAAGCGCTTTACGACTAGCTTCTGCGGTACTGTTCCAAAGATAAGGTTCTTGATCAGCTTGATCAATGGCATTATGGTTACGAGCAAAGGTATAGAAGGCACCAATTTCCATCCAGCGTGTACAGAGTTCTTCTGTTGTGTTTTGGTTGAAACCGCAGACATCTGCACCAGAGTAAGTGATACCAAACATGTGCATATTAAATACATTGGCAAGTGAGTTCTTGAGATAAGACCATAAAGAGTGATTATCACCTATTATAAAAACTAGATGAGAAAAACGTTGTATTAACAAAGACGTTTACCTGTCCAATGACCAGCATATTTTCCAGTACCAACATAAGTAGAACGAGTCAAAATAAAAGGCCGAATATCCTTTTGATTCTTGATAAGTGCTTGTCTTGTAACGTAAGATTCAGAGTGGCCATAGATATTATGAATATCATAATGAGGCACATCACCATAATGGAGAGCTGTAGTAGCTACAGTCAATTCAGAAAGATTGCCACCACCATTGTTAATAGCATACTTGGGATATAGCAAATTACGGTCTTCACCCTTAGGATTGCCCATTGCAATCAAAGCATCTTCTTGTTTAGCATGATTGGCACCTTGTTCTTCTTGAGGCAATGTCCAACGATAAGGCTGTTTACCAGCATTGACTTTACCAGTACCACATGACCCTAAGCAGAAACTAGCAGGTTCATTCATATCAATCCAGAGACCATCAAGACCAATCAAATTGACCCAATCGGCAATTTCCTTGTCCCAATACTTGGAAATATTAGGGTGAGTGAAATCAGGGAAGGTAGTATAACCGGGCCAGACAGCACCGATATAATCTGAACCATCAGGGTTTTTGATAAACACATCAAGCTCAATACCGCGGTTATAAGGAGAGTAACTTGTGTTGGCAGAGATAGCAGGGTCAACCATCATGACATAGTTTTGTCCATGTTTGTGAAGGTCCTTGCCAAAATCAATCATACGGTCAAGAGGGAAATTCTTTTGATCTGCAGTAAAGTCCTTGGTTTCTTCCATGTAATCAATATCGACCCAAGCAGTTTGGACTGTGACATTGTAAGCCTATATATTTTATGCATGGTAAAACTTACGAGGAATATTGGCTTCCTTATAGCGTTTCACCACGGTTTCTACTTGATCAATGTTTTTATAGCCATAACGGCAATGGTGCCATCCAAGCATCCAGTGAGCTGCTTATTGTTAGCTACAGAGAAAGCGTGTACTGATAAACTTACATGGCATAAGTGGTTTACCGACCAAATCAGTATAAGCAACTGTCACATCATTAGGAGAGCCAGACTTGGGAACAAAGAAGTAAAAGTCAAGGATACCACCGATGACCTTGTAAGTGATGCGTCCTTCAGTTGTTATGACATCCATACCATGCGCACTTAACAAAAGCGCACTATGGGCTTTTCCTTCTCTCACTTCCATGTAGTAAGGGTGGGATCCATAAATGTTTGCATAGAAGCTAGAAAAAATGGCATGTTAGTTTCAATACTTTATATCAAAAATGACTTACTCATCAGCATTATCACGAGCCCAAATAGTGGTAACATTCTTTTCAAAGCTCATAAGTATATACACATTTACACGAGTATACTTACAGTAGTACGTTTAAAAGGGGCAGTAACTTCACCAAAACCATAGATATTGGCATCATGAGGGATCTTGGTAGACAATTCAAGATATTGATCTTCAAATACCAAAGGAAGGCCCGAAGTATCAAAAATGATAGTCTTGTCACTTTTACGAATGACTTTGAAACTAAAAGGCTGGGCAGTGTATTCAAAATCATAGTTTCTGTCATTTGTAGCAAAAGAAGAGATCTTGGGACGCTCCAGACCAATAGGCGAATCAGGCACAAGGGCTTGCTTCTTTGCTTTATCAGAAATCTAAACGAAAGAGTTAGATAAAACAGTTTCCAAAAATGTCCACTTGCCTTGACATGAAGTCTGTCTTTGGTTTCATACTCAACATCTACCACAAGATCCTTGATTGTCTTGCCGAATGTGTTTGGAGCTTTGCCATTGAGAGATAGAGGGATTTGGAGGCCAGACTTGGTCTTGTCAACATGGCCATGAACCTTGTAGCCCGGAGCGGAGGAACTTATTTCTAATTGACATGGAATAAACACATGATAAAAGAGAAGAGAAACGTACCATAAGTAGTATCAGTTAAACCAAGGACACTAGCTGAAAAGCTAAGAGCAATGGCCACGAAGATATAAGAAATTCTTGCCATTAAATCGATGAGGAATAAATAGAAAAATGCAAGAATGAAATGTAGTTTTTATATGAATTGATGGTTACGCAGTCTTTGGCATAAACTTTATGGATGTTACCATTTGAGCCGAATGTTGATGGAAAGACGGCGTCTTTTTTTTTTTTTTTTTTTTTTTTAGATTGTGAGATTGCTTTTACCAACTTATACCGTACTCCCGCTTGTTTTTTTCCCACCCGTGATTGGCTTTTGAATAAAAAAGAGAAAGAAAAAACAGGGTCTTTTGGACAGTGGGCTGCAGATCATTGCATGAATTTCAATCAATGTAGGATTATGTAAAAAAAATAAAAAACCAGGGACAATGGTTATCTTTAAAGACCAAAGAGGTGATCTTTATGTTTTTCCCGTACTAACTTGTTTCTCTGAAATTTTACGTTATGACGGCTTTTTTGTATAACGTTAACTCGATCCTTTGTTTCTTGATGGGGCTCTTTACTATGCGTATGTGAAAAATGGCTTGTAAAGTTTATTATTATTTTTTATTGACACGTCCAAGGCAATTTGTAATCGCCATGTATGTATTTTAGAATGACAGTTTTTGCTCTACTGTATCAATACAAAAAATTTATGAGATGACAATACATTTACATAAAAACCTTCATGTATTACTCTTCCAGAATACAATGACTTCATTTACCGAAAGTTTTTTTTCTTTTTCTCGTTTGACATAAACTTCCCTGTTTTTTCCATGGTAACAAATTTTCCAGTTATAAAAAAAATAAACAAGCTTAATCATCAGACTTCCATAGAATCTGTTTTTTATTGCAAACAATTTTTTTTTTTTACATGATAAGTGGTTCATCACTATTAGAAAGGCGATTTAAATGAAGATATGCATCAGTACCATAACTAGAATAGAATTATACCAGGTAAAATAGATGAGTATAATGATCGTTGTGTTACTATTTACCCTTCCATAGATATCAGCTTCAAATCGCCACCAAAATATCTTGCATACTACAGAAGAATAAGTATGATCAATAAAAGTAATATTTTATACCAATCTAGAAATAGGCAAGCCATAACCAAATCCTGCCATAGGTGCCTTAAATTCTGACTTATTAAATTCAGGTTCTAATTCTTGTGCTTTTGCTGTTGTATACTAGGGATAAAGTTAGCCCATATCTCACTAAAATCCTTACCATATAAGTCCAAACAACTGGTATGCCTGATCTGGGTAACCCACCTCCTTCATCCGAAATCTTAATGGTGATATCTTCTTTTCCGTGGGCAATGATCAATTTAATTGGTGGGTATTCGTCTTCGTAATCAGTACCAAACCGTTCTACCACAGCACGCAGTGAATTCTTGAGCAATTCAAATACCATATGGTTCAAGTGAGAAGGAACGTACATGAACTCAATGTCTCCAGGACAAAACATCTGTACATCCGGAGCCTTAAATAAACCATAATGATCTTCACAAATAAACCGAGCATTTGCTATGGCATCTTGGCATATCTCTTTAATGTTTGTCTTTGTACAAATCACGCCTACATAATTTCGCATAAAGGGTCCACGGTACAGGGCTGAATGTTGACCAATCAGCATTCGGATCCCGATTCTGGACATATAAAATCTGTCTAAAAACTGCTGCACGTCCGAATCAATCATGTTTGCCTGACGATGTTCTTTATATTCCATAATGCCCTGTGCCATCGTAGTCACTACTGGATCGTGTCTTCTTTTAACACCTTCAATAGTTCTGACAAAGGCATCGGTATAAGATAATATAGAAGGTGGACACTCGACATTTTCAATATTGTTGTAATATCTATTTGTCATCACATATAAATAGACATGTATGTCTGTATTTCGTTTTACCTATGACCAATAGACACACTTGGAAAATATTTTTTGGCAGGCTTTAAGAGTGGTATAGCCAAATTAGGTGTGCTTTCAGGTAATGGTGGTGCATGCTTTGAGGCTGATCGAAAAGTAGCCTTTAGTTCGGGTGTTATTTCGGGATGTGGTAATTCGATCAATTCCTATTCTCTTAATAACAATCATTATAGAACAGAGAAAAAAACTTACTTGAAATGATTGTGCATACCAGTTCTTGACCTTAATGATAGAGGGCATTTCTCCAAGACTTTGAGGAAGTTCGTCCAATTCTTTCACACGGTGTGCTAAACGAATAGGTAACTCCTCTTTTTTTTTGTGTTCTCAGTTTCAGTACCCTACTCTATAGAAACGCGTTTCTCTTACCATGTAAAAACTGACTTGCTTTAAATAAAGTAGCGGGTGCGGGTTTCTGACCTACACATAACGATGAGCCACTATACAACTACTCTAGACATACCAAACATAACCATTTGTTTAAGAGAAACACCTGTTTGAGGGAAGCGTGCAAAATGTTTTATTTTTTCATATAGCCGAGGCGTTATTTTATACATTATACGAAACAAAAAGAAGTAAAAGAGAAAGAAAGAAAGAAAGAGAGGAAAATATGCACACACGGAGTCAAAACTTAGTTTGAAATTCATATGAAAAAAATACTGCATGATTGAACTTTTAAGCTGTTATTGTAAGAATAGACCGCATAATTCAGCTCATTCATTTTAGTCTTTTTGGTCTAAAAGACAAGGGTGATTGATCATTTAGAAATATACATGCTTTGTAAAATACCGAATGGCTTTTGATTTCATCCGACATAAGCAAAATCAACCATGCATATTACGCACTTGATATGTTTTTAGTCCTCACTTTTCGATTTTTTCAGGCATCAAAACCATGATGAGGTCTTGATTCAAAACTGATTCATCCTAGAATTGATTTTCAAATATACCTGACAAGCATAATAGCACCAACGATGGATTTAGCAGCCCGCTGCAGGTGCGAGTGTTTCTCATGACGAACCATCATTTCTGCTTTCTAATTCCCTTTTTTTGAGTTTTCTATGTTTGAGCACACACAAAAGAACATATTTATGCAGAAATATAGCAAGTTTTGAAAAAGTCAAAAAATCGTATGGTTGTGAAGGCTGGGTCCTATGTGGTAAATGTCTAACCATCAGTTCAAAGAAAAAAAGGAGCAAAAAAACTATAAAGCTATGAAAAATATAGAAAAAAGGGCAGGAAACATAGACGATAATGTACTATAGTGTATACAAGTAAGAAGAGATAAGAAAGAAAAAAATAAAAGGAAAAGATAGGTGCATAATGGAAGTATAAACACCACAGGATGGAGGAGAGAATTAGCTGTCGATTTGTACTGAATATAGCAAGGTTATCAGCCAAAGGAGAAAAGCCAAACCAGAGGTATCTTTTTCTTCGCTTGAGAAGGCCTTGTCGGGAAGATCCATACTCTCAATTTCAAGAAATAGTTGGCAAATGAATGGTCACCAATTTGGCCATCGTGTGTAGCGGTCAAGTCTTTGAGCTTATAGGCTTGGAGGGCGTAATATTCTAGGCAACTGATTCAAGGCACAATCAATTGGATTAGACTGTATATCAGCTGGTAACCGCAAGCGCAGGCAACCAAGTATATGTCTTATACTGATAGGTGATGAGCCACATGAGCAAGTAGAGGTGTACTTTGGAATCCACCCAAGGCACCAACGGAAGATCCTTTGACGGTCATAGATCAACATAAGCAGCAAGATAGGACCAATCCAAACAATAAAGGGCCTGTAGGTAGAGTTGAGGACAGGGGCATTTGTTTGTGCACGAAGAACATCCAAATTACGCTGACGAAGTCCCAAGAATTGCTTCTTGGCGTTTCCATTGGCTTCGACCCAGTCGGAAAGCGTATTATAGCTATCGCTAAAGTGCAACCAGGTGTAATTCTTGTTTGATATTTGTGGCCAGAAAAAGATTTACATTTGCCGAACAAAGGGATACGTATCAATGTCTGCTATTAGTTGCATTATCAGTGTGTCTTCTGGGAGCGTTTCAAAGCGGATCATCATCTTGAAGACAAGGTGTTCTTTGCGTTCGGCTAAGGAGGGAAGGTTGGTCATCAGTTTAAGCGATCCGGTTGTTCCTTTTGAGTGGCTATTGATACAGAGTCGCAGGCAAGTATCTTGTGCATGTTCTAGAGTTGCAAAATCAGATTTTCGGTAAAGGTCGAGGCAGATACCATACTCCAAATTTTGGACGCATGAAGGTACTGTAGAGATGAGCAGCGGTCCCCTTATGATGCTCTTTGCAAATCTTCAGTTTTCACTATTTTACGATTGGTGATCGATAAAGACGTTTTTGATATGACATGTCTTGAAAGTGTTTAATAAGCCTAGAGGAACATTTCGTACTAAAGTGCCATATTTGCTAAATTGCTATAAAAAGTGTAGAGTGTCAACTAAAAACGAAAAACACGTTTTTGAAGGAAATCTCAATACTTGTACAGTCAATATGCTGTTTTTTCTACATCATTAAAAGCGCCATGTTTATATCTATCAACTTTATTAAGATACTTTTTTAATAGCGTTTCGTTCTTGGGTAGCTTTAGCCCATCATTTCTTTTGAAGTTCTAATTTTTGTATTGGATGAAAGTTTTGTTTTGAAAAAAATAAATAAAATCATCGTGTAAATGGAAACTAGTGTATGTGAAGCAAAGTGACTAGCCATATGAAATATCTTTAAAATAATGCTTTTGTGGAAGCATTCAGTACGATTATATGGGTCTTATATAATCCCAATAGAAATAGTCGTCATCTGGCCTACCCCTTAATATGTCCTAAAAAAGATTAAGTGTTTCTTTCATTGCTCCTTAGAGTCAGTATTCTTTATATCTTGTCTTGTTCAATGCTACAGATGGCTATACCAATACCACAAGTAGAGGACATCATTCCACAATGTCTTCAATTGCTTGGTACTTGACACAATTGTTGATACTAAAGAGATACAGCTTTCCACAAAGGATTATAGCAAAATCCGGACCATCACCAATAGTGACCAGACCATCGTGCTAAAAAATTCTTTGGATGGGAAGTTCTGATTTTTACTCTTGTAAAAAATATTGATTGAAACTCGGACAATTTTCTTTTATGCTACTTATAAGAACATGTTAGCTTGCTCTTCAATCATTTGCTCACATTATGGGTAATTCTACCTTCCAATTGGCATTTTGACTTGTAAATATTTAAAAGATGAAATCATGAAATTTATTACAACAGATGGAAAAAAAATAAGTATAATGGAATGATAGTATATGAATCGTCTATGAACGTTTGGCTTTTTTGGACAACTTGACTTTACCGTTTTGACGGTTCTTTTCCTTCTCTGACATTTGTTGAGCACTTTCCAATTTTCTCTTCTTGGAAGATTTTTCATTCTTAATGCTCACAACAGAGCTGACACCACCCTTTTTACCAGAAGAAATAACCTTGACTCTGTCTTCTGCAGTAGCCCAATCTTCGTCTGTACCACCAATAGCATACTTCGACAGATCAAGCGAATCAATCAATTCTCTTTGCTTGGCCTTCAATTCAGTCATAACTTCATCACCAGCCTTTTCTAAATCAGCTTCCACATCGTCCTTCAAGGGCTTCCAAGCTTCGTCATCAGCAATATCACGTTTGGATCCTTCTTTGGGTTCATTCGACTTCTTTGTAAGAGCAGGCACAGTCTCTTGGTATGCTTTGGCTTCTACTTGTGCAAAGTATTGAGACATTTTACGAATAATCTTGACAAAGAGGGCAAGGACTTGGTTACTAGCCAATGACAATTCCTTTTGAAGATCATCAATAGGTTTTCTTTGAAGACCAATACCAAGCAAAATGGCACTTTGAACACCGGAAAGCTTGATGTCTGAGGGCATTTCACCTCTAAAGTAAAGTTCAGCAATGGTAGGAATCATATCAAGAATGACATGGTAATCAAGCATGTTGTTTGAGTAAGATTCAAGACGCTTCAAATCATAAGGTGTAAAGAAAAGACCGAGTGTTTCCTTGTTGAGGTCACGACCGCTCTCAACTTCTTTATCTTGACCTTGTTTAGCAGCATCAATGATACTAAGTGCATTCACAGCTGTGAAATCACGGAAATTGAAGGACAAAAGATTAAGGAAACGCTTAGAGAAATCACGAGCAAAGGCATCTAACCAAGCAGCATTGGCTACACGGGAATCCTCAGTGTCTGTCAAGGCCTTGATCATCACGCATGAGTGTTCACCTGTCAATTCATTGGCTGTTTGACGCATGTAGAGAGGAACAAAACCAGCTCGCTTCCAGAACTTGTGAAGAGCAGGTGTAAGACCATAAGAAACACCCAAATAATCAAGACGTTGAGCACGCTTTTCACTCATCTTGGTAAGAAGAGGAGGCATCTTGCTAGGATCACGTATTTTGACTTGATCTGTCTTGATATCCACATTCTCAAATGCATCGTCTTCCATACGAGGGAGAGAGTCGTAATCAGGGCTAGTAGATTCGTTCAGACTGTTTGTCTTGCCTTGATAGAAGTTTGTCAAAAGTTCAAGTGCACGGGAACCATAACCCATCTTGGCATAATCAGGATGAGTAGCAATACGAACAATACGAGCACCAGAAAGACTGGCAAAATCATCGTCTTGGTATTGTTGAGAAATAAGCCAAGGAATCATATCACCAGCAGGACGTTGACCTCGAGAAAGAGAGTTAACGACACTTTGACGAGAAATTTCACCTTCAAGACAGACTTGGACAACGACCAAGGGATCAGGCAAACTAGTCGTCTTTTCATTCACAGGAGGAAGCAAGACAAACAAATGGTGAGCAGGAGCATCACTCATCAATTGCAAATCATTGGGTGAGTTCTTGTAGTGACTGGCGACATAGAGAGACATCATTCTTTGCAAGAAAGTCTCGGATACAGGGTGGTAAGAGAAAAGAGTGTCACGGTTAACATAGAAGAGTTCACATTCAGAAGGATGAGGGCAACCTTGGATGTTCTTGGAGACAACACTAGCATCCAAGCAAAGAAGCTTATTTAACCATTTCTCAACAGGATCGTTAGGAGCATAACGAATGGGTTCATCCAACTTGACTTCCTTCAAGGAGCGGCCACCCAAGGATGCATCAGCACCTTCTGTCTTCTTGGCTTGAAGATCACGGCCTACAACCACGCCTTCATTGTCATCCTCCTTAGCAGTAATACCACGGGATTGTTCACGCAATTGTTGAATCAATTTAAGAGAAAGAGAACGGCCAGTACCTTCATAACCATTGATGGTAGAAGCCATAAAGACAAGATAAGGACCCAACAATTTACGTACCAAAGGCAAAGGAATAGCAGCAGCTTCATCAATCACGACAAGTTCAGCTTGACCAAGGACATGAGCATCTTGAGGTTGAATGTACTGAATGGTTTGGCGATGTTGCTTAAAGATGTTGACACGAACAATAGCCTTGTTGAAATCAGGGTTAGTAGACTGAACAATGTCGTAATCAAGATGTTCTTCATAGCCAAGTGCATCAAATGTCTTGAAGACAAATTCAAACAAAGTCTTCAAGTTTTCAGGGCTAGGTGAAGTGACAAAGATATTGGAGTAGCCATAGGCAACAGCAGATGCCATGGCAATACCAAGAGCAGCAGACTTACCACGACCACGAGAAGCAGTCAAGGTCACAGTGCTTCGAAGTGATTTTTCAGAAATGGCTTCAATGAATGTCAACACAGCCTTGGCTTGATCAATGGTACGTGTGCCCTTGACAAGGGATCCAACAGGTTCTGTATCAGCCAAAGATTCCTTCAATTCAGCAAGTTCGATTTCCTCGGGTGTCTTTTCGTCAGATTGTTTGATAGCTAAAGGCTTAACGTTCTTACCCATACTGATGGGCAATACGTTCAATTCATCATCAACAACCAAACATGTTTCACAAGATCCAAGTGATAAAATGAATCTTTCGTTAAAACGAGCAATAATATCACTATGAGCTTCTGTACGGTATCTACTATGAACATCCTATACCCATGTATGTATGTTTAGTCACTTGCTTCTGTAGTATGTCATGTCTCACCATTGTCATTGTGTAAAGTTGTTTAAGAGAGTTCATGCTCTTCAACAAGAGAACAACCATACCTCCACCTTCAACAGTTTCAATAGTACGAGCCAAAGTGTTGGGTGTAATGGCTTCAAAATCTTGAAGAATACACATACCATAGGTATTACCGAGAATGTTTTGTGTTTCTTTATAGTAAGCATATCGAATGTTGGTGACTGTGATAAAAAGTTCGAAAGGGTCTTCCTTGTTGACATCTCTGATACCACGCTTGATATCATTCTTGATTTTGTTTTCACGCTTTTTACGATGACTATGCTATGTGAGTCTATGGAGTCATAAAATAAAATAATTTACCTAGTGAAACCCAACTCCTTCTTATAACACCATAATACAGAAGGACGAGAAGTGACTTGAGCTTGAGACAAAAGCCAGTGCAAGTTTACGACCTAAAGAGAAAAAAAAGGGGGAGAAATCAGTTACTTGATCAACACTATCTCGACCAATGATCTTACTTGATCTTTGCCCTTGTCACCAACAACAACAAAGAAAGAACGGTGCTTTGTCTGCACACAGTTTTTAATGAGAGTGTGGACACGAGAGTCAACAACTTTTTTGACCATATTGTTTCTAAAGAAGGGTTATGTCAAATAAAACGACTTTTTTTTTCGAGAGTAAAGAAAGTTGAGTGGCTTATGATGAGTAAAAAAGGTCACACTTATCTAAAAAGAAAGCAAATGATTATGCAAATGGACTATTGACTTATATGAATAAAAGAACAACCTCACATTATTATAATTTTTGGCTGTTGATAGATTAGTATATTTACTGGTTCCTTAAGAATTTATGACAAGTCTTTTTTCTCGGGTTCATTGCACCTATTTCTCACCAAGCCCAAATTTTTTTTCTGAATATATATCAAGTGGCATAGATGGGATTAGTGCAACACTTCTTTGAGTTCTTCTTTCCGCATGACAAGCTGAATTCCTGTAATGCATTGCGTTTGTGTCACACGAATATGAATTCCGAGCTATGGATCACTGTTCTTCCGGTATTCTCATCTGTTCTTGTTTCATGTGATTCTAGTATCGTTTATCCGTCTCATGCATCATTTATACTTGCTCTCAATTGGCTAAAGTATGTAATGCCATCTTTTTTAAGACAAGTTTCACGTATCTTTCTAGTTTCTATGGAAGCACATCTTATATTCTATTGGCTAAAGATAACATAGTAACTTTAACCTTACTCCCACGAGACGATTACCCCACAATGTGTAGCATCTAAATCATTTCTCTCTCTGTCTATCTATTTCAATATAGCCTATCTAAAAAACTTAAAACACTACATTCAAACAAAGCATGTGAATATGTATAGAGTGGCTAAAGGTTTAGTTTTCATTTGTTACACAAATGCGTATGTAATCATTCTTACTGTATAATCCAGTTTTTGTCCATAAAATGAAAGAGCATTTAGTTCTCAAAAAGCCTGTTGATGCCTATCATTTGTACATGTGATTTGTTTTCTATATATATATTGAGAAATTGTCTGGGGAAACTGTACGATTGTGAGTAATACCTGGAACCAATCGTATATCATGCGGTTATTTAAAAATAGGTGACCGTGAGTAAAGACAAAAGAGACAAAAATAAAGAGTAAGAGATATAGCATTGAGCAGAGAGACAGCATGTCAAAAGTAGGTGCCTGAAGTAAGCATATACCTGTCAATACAAGATGTGAAAGGGTCCTTCCTTGAGTGAAAGAACCACCGCGGATAGCTTGCAGTTTAAGGAAATCAAAACAAGAAACAATGACAAGATGTGTGAAAGTATTTCATCTCTCACACGATACATGCCATTTCGGGAAACAAACTCCGTTGTACTCTCTCCAGAGAGATTTTTGGCCCTGATCTCTCTCCTCCTTTTATATTGTTAACGCGCTTGTTGGCTAAATTTTATCAAAGACTTTCCCCCAACAAAAAAAAAAAAAAAAAAAAAAAGTTGATATAAAAAGAAAGAATTGTTTGTGTATTTTTACTTACTCTTTTTTTTTATTATCATTCAAAAATGACTACAGAACAAATCGTTACTCATCCTGTACCTTCACGTCTCTTGGATTCTTCTAAATGTCCTACTCCTTTCATCGATTCTATGGACAAGTACAAAGCTATGTGGAAAGAGAGCGTTGAGCAACCAGACAAATTCTTTGCCAATGTAAGATAGTTTCATAAAATAATGCATATTAACAAAATGTCTTAGCTTGCTCGTGAATTATTGACTTGGTCAAAACCTTTCGAAACGGTCCGTCATGGTTCTTTTGAAGAAGGCGATGTTGCTTGGTTCTTGGAAGGTGAACTCAATGTGGCTTACAACTGTGTTGATCGACATGCCCTTCGCACACCCGACAAGATTGCCATTATCCACGAAGGTGATGAACCTGATCAAGTACGCAATATTACCTATGGCGAATTATTACGTTTAGTCTGCCAAATGGCCAATACTCTTAAGAACTTGGGTGTACGTAAAGGTGATAGTGTTGCTATCTATATGCCTATGATTCCTGAAGCCATCGTTGCTATGCTTGCCTGTGCTCGTATTGGTGCTGTTCATTCCATTGTGTTTGCTGGTTTCTCTGCTGAATCATTACGTGACCGTGTGATTGACTGTTCGGCTCGTATTATTATCACTTCTGATGAAGGTCGTCGTGGTGGTAAATCAGTAGCCACGAAGCGTATTGTAGATGATGCACTTCGCTCTAACCAAACTCATGTCGAGAATGTGATTGTCTTTCGCCGTACAGGTTCTCCTATTGACTGGGTTGAAGACCGTGATTTATGGTGGCATGAAGAAATAGCCAAGGCAAGAGCCTTCTGTCCCCCTGAACCTATGAATGCTGAAGATCCTTTGTTCTTACTCTATACTTCTGGTTCAACAGGCACTCCTAAAGGTATCTTGCATACCACAGGTGGCTATCTCTTGGGTGCTGCTGCTACTGTCAAATATATCTTCGATTATCATGAAGGTGATATCCATGCTTGTATGGCTGATATTGGTTGGATCACAGTAAGTTTTTTTTTGTGATTGTAGGCAAAGAAAAAAAATTAATATTTGTATTTAGGGTCATACTTATATTGTCTATGGTCCTATGGCTCTTGGTGCCACTACCGTTTTGTTTGAATCTACTCCTACTTACCCTGATCCTAGCCGTTTCTGGTCCCTTATTCAAAAGCACAAAATCACTCAATTTTACACTGCTCCTACAGCTATCCGTGCTCTTCGTCGTCTAGGTGACAAATGGCTTGAAAACTACGACTTGTCTAGTCTCCGTGTGATTGGCTCTGTTGGTGAGCCCATTAACCCTGAAGCATGGGACTGGTATAATGAAAAAGTAGGCAAAGGTCAATGTGCTGTTGTCGACACTTACTGGCAAACAGAAACAGGCTCTATTATCATCACACCTTTGCCTGGATCCCACCCTACCAAGGCTGGTAGTGCTACTTTGCCTTTCTTTGGTATTCAACCCGTCATTCTTGAACCCTCTACTGGCAAGATCATTGACGCTGTGCATGAAACAGGTGTCTTGGCTATTCGCCAACCATGGCCCTCTATGGCTCGTTCTGTCTATAACAATCATCACCGCTTCCTAGACACTTATTTGAAACCTTATCCTGGCTACTACTTTACAGGTGATGGTGCTTACCGTGATGAAGATGGTTATATTTGGATCCAAGGCCGTGTCGATGATGTGATCAATGTGTCTGGCCACCGATTGTCTACTGCTGAGATTGAATCTGCTTTGGTTCACCATGAAGCTGTTGCTGAAGCTGCTGTGATCGGTGGTCATGATGATTTAACAGGTCAATGTATCCATGCTTTTGTCAGTATCAAGCCTAATGTCGATGCCTCTGAAGGTCTAGACAAAGAACTGACTTTGTTGGTGCGTAAGATCATTGGTCCCTTTGCTACTCCTAAGCGTATCTATATCGTCAGTGACCATCCCAAGACTCGTTCGGGTAAGATTATGCGTCGCATTCTTCGCAAGATTGTCAATGGAGAGCAGGATTCTCTCGGTGATACTTCTACTCTTGCTGATCAAAGTGTTGTGCCCAAATTAATTACTCTTGTTCATGGCACTAAATAAACTTGTATATTCCCCTTTTTTTTTCTTGAATTCATTGTCTTTTACGCGTCGGGGGTTTTAAATTGTTGGACGTGTTTTTTTGGTGCTCGAATTTTTTTTTTTACCTACACTTTCATAATGTTGTTCCTCTTTTCTTTCTTCATTCAATATGGCTGAAAACATTCCACCTCCTCTTCCTCGACATGTCAGAACAGTCAAGCTAAGTATGTCTGAAGAACTTTCAGAGCATATGGATCCACCTACATTTCCTTCCAACACACAGGCCAATCAAGAACCCCACGTCTTACCAGAAACAAGATTAGAGCAAGAAACAAAAAGACCACCTGCAGAACAAAGACCAGAGAAAGAAACAAAAAAGGCACCTGTTGAATCCAAAAAAGACGAAAGGAAACCAATAAAGCAAGAACATACAGAAGAATACGATGAAATGGCCAATCCATACGATTTAGCTGGCTATGAAAAGATTAGTAAAATAGGCGAAGGCACTTATGGTGTCGTATTCAAAGCCAAACAAAAGGAAACCAACAAATTAGTAGCACTGAAAAAGATTCGACTCAATCTTCAAGAAGGCGTTCCAACCACAACAATTCGAGAAGTAGCTATTTTGAAAGAAATGGATCATAAAAACATTGTCAGGCTTGTTGACATGATACAGCGTGATGCCACCATATACCTTGTATTTGATTATTCTGAGGTGGATCTAAGGCGCTATATGGACAAGGCAAGACGTCCTGGTCTAACAGCCAATCATATCAAGGTATAAAACGAGAGAATGAACCATTGTTACTTATGAGAGTAGAGTTTTATGCATCAACTGCTACTTGGATTACATTATTGCCATTCACACCGTATACTTCATCGTGACCTTAAACCACAAAACTTGCTTATTGATAAATATGGTCGACTCACTATTGCTGATTTGGGCCTATCTCGAGCCTTTGGTGTTCCTATGCGAACATACACTCATCAAGTAAGCTCTTTATGGGACTGATCTTTTGAGTTGATAACAATCATAGGTCATCACACTCTGGTATCGTGCCCCTGAGATTCTACTGGGCAGTCGTCATTATTCCACTGCGGTTGATATGTGGAGTGTGGGATGTATTATGGCAGAAATGATTACGCTTAGAGCGCTGTTTCCAGGATCAACACAGATTGATGAACTGTTTCGTATCTTTCAAGTCTTGGGCACACCCACTGAAGCCATGTGGCCTGGTATTACTACTTTACCTGACTATAATGAACATTTTCCTCGTAAGATACTCCATTGACAATAGCCTATCACTCACATACTCTTTAGCATGGAAACCAAGAGATTTAAAAGAGACCATTGAAGAATATCCCCATTCTATAAAAGATCTTCCTGATTCTGCTTATGATTTACTACGGGTAAATGAACAGTGGCATCAATCATGTCTCTAACTATTGTGATTAGTCTTTACTTTCTTATGATCCTGTAACAAGGATCTCAGCTGCAAGAGCAGAAGAGCATATGTATTTTTATGATGATATTACTATGTTGGCACTTTAATTTCTTGAAGAAATAGATAGATTGTATATACACTCCCCCTTTTTTTTTTGTTAAAAATGAAATTCCTAGTTACAAGCTTTTTTTTTTTTTATAAGTGTTCATAGAATAAAAGATCAAGACTATCTTATGCATTTTGATTCAGAATAGGTGCTTGAACCACCACTAGACTGGCCAAGGTATCTGTCGACAAGATTTGATGAGCAGTCATGCCTAAAGCAGCCTTAAAGCTTTTACTATAAGGCCCATCATGTGGTGTAGGTGTCGATAGATGTAAAGCATCATAATTGGATGTAATCGATCGACCCAACACAACCAAGTCATGTTTATCCAAAGGGTCTGAAAGACCGTCAAGTACAGTAGCAAATTCAGATGTTTGTCGCTTGACGGATTGAAGAATGACATTGGAAGTGTCTGAACTAGTAAACAATGTGTTCAATAGTTCTTCATCTGAGTTGGATTGTGCTTGAATCGTGTTTAATGTAGTTTGAATAGAGGCTAAAGAGGCATAGGTGGGTGTTCCATTACCGTATCTTAACACGAGGACTTGACCTTGACGATACACTTGGAGGCGAAGAGCAAACAGTAAGGCTGCTCGGTCGTCTGGACCACCATAGAAAGGCACAATGATATGGAAACTAGCTTGTTGTTGTGGATTTCCATCTTGAATATGACCAAATCCTCGGTCAATAAATAAACCAATAGTACAATGTGTGATGGTATAAGCACTGGTAGCAAAATCAGTATCAGATAATTGGTATAAATCATTGTCCATTGGCTCCAAAGGGCTCATGTCTTCCACTATTTTTTGTTGTTGTTGTTGTTGTTGTTGTTGAGTAAACCAAGGCAATAGAATCATGTCTGCAAAGACAGATTCACTATAATCAGCCACAAAATGAACAAATTCAGAAGACGAGCTAAACTCCAGACGTGTTTGCAATGACTCAATACCAATCAAACTGGCAAAAGTACGAACCACATTCAGAACAGGATCTTGGCGAGTTGTTTCCCGAGAATCTTGAATTTTCATCACATCTGAAGCACGTTGAGTCAATTCAAGCAACCTTAGAGCATGAATGTCGAGTTGATTCTTGTTAAATTGAATAGGCGGTACTGTCTCTTGTTTCATTAAACGAATCAGAGCCATCATGGAAGGAACACTATCAATACGGTTCAGCATGGTCACTAGCGAGAAATAAGTTTCGCCTGGAACAACGCTTGGGTCTCGCTTGCTTTGGATAGACATGGTATCATCATATTGAGTCATAAATCTTTCAGCTGTCAGTTTCTGATACCATTCAGGATAAAGCCACATCACAACAGGTGTTGTCATAAAAGTAGTCACTAATGCCATGACAACCATGATCACAAAGACTAATGGCATTGAGTTGCTTTGTTGTTGCTGAATGGTTCACTTACTTTGATCATTTAAAACACCGGCATCATGGCCAATATTCAACACAATTAATTCGACTAACCTAAAAAAAAAATCACAGGGTCAAAATAAAGTTGATTTTCCAACTTTAATTCTAAATTACCCTTTGCAGCTCATTAAAAAACCAACAGTAAATGATTCTCGGGTCGTCATGCCTGTGACCTTGGCAGCTCCTGCACAGCCTACAATTTTGCCAAAACATGCTACAAAAATCACAAGAATCACATATCCCCAAACAATACCACTATCCAGCAATCCAATCTGTGTCTTGAGGCCAGAGAGCGTAAAATACTAGCTAACGTTAAATACACGATACAGTCAAAATAAGATCATTACCAAGGGCAAGAAAATAATGTTGATAATATCTTCAATTTTCTCAGTGATTTTGATGGCAAGGTCATGATCATGAGGCACAATAACGCCTGCTAAGAATCCTCCAAAGATAGCATGAACACTATGTACCGCTTATTTAGAAACCACTGTTTGTTGTATGTCTATCTTACCCAAATATATCTGTGATAAAAGCAGAAATCAAAACAATCAGCAGTGTGACAAACATCAAAAGAGGAGATGGACCTCTTTCAAAAGAGTTTGTATAGACAGCCAGTTTACGATAAAGAGGAGCAACAATAACAATAAGGAACAGAGAATAGGCAACAGTAGCTAAAAAGACATAAAGTGCTTCAAGTCCACCTGAAGAATTCAACAAGGCCACTACCAAGGCAAGTAATACCCTACAGAAGTATGTTTAAGTCAAGGCAAGAAATAGATCACTTACTTACCATGCTACACAGTCATTCAAAAGACCTGCTGACATGGTAATCACTCCCACTCGTGTTCGAAGTAATTTGAGTTCTGCCAAAATACGAGCAAGTACAGGAAATGCCTATTTTGAGTAAAGTTAGATATCAACCAATCAAGTCCAAAAAAAAAAACCAGATCTTACTGTGATGGCCATAGCAACACCCAAAAACAAAACAAAGCTTGAGAATGGGATATTGTTATCATTTTGTAGTTTGTATAGACCCACACTGACACCAGCACCTAAACCAAAGGGTAAGGCCATACCTGCAAAAGCAATAGATAAGCTTTGTTTCCAATCACGCTTTACGATCCGAAGATCGACTTCCAAGCCTACTTGAAACAAAAAGAACACCAGGCCCATCGTAGCAATCAAATTGAGAAAAGGGAGTGATGCCTTGGGAAAGATAGTTTCTTGAAAATGAGGTATTCTTCCAAGAACAGAAGGGCCCAGAATGATGCCACCGATGACTAGTTTGTTTTAGTGTCTATATACTCTTTTCTACATTACCTTCTGCAATCACTCGAGGTTGTCTTATATAACCAAGTGGAATAGCTAATACTCTACAGAAGACTAAAATAATGACAGCCTAATCATGATTACTTTTTACTATGATAGAAAGAAACTTACTTGTATAATGAAAAGTGTAATGGGATTACTTGAATTAAATTCAGAAGGATCTAATCCTGAAAAGACACCTGCTTGTGGTGGAGCTTTTGCATCCATTTTTTTTTATCGTTGATAGAAAAAACAAAAAAAAAAGAAAGGTTCATTATTTCTTGATTTTATAGCGTTCAATTTGTATTTGTGTAACTATCTGCATAAACCATAAAAATACAGTTGACTATAAAATCATAAATAAATGCGAGTTTATTTCTCTATTGTTACAAATAAAATAAAATAAAAAGGGGAATATTTATATCTTATGCTTCAAGTTCAGCTAAGTATCTTTCAGCATCAAGGCCAGCCATACAGCCAGAGCCTGCAGAAGTAATGGCCTGACGATAGATCTTGTCTTGAACATCACCACAAGCAAATAAGCCTTCCACATTTGTTAATGAAGAACCAGGTGTCGTTTTGATATAGCCTGTTTCATCTAAATCAACTTGACCTTTTAGTAAACCAGTAGCAGGTGTATGACCAATAGCATAGAACAATCCACTTGCTTCAATTGCACCATTTTCACCTGTCTTTGTGTTGCGAATCAAGACTTCTGTCAAGACATCACCATTACCCACGCATTCAATAGGTTCAGTTTCAAAATGGACAGTGACCTTGGGATGCTTCAGTAGACGATCACCCATTACTTTAGAAGCACGCAGGACATCACGACGAACCAAGACATGCACTTGAGAAGCATATTTAGTCAAATACAAGGCTTCTTCAGCAGCAGAATCGCCACCACCAACTACAACAAGAGGCTTATTTCTAAAAAGAGGGATAGCGCCATCACATACGGCACATGCAGAGATACCATTTTGCCAGTACTTATCTTCACCAGGTAGATGCATGCGTTTAGCAGAAGCACCCGTAGCAAAAATAAGAGCGTCTGCTGTATCTGTAGGTTCACTGTCTTCATCACTGCCTTCACGCCAGAGTTGGAATGGACGAGTGTTTGACTTGACTTTGGTGATTGTTTCGGTTTCAATCAGAGTGCCACAATTGATAGACTGTTCACGCATACGGTCCATCAATTCGCCACCTTGAATGCCTGTAGGAAAACCAGGGAAATTCTCGACTTCTGTTGTGGTTGTGAGTTGCCCACCAGGAGCAAAGCCATTGGCCATCATGCCTTCAAACATAATAGGCTGCATTTGTGCTCGAGCAAGATAAATAGCAGCAGTATGGCCTACAGCATGTCAATACATGTCATATATTACTCAAAAACCCTCTTACCTGCAGGACCAGAGCCAATAATAGCAACACGATGATGGTTAGGAGACATAGTAAATAATAAAATGAATGAGTTAAGAGAAAAGTAAAGAAATGTCTTGCTGTATTTATACTCATTTTTTTCTTTTCGGCTTTAAACACATGACCAATCAGACAAGTCATTGAATGATTTATAATCCAATATTTTAACCAATGATATATGCATTTTTGTATCACAAATCAAATATCAAGGTTTGAGATTAGTAAGAAATACAAACCATTTTATCTTTACAGTATTTTACTTATTTTAGGTTTGCAGTTGTGACATACCTGTTGCATAATTTCTTTTCTATTATAGTAGAAATCCTTTATTTTCATGTCATTATAGGAATGATTTGTATCAACATAATTCTTTCTGTCTCCTGTTGAAGTATCTAGTATTGAGATATACTTACAAGCTGTCAAAAAATAAAAAATAAAAAATAATGCTGAGATTGATTTGATAACTAGGGCCTATGCTTGAATATTTTTTTTTTTTTTGGATTCTTTCTTGTTCATGTCGCGCTTGATCTTCCAACACACTCGTCAACAATTGGCCAAGACACCTTTTCGTCGTGCCTTGTTCTCTACTGCTATTCCTCGTCTTCAACAACAAAACAAAACTACTCATTTTGGATTTCGTGATGTAGCTGAAGAAGAAAAAGAATCATTAGGTAAATACTTTACTTTTGATCATGACTTAATTGTCCTTCTATAGTCCACAAAGTATTTGCTAATGTAGCTGGTAAATACGATGTGATGAATGATGCCATGAGTATGGGTATTCATCGTATTTGGAAGGATGAATTTATTCGTTCGATGGCACCTGGTCCAGGTACTAAGCTTTTAGATGTTGCTGGTGGCACTGGTAAGGAGGAAGCCATGCATTTTACTGTTGAATTGACAAGTATATGGGTTAGGTGATATTGCATTAAGATTTTTAGACTATTGTAAGAATATTCACCATGACAATACAGCCACCGTCAAGTTAGTCGATATCAATCCTCATATGTTGGGAGAAGGAGAAAAGCGATTTCAAAGAACACCTTATGCTCATAGTAAGTTTGATTTCTTGTATGTCTATTTGTTTATTCTCTTATTCTGTCTGTAGCCAACCAAGCAAGTTTCTTGGTTCAAAATGCTGAACATTTAGACGAAATTCCTGATGAATCTGTGGATGTATACACGATTGCTTTTGGCATTCGTAACTGCACACATGTTGACAGAGTAGTAAAAGAAGCCCATCGTGTATTAAAAAAGGGAGGTCGATTTATGTGCTTAGAATTCAGTCGGGTGGATAACCCCATCATTGGTAAATTCTATGATATTTACTCCTTTGATGTGATTCCTGCCTTGGGTCAAGTGATTGCAGGTGACCGTGACTCTTACCAGTACTTGGTCGAAAGTATTCGTAAGTTTCCTCCTCAAGAAGAATTTGCACAAATCATTCGTGATGCTGGATTCAAGACTATTGGGAAGGGCTATGAAGATCTTACATTTGGCGTGGCTTCTATCCATAGTGGATTCAAAATTTAGTTTATTAAAACTTTGGCTAAAGAGATATGTTCATTCCATTCGATCTTTTCAGTAGGCATACGCTGGTTGTTGATATAAATGATAGGCAGACTGTTTTGGATACGGAAATAGAGTCTTGTGTGTTTTGACATGCTTGCCATCGTAACATAAATCGAGCCTTCTTTTGTTTCCTGTATGTGTTCAATGTCTGTGCCAGGCACAATATGGCCTGTGGAACCCATAAATAGGTCTGAAGTCTTGAAAAATGTACGCGTTTCATGCGGCTTGAGGAATATTTGAGACTGAGAAGGCAACCAATCTACCTTGTTCTTATACAGCAACACATTACGATGCTCAAAGAATGTATCGTATTGACCAGTGGCACTCATGGGTAGTAAGACAGTATGAGGCAAAGGTGACAGATTACTGAAAAACAGGTATTCCCTGCCACGACACGTGTACTGTGCTTGATAGAGATCAGGTTTGATCTGAATCACACTCTGCATCTGTGCTTCTGGTTTAGGGAAAATGGAACGGTAGAGTTGATGTTCTTGTGGGCTATAGAAATCGACATTATCTGACATGAGTGTCAATTGACCAGAGACAATATTAATGACCAGTAATGTATGCTTTTCTTCTGCTGTTAGTTTGTTGTTGTCAGACCGAATAAAGAACACATCAGGATCACTACCAAAGACAGTAGAAGCCATAGGCCATCGATGCAATGTAGATGTCATTGCATTCAGAGTAGCCACACGTTCACGTACACTGGCTAGTTTAAGAACAGTATGATCCCACCAAGGAGAAGCATCACTACTGACACGAGAATAATCCAATCTACCCCATGTGGAAGGTAATGTCACACCTGAACCTAACAAAAGTGCACGCTTTTGATTCCATTCAACAATCAGATCCATGGCATCCCACATGATCTCACCCCGCGATTTGCCCAAGCGAGGTATCATGGCTGCAGCAAACAAAAAATCTAATTTAAGCAGCTTGAATCCCCAGACATCGATGACTTGATCAAACACATGCTTCAAATAGGCCTTGGCTTCTGGATGGTAAATGTCGATTGCATAGAATCCACCCCAATTCGGTCCTGCTACTACTAAAGATCCATTTGCGTCTTTGACTAGCCATTCTGGATGTTCTTGCACAATCTTACTCTTGAACCCAACTGCAAAAGGAGCCAACCATAGACCAGGCAGATATCCTTTGCGAGAGATGTCCTGTGCCAGCACTTTCATGCCTCGAGGAAAAGTGGATTTCACCTCTAACCAATCACCAATGTGCGATTCATAACCATCGTCAATCTGGAATACATCAATGGGGTATCGATGCTTATCAAAGGCTTCCAGACTCGAGAGAACATCCCTTTCAGTTACCTTTTCATAGTAGTTGTACCAAGAAGACCAGCCTGTGAGATGACGCGGGTTTTGAAATTGACAGGCAGGATCATAATAAGCTGCATAACGATGCCAGACAGACGTGAGTTCAGCTACATGGTCACGTTTGGCCACATACAATTCGATCGTGAGTGACTGCCCTTTAGAGAGCCTTTTGCCTTCAATATCCTTGTAGATGCTCATCTTATTGATGTTTAGATCCGATTTCAAGTAAGTATAGCCTGATCCTTCGGTTGTTGAACCAACAAATACAATGGCATTGGATGGTGTATGACGAAAATATGTATACCCTGTAGCATGGATCTGACCTGGTTTACCTGCATAATCAAAAAAGTCGTAATCTCTGCAAAGATGAGTCGATGTTTGAGATAGCATAAGACTTACCCTTGAAGGTTGAACTGAGTTACCCATGACACAACGCGAGGAATAGAAGCAAGTCGAGAATAACGGTCCATTTCTTGAGTTGTGCTCCAGCACTGAAACCCTTCTGCCAACATGACCTGATCTTGTAAATCAGCTTCTAAATGAAATTCCAATTGATGCCAGTCAATATCGACTTGAGGTGTAATTTCCCAACGAATCTGGTAGCTGTCTGTATCGAGTGTATGAATATGTTGATGTATCTCAAACTGACCTAGACTTGTTGACAGTGGTAACTGAAGATCTACGCGTGTCTTATTTGCTGTATAAGCAATATGCACACTAGTAATAGTTTGGATTGCTTTAAACAAAGGAGTGGCCATGGCAAAGTAAGATAAAAAAAGAAGAATGTACACCAATAGCATATTTGTATAAAAAAAAAGAAAAAAAAAGGAAGTGCATAAACCATCATGCTATCATGACGACAAGAGAGAGAAGGCTGAGAATGGATAAGCGCAGTAAGATTTTTCTTTTCGATTTTATCTTTGCACTATGAGCAGAGGTCATCATGAATGGGAGAAATCAGTAGACAGTGTATTAGAAGACTACGATCTGTTGAATGCATGTATATATTTAAAGCGAATGTCAAGTTCTAAACTTGCTTTATGTAGGTTAATCTACTGCAAGACAAGTCTAGTATTAATTTGTCGACGGGCATGTTGTGGGTGAGTGTTTACTTTTTCCTAATTCTTCTATGCTTATTATATGCCTAGAGAATGAACCTGTGCGCTGTAAGCCATGTATTGCCTTGTACATTCTATGTGGGTAAGTGAGTAGTTAGGAGGACATTGTTTTCATATGATATAAGCCATCAATTATCGACTCCAAGTATATGCACTGGACACCATTCGATCTTCTTTTAAGGACCCTATCAAGACACTCATTCATCCTCATGTAGATGCAGCACTAGGCAATTCAGATTCAGTAAGTCAAAAATAATAATAAAAGAGGCTTTATTGATGCTAGTAGCCCTTTATTATCAATGCAGTCAAAGTAGGCAGTATGTTTGGACAAGAGATTGTGGTGACTGTAGCTGAAAATGGAGAGATTTGTATATGGAAAACAGAGGACATACATGCACCTCCTCTTGTCATTCAGTAAGTATACTACTGATATTATTGCCCTAGGATTGATAGAGAATAGAAATCATATTTCTACTTGGGGTATTGCTATTCATGATGGCTTGTTAGCTGTCTCTGCAAACAATTTCAAGATCACAGTCTATAATATGTCTATGTTTAATTTCTTTGGTCCACAACAACCCAACCTATGGTTAGGCAACACTGAAAGGATTGAATTAGAAGGCCATCATCATAATATTCCTTGTGTGGATTTCAATGCTACAGGTCGATATTTAGCTAGTGCTTCTATTGATGCCAGTTGCCGTATTTGGGATCTCAAGACAAGGCAAGAAATCATACATAAATCATCATCTTCAGGAGATCAATCATTGTGGTATTGGTCTGTCAAGTTTATTCAACCGTCTACTTTAAAATATACTCGATGTGTAGATAAAGAGTTAAATAAGGCGTTTTCGAGAAGACATTATCAAGGAAGGTCAACTTCTTTATTGAATTTGGGATTGTGTCATTCTGCTTCAAGTCCTGCTTATCCTATGTCTGTATCTCACGAACTTGATTTAGACGAAGAATCCATTGATTTCGAGATTTATCAAGATGATGATACACTAGATCAAGAACTATTGGATATGGAGCAAGAATACCAAGATTTTATAACAATGGGTGGAGAAGAGGAAGAAGAGGAAGATGAAGAGGAAGAGGAAGAGGAAGAGGAAGAAGAGGAAGAGGAAGAGGAAGAGGAAGAAGATGAAGATGAAGATGAAGATGAAGAAGACGAAGATAGTTGGGGTGATTTGCCTTCACCGGGTGATACAGCTATACCTTATGATTTTGATATGGATAGAGTACGAAATATGTTACAACAGCGATTAAATGAAACAGCAAGAGAATCACTAAATGACATGGATCAAGACATATCAGACAATGAAGACGATAGATATGAACTCACTCCACCACCCAATTTACCTTCTTATATAATACCTGACATTATCAAGACAAGACCACAGCCAACACACAGTAACCTACAAGAGTATTTAATGATGACAACAGCTAAAGATGTGATTTTGTTGAATTCTACTTTACCTCGCATGAAAAAGATTCGTGCGGAGCACAATCTGCTTAGTAAAGTAGATGTACGACAAGACCAACTGTTGAGTATTCTGGACCGCATGAATATGGTTGAATGGTTGCCTGAATTGGAGCTGTTTGTTGCAGCCAGCCAAAAAGGGACAGTGGCATTAATGCGCGTATTACAAGTTGAATTCAATGATGGAATACAGCATTGTATGTTTAACAACGAATGTTACCTTCCAGCCAGCGTATTGGAATCCACACCACTTTACGGTAAGAAGACACTGAATGTCACTCATAATGACCGTATATAGGCATGACTGTGAAAAGAGTAAAAGCAGAACGGTATTCACCAGTAGCATATCAAATCTTCTTGTTCTATTATAGTGGCAACATACTGGCCTATACTATATCGCGCAAAGAAGCAAGTATTCAGGTAGATAGTTTGTTTATTTAGAATAAACTTTCTCTCTTGCATGAATTTATCGATATACAAAAAAGGAAATTGAGTCACACACACATACTTACACACTTCCCTACTGTACCATATCATACTCTCCACCACCCCCTTTTAGGAAACACTAAATACAATGGGTAAGCCCATCTAGATCCACTCATCTATCCATCCATCCATCCATCTTAAACACTTATTATTCGCATTAGGTATTAGCCGTGATTCCCGCCATAAGCGATCGTAAGTGGTAAATGAACCAGATCATGGATGAACTAATATGCTTTTAGTGCTACAGGTGCCAGACGCGATCAGTACAGAAAGAAGAGAAAGTAAGACAGCAAAAATGAAGACGAGATCAGCATGATTGACAATGAATATAGGTTTGAATTAGGTCGTCAATCAGCCAATACAAAGTTAGGAGCTAAGCGTATTCACCTTGTTCGTGTCCGTGGTGGTAACGTCAAACGTCGAGCTCTTCGTCTTGAATCCGGTAATTTCTCTTGGGGTTCTGAAGGTATATCTTGTAAGACTCGTCTCTTGACTGTTGTTTACAATGCTTCCAACAATGAATTGGTTCGTACCAACACATTAGTCAAAGGTGCTGTGATTCAGATTGATGCTACACCTTTCCGCCAATGGTTTGAATCTCATTATGCTACTTCTCTTGGTAAAAAAAAGGTTGTTGACGAAGTGAAAGAAGAGAAGAAATCAAAAGCCGTAGAAAAAAAATTAGTTGCTCGCGATGCTACGATTGATCCTCTTTTAAACGATCAATTCCATGCTGGCCGTCTTTATGCTGTCATTAGCTCTCGTCCAGGTCAATCAGGTCGTTGTGATGGCTATATTCTTGAAGGTAAGGAACTGGAGTTCTACCTTCGTAAAATCAAGTCTCGTAAATAAAAAGATAACAATATTGTATATGGTGACATTATGCTTATTTACAAATTTTCTTAAGTATGCCCCACTAAACTGTGAGTTACAGACTAAGCTTCTTCCCTCTTTCTTTTTGGCAAACACTTGGTACACGGACTAAGAAATATTCAGGAGCCTTTTCGAGCTTTCTTTTACCTCTATTGACAGTTATTTTACTTTATTAAAATGGCTTTCAGATTAGGAACAATGAAACTAAACAGAGTCAACTGTGTAACGCATGACGGCTGACTTTCTTGTTTATTATAAGCAGATTGATTTTTTGGATAGCATTGGTCAATTCTAATTTTTAAAGCAAATGTTGTTCGAGTACTTCAGGTCGAATCAATACTTTTCTTTTCTTTGCCGTTAGTTCGTGTAAAGTTTGCATTTTTTTTTTCAATGAAACCGTGGCTTTCTATGTTATTCAATATCAATTGCTTCACATACTTGACTATTCTTGTCTCATTTCAATTACAGTGTGGGCTACTTTGATGCTGTAAATCTTAATTTGTAATTATTTGTCTTTTCTTGAAGAGTGTCGCTTTTTTTTTTTTTTATTTTATTTTAGAGTTTTATGCTCAGATGCCGATATTTTATCCAGATTTTCTGAGACTGAAAAAGAAAACAGTACAAAAGGTCCAAGAAAGACGCATACATTCATTATTACTCTTTTACGCAACATGTCTGGACTTAGCAACCTCAAGCTTTATTATTTTACTCAAGTTAAGGGGAAAAGTAAGTACCAATGATTTCTTTGCTTTTTTTCTATAACTAAACAGTGTTATTTTAGCTACCTTGGGTCGTGGTGAATACGTTCGCTTATTGCTCGAAGATGCTGGTGTAGACTTTGAATATGACAGATGCACTTTTGAAGAATGGGGAATACAAAAGGAAAAACTGATAGCTCAAGGCATTCACAAGCCCACCTTGCCTTACATTACCATTGATGGTAAATACTATGGCAACACTGCACCTATCATGCGCTTTATTTCCAAAAAAACTCGACAAGTATCAAGGCAAGGACGAAGACGAAGCACAATTGGTAGATGCCTATGCTGATACTGTGACAGATGATATCACTCGTTGGGCAGCAGCTAATTTCAGAGGAATTGAACAGCTAACTCAAAAATACAATGAAGTCGACCGTCCTCAAGCATTCGAGACCTATGAACGAATCTTGGGCAGCAAGCCAGGACCCTATTTGCTTGGTGAAGAAGTGTCTTATGCTGACTTCTTCCTCTACCACTACTTGGAAGACGATGCTTCTGCTTTTGAAGCTTCAGACTTCAAATCCACTCACCCTCACTTGGCTGCCTTTATTGAGGCTATCCAGAATAGACCTAACCTCAAGAAATATCTTGCTACTGATAGAAAATAGACACTATGTATATGATCCTTTCATTATTTGACTACGTGATAAGTATTTCGAGTGATTATAAAACCAGTATTCATAAAGAGTTTCTTTTTATTATTATTAAGCAATACAAGCACCTTTGTCGCGGTACAAATCCATCACTACTTTTTCTGCATCCCATTCAGATTTATCTAATCGATCCCATGCCTCTTTTTCGTCGCACAAATCATAATGCATCACAAACCGCACTTTTGCTTCTTGTGTATGCTTAAACACCTGCAGTTTCCATTCTACTTGAAGTTGTTCTTTTGCCTTGTTCATCTGAGCATGATCGATTGTCTTGACAGGAAAGGTAAACCCAGCACTTACAGGACGATGGTCGGATGCCTTCACCTCGTGACGACGATAGTAGACATTTGTCACATTCGCAGGTGCTCTATACAGAATACGATCACACCAAGCAGGCACTCGTTTCTTTTCAGACGTGTCGTACTCTTCAGTGCCTCGTTCATACTTGTATGTCGGATCAAACAAAATAGGCGCTTCTTTAAACCCCAAGCAACGAAACATGGGATTGGTGGCCTGCTGTTGTTTGAGTTGATCGTATTGTTGAAGTGTCTCCCAAGCCTCAAGTTTTGGATGTGTCTCGATTGATTTCAAGACATCTTCTCGAGGCAACTCAACGCGATAATTTAAATCACCACTAAAGAAACAAGTTTCATGATCCAAGACATGACTTCCGTCAGAATGGTTCTTGAACACGACCTGTTGAAGAAATGGGTCAGGAAACCCTTCTTGATCGGTCGCTATACATGCTGAAAATTGAGCCGAATGCAAGATACCGTCCATATCTGCGTTTCGTGAAAGTAAGTTACACTGCCCAGCAGCTAAATGGCAATTGATAAAACAAAGGGATGTATCGTCAATCAACAGTCGGACCACAATCCCTCCTTTATTGCCATGAAGACTCTTGTTCATGACCCGAAATCCAGTCTTGACTACAGTGGAATCGCATTGATGGATACGTGGTTCAATTTCTGTCTTGACAAACAAACAAGTGAATAGACCGACAAGCTGGTCTGTCTTGATGATCTTGTAACTGTTTTCGCCGAAATTGGTGTTGATCGCACTTTTGAAATAATCATACCAAAGCATATAGCGATGCGTCAAGAGTTCATCTGCTTCTTCAATGGTCTCAATCTTTTTACTGATCGAAAGTAATGATTCTGACAATATATAAGAAGAAGAAGAAAGAATACAGTACCATGAAACTTACTCGCCGTCAATGTCTTTGAGCCGAGATCCACAATTTCTTGTACGCCAATCATGATAATATCAGGACTCTGCATACCATTTAACCACTCCAAGATCTTTTCTTTGTCGATGTCTGTCAAAGCTTCTGGTTTCACAGCATCCATATTCCATGAACAAATCATGGCTTGAATAGGAGAGAAAGTACAGTAATCATTGACTCGAGTCAACATATGTTGTTCTGGCCATAACAAAACTGTGTGTCAGAGAGACTATGATATCACCTCAACTTACTTCTAACCTATCCAATAATCCGATAATAGTCCATCCCAAACAGCAATATGGCCCTCGACATCCATACTAACCACTGTCGTACTGGACAACGCATCCACTTCCAAATGAGTCACCGCATGCGTATGAGCATGCCATACTTTGACAGTGATCCATGGATCTGACTTTGTGTTATAAATAGCAATGCTACCATTCAAGAACCCTATCCATACATAATGTGTGTCTACAGTGACAGCAGTTGTTATCTGGTCTGTGGAAATAGAGACACATTGCTTCTTTTCGAATGTGGTTTCATCCCAGATGTTGATTTGACCTGTTGCATGGACAGTATAGATTGTGTCTGGATAGACCATTAACTGGACAATTTCTCCGACTGTCTCCTGGTCTATGGTAAATGATACAACTGAACCCGTAGTCCGATCAAAACAATCCACTGTCTTTTCTAGACATGTCCATAATCTGTTGTTAGATAACGCAACATGATGTATACATGGGCGCACTCGAAAATGCTCGGGTAAAGTATCTGAAAAGCATTCTTCAATACTCATGGGCCAGATAGTTAAATTCCCTGCTGTATCCATAGTCCATAATTCAGTATTACGATGCCGAAGAATGTGATTGATGGGATAGTCTGTGATTTTCCTGGTCCTGACTTCACCTGTCTCCATATGCTTAGCTAGTATAGAGCCATTCTCTGTACCAGCCCAGACAACAGCAGTGTCTCGAAAAGTAGGTGAAAAACAAAGACACCTGATTGAATCTATGAGTGTGTTGGATGCCACAGGAATAGTGATGGGTGAAGGTATGACAGTACTAAACAAAGCTTCTGAGATCTCTTGTATATGGAATGCATGGATATGGTTATGCGATGTGCCAATCACAATGACTGATCCTTGTACAGCCATTGCATGAATTGTACCATATTGATTTGGAATACGAATTTCATGATCTAGTAAAGGAGGCGCCTCTGTTGTATGTGTCGTATCAGGGTAACTGTATTGTTCTGCACTGTGAATAGGCGCGTCAAATGGGTGATTCATCTCTTCTTTAGTGCCTACTGAAAATGACCTTGAAAGTCCTTCTTCGTCCTCTTTATTGAGTTGAAGATGACGACGACGATGGTAGCGTAGTACATGATCATCTAAAGAATAAGATCTCGGTATATTGAGTACAAGGCGAGAAATAGGCAATTCTTTAGGTATGTCAATCGTTTCCTGTAGTTTAGGAAGATTCATATGTTTATGTTCCGAATCAAAAAGAAAAAGGCATAAACCACAAATAAACTCTTTTTTTAATGTCACACACGCACGCACAACCGCTTTTTTTGCGCAACATTGATCTTTTTACTTTGTACAACATTCAAAAGTTGTCAATTCAATGTGCTCCTATCATATTTACCTTCCTCCCCTTCACCCATTTGTCCCTCCCTGATATCTATATAACCCCTCTCTCTCTCCTCTCTTTCTCTCTCTTTTTCTTTTTCTTTTCTATTTCTTTTTCTTTATATATATATAGATATCTACTTTACTCTTTTTTCTTCAATTTTGAACCCCTTCCACTCTTTTTAATACTTTATTATGTCGCAACCTATTGTGAGCTATGGACAAGATGAGATTTCTCATTTACGTTCACAGAATGATCAACTTTGGAAAATCATTGAAAAACAGCGTGCCATGATTCAAAATCTCCAAAAGGACAATGTCAGACTGTCAGCAGAACGAGATGGTCTACAAGACCAACTCCATCTACTCGAGAAAGAAATGACTCGCAAGCAACGTGTGACTTCACTCTTGATCTCACCTCAGGCACTGCGTGAAATAGCAGAGGCAGATGACGCTTCTACACCGAATAGTGAAACCACACCTTCTCCTATCGAGTCTTATACAACCACACCTATGCCACCTCCTCGCTCACCTTATCGTCCTCTGAAAGAAAGACCGGACGAGATATTCAACAAACAAGGCATTGAACAACGCATGGAAGAACCAGAGTCGTACTTGACAGCACGCAATTTGGAAGACATCAATGGTCGATCTTCTCCTGGCTCACCTGCTCCTGGCCCTCATTCACCCACCCGAAGTTATCAACAGCGCAAAGACAGTGCTCCATTACCTAATCATGGCAGAAGTCATTCACCCTACATGTTACCTGCGCCTAGTAAGTCCTCTTCTTCGCTTGAAGTCCGAAGACGCCAAAGGGATTCCATGATGCCGCCTCCACGCGCTGCCCTGGAACATGATCCCACCATGCGTGCTGCTTCTCCTCCTCTTCCACCTTCATTCTCTTCTTCTACTGCATCCATCAATACCAATCTTATGACTGCTTCTACTTCTACTTCCACAATTAATTCTATTTCTAATTCACTTCATGTCACTAGCACACAACAAAAACGCCATAGTCAATTATTCACCACGAATTCATTAACCGATCTACACCAACAGGAAGAAGAGGAAGAGGAAGAAAAGCCTGCTTTGATGGGCAATATGGCCAATGTGCATGTCAAAGTAGTCGGATCTAATATTAAGCCTAACGATAAGGGTAAAGAAGTTGTGTCCTTTATTGTGTCTGTAGGCCATTATCGTGAGGATGATACACACCGATTTGAGGAACGTTGGCGTGTGGAAAAGCTTTATTCGGACTTTTTAAGTCTCGATACAAAGGTAAAAAAAAAAAAAAAAAAAAAAAAAAAAAAAAATAAGGGTTACAAAAAAATAAATTAATCAATTTATTTTAGTTAAAAACTCAAAGGAATCGTGCTGTTAGTGGTAAAATTGGCAAATTGCCTGATAAAGCCTTATTTTCAAATAATGCACCTACCAAAGTAGATCAAAGAAAGGTAATGACCAGCAAAAAAAAAAAGAAAAAAAAAACTTTTCTAAACGTCTACTTAGGCTGCATTGGAACAATACCTTCAACATGTTATCTCTTTATCACTAGAGGATCCTTCTGATCTATGTGAATTCTTGAGTACAAATGTAGTAGACACCAAAGTGTTCCAAGCTGCGGGTCAGAAAGAAGGCTATTTGACAAAACGCGGCAAGAATTTCGGTGGTTGGAAAACCCGTTACTTTGTCCTGAACGAATCTGTCCTTGAATACTATGAATCGGTAAGCAAAAGCCCATTTTGTGTGTGTGTGTGTGTGTGTGTGTGTGTGTGTGTACACCATGTTGATCTTATTTGTGTTAGAAAGAAGGCACTCAACTTGGCTCTATTCGACTGACCAATGCACAAATTGGTACTCAAATGCACGGTTCTTCTCCTGCCAATGAAGAATCCAACAGTGTCTATCGCCATGCTTTCTTGATTGTCGAACAGAAACGTGTGGGCTCAAGTCACAGTGTGCGTCATATCCTATGTGCCAATTCAGATGATGATCGTGATAATTGGGTTCATGCCTTATTACAGAACATCAGTATTGTGGAAGAAGATGTTGTCTACAAGAAGAAGAAGGCAGAGAAGCCTCGCAAACTATCCAAAGGTGAAATCCGTGCTATTTCTGCTCAGCCTATCAGCCACATGAAATTAGACAACAGCAGTCAGGCAGACATGGACAAGTTGAGTGTGCCTCCACATGCTGAAGAAGACAGCCAGCTTTCTTCTTCTTTACCCAGTGTACAGTACAACACATGGAGTTCGTATGAAGCGGGGCGTGTCAGTCTAGATCAGCGTAGTAGTCCCAGTAACCTCAATCTACAGCCTCGTCCTCCTATTGTGCGTCGTAGTAGTATGAGTAATCTGATTGAACAACCACCTCCCGCAGATCCATTACGTCGTGCTGTATCACCCACCATTTTGCCTAGAGAAGATTCACCTACTGAATCACTCGAGCCCGAAAAAAAGGCGAGAAATAAAGCCCATCGTATGACATTCTGGGGTAAGAAGATGTTGTTCAACAACACTACAGAAGAAGGACAACCACAACAAACAACACCTCGTCCTGCTCCATCGAATTCTTCTTCTTCTTCTACTACTACTACCAGCAATCCTTCTGGATTCCGTGGCTTTCTGTCCAGATCCTCGCATGAACAAAATGACCGTCAACGCAAACAAGAAGAAACACCCAGTCTACCTAAACCATCCAAGCAAGTCTTTGGTGTGCCCTTGGAAGAAGCAGTGCGTATCTCAAGGGTATCTGAGGGTTATGAATTACCTGCTGTGGTGTATCGTTGTATTGAATACCTGGATGCGATGAATGCTGTGATGGAAGAAGGTATCTATCGTCTTAGTGGCAGTAATTCAACACAAAAGGCGTTACGAGAACGCTTTAATCAAGAAGGGGATGTGAATTTGATGGCTACCAAAGATGACTATGATGTGCATGTTGTTGCTGGTCTACTTAAAATGTGGTTACGTGAATTACCCACTAGTGTATTGACAAGAGAACACCGTATTGACTTTTTACATGTGATTGGTAAGTCAAGACAAATCATAGGGTTACAACTCACACCATGCAGATCTCTTGGACCGTAAAGACAGAGTGAATGAATTAGGTCGCCTTGTATCACTACTGCCTTTAGCCAATTATACACTTTTGAGAGCATTGACTGCTCATTTGATTCGTGTAGTACAACATTCAGATGTCAACAAGATGACTATGCGTAACGTCAGTATTGTGTTTTCACCTACTTTGGGTATTCCTGCCACTATCTTTAATCTATTTATGAGTGAATTTGAATATATCTTCTGGATCACCAAAGACGGTGATGCAGCACCCCGTATGATTGAAGACGATAATGATGACAAAGAAGAAGAAGAAGAGAGTGCGCCTGGTCTGAGCAGAAGTACAACACTGCGTCTTCGTGAAGAACATGGTCGAAGTAATCGTAACAGTGTGAATTATATGGATGGTGCACCCAATGCCATTGTAGATCTGGAGAAGCATATGGATGGTAAGCCATTTTAAGTTGTTATATCAATCTCATAGTGTCTATTTAGGCCCACCTGTATTGGATGAAGATGACGATGAAGATGTAGATGATTTAACCCTCTCCAATGATTCTAGTTTCTCCCTTAATGCTTAATAATTTATTCCTTAATATAAATCATTGACGACATTGTCAAGTTTGCATACAACTAAATTTAGTCTGATGATAATGTACGTATGCATAGTATTTAAACATTCTTTTCTTTTTGTTTTTTTTTTTTGTTTTTTTTTTCCTTTTCTCTCTTTTTATACACAATGGGAACAGAAGACAATGTTATTAGATTTGTGATTGGTGTATTTGTTTCTTTAGGTTCGTTTGTTACTCAATTTCTGTTTAATCAAAAAAAAAAAAAAAAAAAAAAAAAAAAATAGGAGCATCATTTATGGATGCTCTTGGCCTAAATATCTTAAAATTGGATCATGTAAAAGAATCAAAAAGAACTCAGCAACGTGGTGATTGTGGAAGACCTTTATGGCATCTTGGTCTATACACTTATATTGCAAGTCAACTTATTGGAAGTACTATTGCTTTAAGTATGTGTCGTTCTTTATTTTAGAAAGAAAAAAAACACTAACATAAATTAAAACATATAGATTATTTAAAGACACAGGTATGTTCTCCTAACCCAAAAAAAAAAAAAAGATCTCTCCTAAACTCTCCTTTTTTATATATACATATATATATATATATATATATATCTAGTGGGTTGCACCTCTAGGCAGTGTGGCATTGATCTTTAACTTTATCTTTGCTAAATTACTGGTTAATTCAAAAATCACACGTAAAGATGTTCTCGGTACTTGTGTAGTAGTTGCCTCAGTGATTTGGATCGTTGTGTTTGGTGGCATGTATAATGGCGAAGATCGTAAGTAGATGATATTCAGATCTATAGAGGCTGATTTGTGTTAGCTGAACAATCCATTTCGGTCGAGCGACTCAAAGTCTTGTTTGTTCGTCCTATCTTTATTTTTTATTTTAGTGCACTTAATATCATTGCTTTTGGTGGTCTATTTATTTCCATTTGGTCCAACTGGGCTATTTCTGACGAATCAAGAAAAAGAAAAAGTCAGCTATTTGCTAGCATGGATCAGAAAAAGATGAAGCATATTGTAGGTCTGATGTTCAGTACAGAAGGTGGTGTCTTGGCCAGCGAAACACTCTTGTTAGCCAAAAGCGGGTAAGTAATAACTGTAAACTTACTTTTTTTTTTTGTTGATCCTTATGGATAGTGTCAAGTTATTTACACTCTCTATTTCATCTCAAGTCAACCAATTCAATGATAATGCAAGTCGATTTATCTTGTTGGCTTTATTGATCACTGCCATATTACAGGTAAGTTGGCCTCATGATGATCTATGTCTCATTTTGTCTATAGGTCTATTGTCTGAATACAGCATTAAAACTATACACATCTGTGGTTGTTGTGCCTGTATTCTATGGTACTTATACTGCCCTGGGCCTTGTGAATACTATCATCTATTTAGATGAAATTGGGAATTATCCTCCTTGGGCTATTGCTTTAGTCTTTGTGGGTATTGGTGTGCTGATCTATGGTGTCTTCTTACTCAGTTCAAAACCTGATCCAACTTCCCATTTACAAGAAGATACACCTCAAGAATTAACTGATTTCTCAGACTTGCACTGGTTATCTGCTCAAGAAGAAAAAGAAGTGGCTTCTAAAGCAGACAACAAAGCCATCCTAATTACAGCAGAATCCTCTAGTTCAGCACACAAAAAGAATGAACAAAGCAGACTATCTAAACTGTTAAGACTCAAGTATTTCAAGACACCTTCTAAAATGAATACGTTTATCAGTCTCCATAGTTCAAATAGTGGTCATGAGCCATAAGAAAAAAAAAAAAAACTTCATTGCTTTGTGTATGTGTAAATAAAGTTTTAATGTAATTTGTTGATTTCATAGAAATTAGATTGACCAAGATATTCTTGTATACTTTTTGATTCGACATGATGAAAGATACGCTCAAAATGAGGCATGAATTCCCTTCGTGGTACATACAGGTTGAATTCCAAGTCTGCAAATACAGCAAATTCATGTTCATGAATCTCTTCTGCATCAACACCAAGTTCATCATCCATAGCATCTAAAAGTGGCCTAAACCAAGTACCTTTGGCTTCATTCACTTTAGTGGCTAAAAATAAGCAACAGGCAGCAATCAATTTACGGTTCTTTTTGGTGACCATATTCTATAACCACAGTCTGTTAGTCTCTCTCGCCTTTTTTTTTTTTTTTTTTTTTTGTGGCATTTAAAAACTTGCCTTGATCACTAATTTTTCAAAAAACACATAGGCATGGGCCACACTAGAGACTTCCAAGTCAACCAGTTTACCAATCTCAAGTAAATGAAGCTTAATAGCACGTATTTTACTCAGTGTGATTTCAGTCGGTATTTCTGGATGGTTCAGACGAAACTGTTCATTCATGTCTCGCTTTAAATCAGAAGGTCTTACACCATTGGCCAAAGTACCCTGAATAGAAGTTAGTGCAAGCTAGACACAAGTGGAGTTTACCAATGAACTTGGATCTAAACCATATTTGCCATACGTGTCATCATCAAGAAAAAATGGATCATAGGCATTGTCTTGAACAGACTGTTCTTCACTACACTGTCATGTTAGTCTCAATTGAAATTCAACCCTTGATCTTACACCAAGGATCCAGTAGTGTTTAAAAAGTGAGCATAAGACTGTGTTTTACGGTGTTTGCGTTCATTGCTTTCCAATTGTTGTTGACTATAGATATCAATAAACTATATACAAGTCTGTGTTGATACCTACACATAACTACGGTTCACAGTCGATTCTTTTCTTTTGTTTGAATTACGAATCTTATCTGTATAATAACGGAAAACAGACATGATGGATAGACTGCCATGTCCATGCTAACAAAAAAAAAAAACAAATAAATAAATGAACTTGATGGAAGGATATGTCAAGCATAGTTACGTCTCTTTCACCATGATAAGACTTCTTTTTGATTTTTTCAGATGCAATAGGTCTCTCACTATCTTCTCGAGTCAGTTTATGGTGTTGAACATCCTCGCTACTGCTTTCAGAAGGGTAGCGTTTGGGTGCAATGTATTTTCCTCTTTTGGGTTCATTGGTTGTTATAACGGGTGGAGTGGTACTTGAATTAAGTCTGCCATGGGCATCCGAATGTAAGGTGGTTTGTAAATTGTCCTCATCAGCAGAGAAACTACTATCGGAAGAGTGTAAAGAAGAAGCTAACCAGGATTGAGTATCTATCTAACTATCTATCTATGTACTACCTCCAATGGCTTGTTCTTCTTCCATGAAATGCAAGTCTGCAGTTGTTGGGGACAAATAAGTCGATAATCTCTGTATAGAATCATCAGGTGGTTTCTCATTTTCATTTCCGAGTGCAATATTGGATAAAAACGTAAAGGCAGTTGGTCTTGAGTTATTCCGCCTAGATTTACGACTTTTCGTCGTACCCATTGGCGTGCTTGATAGTTAAAAAGGGTTGATTGTTGCAAACGTGAAGAATATCTTCCTGCAAGCAAAATGACTTGGTCTAAGGTAATACTGGAGTATGCTCAAACAATAAAAAGGTTAGTTTTTTACTAAAAAAAAAATGTGCCTTTCAGAAGAAAAGAAAAGAAAATAAAAAAAACTCTCTGAGAATTCATTTTTATATTGATACATACACACCATGAAACGTCATCCATGTAGCCAAAATATCACTGTTATTGGTGGTGATCACTTCGGAGTTAGCATTGCATCTTACACTAAATACATGGATTCAAATAATGCATAAGGAGAGTTCTCTCCTTGGATCTTATGAAGAGGAAGGGGGTTTACATAATAAGGGATTTTCTAGCCTTTTTGTATGCTTATGAATAGAGTACAGTGGTCTTTGATAACCATGGAGTAATAGGATCATTGATCTCTGAAATGTTTACCTATCAGAGCTTTTGTTTAAAGTGAAAACTGATCTTGACTGACCATGCTTTGGCTTGTCAATAAGAAACGGCGTCCTTTTTTATACATAAATGTAGAAAGTAAATAGATGTACATGATGGATAATACACTGTGTCATGTAGGATACAAGTTTTGTATTGAATAACAAGCCACATCAAACAGTAGTCAAAAACGACTTGATCTTGACAATATCTTGAAAGATCTTGCAAGAGAAAAGAACTGACTTGAGACTAATAACACTCTTTCATGCAAGAAAAAGGTAAAGGCATGGTAGTCTTTAGGATGCGTACTGAACAAAGTCATTAGAAATAATAAGTGGCATCATAAAACCCTTCTCTTGATCTAACTGCCAAGTTCATTCCTATTCTAATGAAACACGAGCTTTGTGTACTTTTGTTATAGAGATGATCGGACAAAAACACTCAAGCTATAAGAAAGCTTAAAGATATGGTAAGGCTCACTGAATATTTTTTGACGTCACATCCTTTTTAAAAAATACCCCGTCCTTTCTAAATTCAACCTCAAGTTGTCTCTTTTTTTTTTCTTTCTTTGCCTTTGGTAAATAGTCATTATTGGTTCCATCCGATTACTAAAGTATATATAGCATCATGTTGAGAGCTTCTCGATGGTATGCTAAAGAAGCTATTCGTTTCAACAATCAACCACGCGTTAGTACTCAAAAGGTAACTGATTGATTTCTACATGTTGGTACTCACAGCATTAGCGTCTCTTGAGTACACAAGTACAAGACAAACCTTCTGGATCCATAATGGGCAAATTGCTTGGATTGACAGTGGTATTAGGTTCAGCCTATAGTGGAGCATCTTATTATGCTACTATGGATCCAGCATTCCATCAGACCTGGACAACCAATGTTCCTGGCGCCAAAGAGACGGTCGCATTGATGGAAGATATCCAAAAGAACCAAGAATTAAGCAAGTCTCCAGAATGGAAGAAACAAGCAGAGGAATATGCTTCAACAGCTAAATCGTATGGCAACAAACTTCAAGCCTCCACTCAGGATGCTATTGATTATGCTACCAATGCCTATCAAACCTTGACTGGTCAAAAACCAGTGTCTACATTAGACATGCCATCCCAACAGCATGTAGATACCTTGACCACGACACCTACCACTACCACTACAGTTCAATGGACCACAGATAAACCCGCACAACCTGCTGTTGTGGCCGTGGCTATTGAGAAACCCGAACCTATTGTGATCAAGCGTATTCAGTCCAACCATGCTGTTGTTCGTGAACTCTCTCAGATTGTGTATGAATTGGCTTCTATCTTGAATGAATCTGGATTGTCTGGATTAGGTCGTGATATCATCAAAGAAGCCAATCTCAAGATTGAACAACTCGGTCAAGAGTACAGTGCTTTAGATGGCCAACAACAAGCTATTTTGGATGCTTTAAAGCAACTGAATGCACAAGGGGATAAGATGGAAGGTAGCCTTGAAGCCTTTCATGTCCAGGCCAAGCAATCCATCGAGAAAGCACATGCAGACACAGCTGCTACCATTGTAGCCCGTGAAGCTCAACTCAAGAACCAATTTGAACAAACAAGGGCTGATATGAAGACCAGTTTTGCTCAACAGTTGGCTGCCGACCTCAAAAACCAACAAGCACGATTGGAAAAGGCACGCGAAGAAGCACTTGTGGCACAAGCACAAGAATTACAAGCTCGTTTTGTCAAGCAAGTCAAATTGTTGGTTGAACAAGAAAGAGCAGGTCGTTTGGCTCAATTGGACCATCTCTCCAAGCGATTCAAGGCATTAGAGACAGACGCTATTCAGAATGCAGAGGCATTGGATACATCGCGTCAATATCACGTCATTCATGTTGCTGTGGACGCTTTGGAAGATGCACTTGAACAGAAACAATCTTTTGTAGATGAATTACAGGTCTTGTCCAGCCATACCACAGACCCAGTGATCCATACTGCCTTGAGTGTGATTCCTAAAGAAACAGCTGAAGAAGGTGTTGATACCATCAGTCAATTGTCCACTCGATTTGAATTGATTTCAGAGGAGATTCGTAAAGTGGCTCTTGTGCCTGAAGATGGTGGATTTGGTTCTCATATCATCAGTCACATCATGGCCTGGTTGATGTTTAAGAAACAGGGTCTTGTTGAAGGGGATGATGTCGAATCTATTTTGGCTCGTACAGATTATTATTTAAAGAGAGACAATTTAGAATACGCTGCCCGCGAATTAAATCAATTAACCGGATGGCCTAAAAGATTGGCTCAAGATTGGATTCAATCAGCCAGACGTCACTTGGAAGTGAAACAAGCATTACAAGTAAGTTAGCAAAGAAAATAATGAAATTTGTATGGCTTATGAGTATGATTTTTTAGGTTGCAGAAACACAAGCCATTTTATTGAGTCTTTTGGAAGTTTAGATTAAATAATAATAAAATAAAATACGCGTCATAGGAGGAGGGGTATGATATCAAAGAGTCGTCAATATACTATAAAAGTGCCATGTTAAACATTGCTGTTTTTCTTTTTTTTTTCTTTTTTCTTTTTTCTTTTTTCTTTAACTATTATACTATGTCTGGAAATCAACCTGCTACTGATAAACTTAAAAAAGAAGTACAAGACCGTTTACATGATGGTGTCACATTTGTTGTGTTTGGTGCTTCTGGTGATTTAGCCAAGAAGAAGACATTTCCTGCTCTTTATGCACTCTATAAGAATGGTTTCTTGCCTGAAAAGACACAAATTATTGGTTATGCTCGTACCAAGATGGATAAAAAGGAATTCCATGAACGTATTGAACCCAATTTAAAAGGAGAAGACAAAGAATTAAAAGGATTCTTGGATATCTGTAGTTATCATCCTGGTCAATATGATCAAGCAGAAGATTTCAAGAAGCTCAATGAGTCCATTGAAGAGATTGAAAAAGACTACAAGGATGAACAAAAGAACCGTATCTTTTATATCGCATTACCTCCCAGTGCATTCGTGTCTGTCTCGACAGGTCTTAAGGAGCATGTGACCAGTAAGAAGGGTAAGACATCCATCATTATCGAGAAACCCTTCGGTAAGGATCTCGAGAGCTCCAATCAACTGTCTGAAGATATTTCGAAATTGTTCTCTGAAGACCAAGTATTCCGTATTGACCATTATCTCGGTAAAGAAATGGCCAAGAACCTGTTGAATGTTCGTTTCTCAAACATGATCTTTAATGCTCTCTGGTCTAATACACGCATTGAATCTGTTCAAATCACATTGAAAGAACCCTTTGGCTCAGAGGGTCGTGGTGGCTATTTTGATGAATATGGCATTATTCGTGATGTCATGCAGAACCGTAAGTGCATTATTATTTATATTTTCGGAACTAACCTTAGATAGACTTGCTGCAATTGTTAACGATGGTTGCCATGGAACGTCCTATCTCGCGTCACGCTGAAGCTATTCGGGATGAAAAAGTTAAAGTGTTACGTTGCATTAAGCCAATCAAATTAGAGGATGCTCTTTTAGGCCAATATGTCAAAAATGGGGATAAACCAGGCTACACAGAAGATGAGACTGTACCTGATGACAGCTTGGCACCTACGTTTGCCGCTCTGACACTCTGGATTGACAATGAACGATGGGCCAACGTTCCCTTTGTGTTGAAGGCAGGTAAAGCAGTCGACGCTCAAAAAGGTGAAATCCGTATTCAATTCAAGAAGTTGCCCGGCAGTCTCTTTAGTGATGCCACACGTAATGAACTTGTGTTCCGTGTTCAACCTACAGAAGCCATGTACATGAAATTCAATAACAAGTCCCCGGGCTTTTCTCAAGAGAGCATTGTGACTGAACTTGACCTAACTTATGAAAAGCGATACAAGAACATGTATATTCCTGCTGCTTATGAATCCCTCATTTTGGATGTTATGCGTGGTGATCATGCTAATTTTGTACGTGACGATGAACTAGAAGCTGCCTGGAGTATCTTTACACCTCTTTTACATGAAATTGAACAAAAGAAGATTAAGCCTGAATCTTATGCTTATGGTAGCCGTGGTCCCGACAATTTGGATGCCTTTATTCAAAAGTATGGCATTGAAAGATTAGCCGATCAAAGCTATGAATGGCCTACTCAAAGCCTTGAAAATTAATAAAAATTTATTTTTTCAATTTCTTTAAATTTTTAAAAAGATGAAGAATAACTGGATTACAATATATGACAATACATCTGAAGCAAGAATTGTCTACAGTTCTGAAAGTATTACGGATCACACAGGTTGGGAACCAGAAGAGCTTATTGGAAGAGAAGCATACGATCTATTTCATCCTGGGGATCATAAAAGCCTGCGAAAAGTACATCTCGCTAATGTCTATAACGAAAAGATGTCGTGTATGGTCACTTATCGATTTTTACATAAAAACGGCCATTATATCACGATAGAGACCATTATACACTGCTGCCATGATGTCTTGGTAGGTTCTAATTATCTGTATGACGAAAATGCTCTAGACCATAAGATGCGAGCCAACTCAGTAGACGAAATATTCATATGCCTACCGAATGGCACACTTCAACTGACAGGTGCTTGGAATGACAGGCAAGAACGTATGGAAAAGACACTCTCGATGGAAAAGGTCTGGGTAGACCATCATATCATTTTAAAGCAGGAACGACGTTTTTGTCTGATCTTGAATCGATTTACAGAAGCCTTAAATATTGTGTATGTGTCTAATCTGGCTACTGAGCTAGTGGCACTCAATATTCCCTTAGCCATTGGTACTTCTTTTTTTCAGTATGTGCCCGAACGTGATTTTCATTCAATGCAGGCTCAGATTGATATGGCAAAAGAGCATGATATGGTGATCAGAATACGGTTTGATTGGGTCATTGATCGTGAAAAGGGTCTTTCTGAACCCGTAGAGGCCATTGTCAGTAGTACAGATGATGGTCTAGTGATGGTATTTCGACTGTCACCAAGATTATTTTTGGATGAGCAATAATAAAAAGAGATGATCCAGCATCTTTATTATTAAAATATTTATTTTAAACAGGAAGTATGGTCACACCAATCCAATTTGTACTTGGAATTGTTGGCTTGGCAGCCAAAGGTTTATTGATAAGCTGAGCACGATCAGCGGGAGAGAGAAAGCCACCATTTCGCTTGAGAGGTCTGCCCAGTCGATGGACTCGTAAATGACGACGCATATTACTCTGTACACTGAATTTACGAGAACATCCCACTTCAGGGCATTCAAAGGGTCTTTCACCTGTATGAGAATACGTATGAATCCGAAGAGAGGAAGGACGAGAGAAGCCTTTGTTGCAATAAGAACAACTGTATTTGGTTTCTGTTGTCTTTTTTGGTTTCGAATCCAACACTTCTGTTGTCGGTTGAAGGATAAAATCCAATGAGTTTGTAGATACAGCACGGCGATGAAGAGGAGCAAGTTTTGGCGTAGGGCAAGGATGGGTATCATGAGAATAAGAGCGAGAATGGAATGGTGGACGAGGTTTTGATAATAAATAGTCTAGCTTGGGTTCAAGGGGTGCAGGCACATAATGAAGCGCATTTTCAGATGCATGTCGTCTATGTCTTTTTGTTTCTTCTACTTTAGATAATTGAATGCCTTCAAGCATTGATTGAATAGAAGGTAGCTTGGGCTGCATCTTTTTAAACTAATAATAATAACAAAAAAAAAAAAAAGGGAAAAAAAGTGATCATCTTTAAATAGTACAAGCAGCGCTTTTTTATATATTTTTTAGTCTTGTCCTTTTTTGTCTCTATGCTCGTGGGTTCTCTGCTTTATTATTGATGCCATTATCTTTTACACTAGTAAAGACGCCTCTTTATTACTTGTTATTCTATCAGAACATATCATTATTTCAACTCTTTTATATATACTTTCTACCAAAAAAAAGAAAAGAAAAGAAAAGAAGGGGTAAACAAGTGATTTTCTGTCTAACAGAAACTCCGGTTTGTATCACTCGATATAGTGTCAATTGTTTACAGAAAAATAAAACGTGTGCTTTTCTGTTAATTTATATTTATAGACAAGTCTAGATTGTCACTTGTAAGGTTGATTGGCTTAATCAATGATTGACCTAAAGACTACTTAATTACAGAAAATAAAAACTCAGATGATTTGAAGAGGCAACTATGACTTCATATTGGCCCGGAAACCTTAAGCTTGTCAAGATTATAGCAAACACTTTTTAGCATGGAATACTTACTTTCCGGTTATGTTTGGGAGGTATTGTTCTCTTGGTAATACAATCAGAGATGTACTTGGCATGTAGGTCTTGCTTTCAGATGCCTCCGTATCTTAAATGGCCTTCAATTGTAGAGCCCATACCAAAACCATGGTCACCGATCAACATAACCAAATGCTTTGGCTTCACTGCTTTCTGCTTCCCTGTTCTTTCCTTTTGCTGGCTTCGGATTCAATTCCCCTTTTTTTCTCTGGAGCACAAACGATCCTTGATTTTCTTTGTTAGATACTTCTTGCTTCATGCTCTATCTAGACATCTTGGGAGAGTTGTAGAAGTCCCGGATAATCTATCCGTTTATTTTGAAGGCAGCTGTAAGCCACTTGGATCTCCTCCAAAGTATTCGTTTTAATCAGGCTCTGCTCAGATCATTCCTTCTCGGCTTCAATCCATTAAACCTCCCTCTACTTTATAGCAGCAAAACGATGACTATACTACATATCTTAGCTATCAGAACCAATGTCTTGAGTAGATATGATTGTTGTAACTGGCAATGGTTGAAATACGTTATCTTATGGAAAACCCTCAGCAATAAGCTCAATGGGCTCAGTGGAGGCCTGTTTTTCAAAAGTGAAATTTTTAATAGATTGAGTAATGGCATCAAAATCTTGTTCAACAAAGTCTTGGTACCTTTTTTGTTCCCGTAAATGGCTATACTGCATCGGAAGCCAGTCTTGGTGGCAGGGTGTAGCCTTCACCCATATAGAATGAACCTCTTACGGCCTTACCATAACTTATTGCTTTAGAAAAGCAAAGCTATGTTATGCGGAGAATCAGTCAATGAAGTATGCTTTAACTGAATAAACTCAAGAAAGACAAACGTTAAAAAGAAACAAACAAGCTAAACGTATCGTTTTATTACTGAACAATGACAATGGATATAAGACGAGTGACTAATCAGAACCAACAATGACCAAAATAGATCTACTCCATTATCATGCCTCCTGTTTATACTGATTGACTCTTATCTTCGTACTGAAATAACAAAGGATAAGTGTATACAACATTAATTTACCTTTATGATGACAAAACTCCTTCTTTTCCAAATAAAGATATAAATCTCTGATATTTCCTTTTTTAGTGTTATCTTGTTATCAATGGTTTACAGAATAACAAAAAGAAGTGCCTTTATCGAAATCTTATTGTATATTATTATTATTATTATTATTGTTAAGCATGTATACGCTAAAAAACGAAACTAATACTTTACAATTCAATGAAAATTTGAGCAAGTTGAATGTTCGTTATGGATAACTTGCGGTGTTTAAATAACAAGAGACTAAGTCAAACATGTTTTTTTGCCTCCCCCAAACGAAAATAAAAATTCTACTTTTATCTTGATGTACAAGATGCCTAGACCATTTAGTAATCATCCACCTGCTAGAAAAGAAGCCACTCAATGGGCTAGTTGGGTTGACAAAGAAGTGCAGCAACACTCTGATCAAACTATAGATTCACTCCCTGAAAAGCTTCATCGCATTTCTCCTAATGCATCAGCAACCACGATACCATTACATTACCAACAACAACAACAACAAAACAAAGGTTACTATGTTATTCCTAACAAGGAACAACTGGCTGCTATTTTACCTGAAAAGACACTTTGTTTTTGCAGTAAACCAGCTTACCGCAGCTACACATTAGAATATGGCCCTATTTTAGAATGTGGCAACTTTGCTAATGATCCTACCATCGATTCAGATCCGCCTATTCATAGACTACAAAAACAATTTGTTTGTGGTTTCCATGTACACGAAACGAGTTGGAAGCGAGTCTGTGACCAAATACGTCAGAAGAACACTGTGCATTCAGAATACACTGAACTACGTACTTGTCCACTTTACAACTTTACTTATTGCACCATGTTTCGCCTCACCAACAGTTTCAAAATGGATACACCTACTATTTTGCCTGAATGTTTTTGTCATCGTCCAGTAGTGATGCGTATTCACCCTAAAGAAGGGGTTCAATTCGCGTGTAAAAACAGTTTTGTAGATGGTGCACCTAAATGCAGTTGGGTACTCAAGGCAAGTGAAGTGGCTTTCCCTAGGCCTAAATACCGTATCCATACCTTTGTGGATAACGACACCTATATTCAACAAAAGCAGCACAAAGTAAAAGAGATCAAAAAGAAATCAGCAGAGGATTATGAACGCGAACACAAGCATGAATTATTGGCTGCTTTGACTGGATCATCCCATAATATACCTGAAGAGAAATTGTGTCTCTTGAACCAGAAAGCCATCAACTTTAATGATTTGGTCCTGGAAGAAGAGAAAAGGCAAAAAGCATTGATTGTACCTACCTGTGTCATGGCCAACAAAAAAGCACCTCGACAATTATCCACCACAACTTCGACTTCTTCTTGCTCTTCCGCTTCTTCAGCTGTTACTTCATCTATTCAATATTTCTCGGCGGACATGGAAATAATTGTGAAAGAGAATGCAGATCTCAAGTTGGATGTTACAAAGAACAGGAGAACCATTGAATTATTGAATGCCAGCATGGATGATATCAAACAAAAGAACACGAAACTAAAGACAGAAGTCAGTCGTCTTCAGAAAGACATGTATCGCTCTCAGAATGAAAAAGAAGAAGAGACAGTGCTCAGAATGAATTGTCAGGAACGATTGACGAGTATTGAATTGGATTTTGTACGATTGATGAACGAAAAAGAAAAGATACAAGAAGAGTTACTGCTTCATATTGAAGAAAAGAAGAAATTATCTGGTCATGAAGATGATCGAACAAAGTGTGTTTTGTGCTTTACTCAATTGATTGAATACTGTTTAGTGCCTTGTTATCATTATGGTAAGTGATTTTGTTTGAAAGTTTGTTACTGATCTTGTTTTTGTTTTAGCCTATTGTCATTTATGTGCTTCAAGACTGACTGAATGTGCTATTTGTCGAAGATCCATTGAAAAGATTCAAAAGATCTATGCACCTTAATTTATCTTTTGATATATATATGATACCCTTCAATACAGTAACTTTTATAATTTATTTTATTGTAGGATTGACCATTTGTGCCACTGTGGCAATAGTATCACTATCTAAATCCCCTAACGCATCCATACTTTGAGAAGACTCTTTCATGATCCTACTCTTCATTTCTCTTGCATATCTTGCCTTGTCTTGATTGGCTAAATCAATCCATGGCTGTAAATCTGCAGTGGACATGGATCGCCATTGATTTCCAATCTCTTTACTGATCTCCACTAGACGAGCTTCTGGGTATCTTTTCTTCATGATTGGCCTCATTTTCTTTGCAAAATGAAGATAGGCAGACATGGGATGTTTGGGTAATGTGTCGTCTGCTTTCTTTTTCTTTCTTCCTCGAGGATCTCTACCCCCAATCAGGTTGGGTTTTTTTTTAGGTTCTATAGGTGATGCCTTGTGTGTTCTTTTGAGTTGAGAAGCTTGTTTGATTTCTGCTTTGGATCTTCTTGAATAAATGAAATTAGCATGTTCATTGTTGTGCTGTTGCTTTAGTTTTGATTCTTCCTTAAGATAGTATTCCTTCTCTGCCTAACACACTTTTTATGAGTTCAAGTTTGGATCAACACACTTACAGGTGAAAGTTGTTTCCATTTCATGCTGATCGTCTTACTGATTTCACCAGAACTTAAGCCTTGATTGACATCATGTAGCTGTCTTCTCATGTCACGATTAAACAATAAATATGCATTAGGAGGTCTTTTGACTTTTTCAGGCAGAATACCGTATTTTCTTTTGATGGCGGTTGTCTGTTTGACGGAATGAGAGTTAAACGATAAGGATTCAAGTGCTGCTGCTTCTGCTGCTGCAGAATACGAGAGATTTAGTTTTTGAAAAGTAGGTGACGTTGGTTGATCTGAGCTGGTGGGTGGTGGTTGAAAATGGTCAAATAGATGGAGTACCGGTGAATGGTCATTGGGTATGATCATGGATGAGGATATCGATGGCTTCTTGTGATCCGTCAATGAACGATGATCAATATCCAGTGTGAACTGAATACACTGTGATTGGTTTTGAAATTCAGCTTTCTGTTCTTTTGACATCTGTTGCCATTCTTCTGTTAATTGTTCTATGGAGATGTAGTGTCCTTCTTGTTCATTGCGTCTTTTGGTCACAAATAAGGAGAATGAGTTAGGTGCTTTTTTATCAGTGTACATATGAGAAGAAAGTGAGTTGTACATGGATTGTAACATCCTTGTCAAGTGGATGAGGGAGTAAAAAGAGAGAAGAAAAAGGGGGTGGGAACAGTGTGTATGCACAAGTTCGTGTGAAGTTTTATTGTTAAAGTGACCAACTGTATTACCAACCCATTTGTTCTCTTTGACATGTCTTGTTGCCTAATAAAGTGATGTTGTTTATAATACACAGCTTTTCTTTTTTATTTATTTATTTATTTTATCTTTGTTAACTTGATTGTCTGTATAGGATGACAATAAGGATATTTTGTATGTCTATTTCACTGTTGTTACATAGAAGAAGAAGAGAAAATTACAGATTAGTTGGGAGCATTGGGCTGTCCACCAGGAGTATCTTCAGGGAAAGGAGGCGGTGAAGAAGTCTAATGAGCGAATGAGATTTAAAGTAGATAATATGATTTATCAACGTACCTTCTTACGAACATATTCATCATACACTGTGAATTCTTCAAAAGGTCTTTTGCCTAACAAGTTTTCCATATCTTCACGAGTCAAGACTTCCTTGTCCAACAACAACTTGGCCACCTTTTCAATATCTTGTCTCTTTTCAGTCAATAAATTCTTGGTACGAGCATAAGCTTCAATGATCAACTTTCTGGCTTCGTTATCAATCAAAGTACCAGTTTCTTCGGAGAAAGGCTTTTGGAATTGTTGTTCATTTTGAGGGTCTGTGAAAGAAAGAGGGCCAATACTTTCATTCATACCATAGGTAGTCACTTGAGCATAAGCAATCTTGGTCACTTTTTGTAAATCATCATGAGCACCTGTAGTGATGGAATCAAAAAAGATTTCTTCAGACACACGACCACCTAATGTCATACACATGCGATCCAACAATTGTTTCTTGCTGTAAAGGTATTGGTCTTTGGGCAAGTACTGAGCATAACCAAGTGCGGCTGAACCGCGAGGAATGACAGAGACCTTGAGAAGAGGATCAGCATATTGCAAGTACCAACCAGCAACAGCATGACCAGCTTCATGGTAAGCAACCGTCTTCTTTTCTTCAGGAGACAACACGCGAGACTTCTTTTCTAGACCAGCAATGACACGTTCAATAGCATCTTCAAAGTCCTTTTCTTCAACATCTTCTTTCATTTTACGAGCAGCAATCAAAGCAGCTTCATTACACACATTGTGGATATCAGCACCAGAAAAGCCAGGTGTCAGAGCAGCAAGTTTACGGGACAGTTCTTCCATGTCTACCTTGGTCTTGATGGGCTTCAAATGGACCTTGAAGATCTGAGCACGGCCACCAATATCAGGGCGATCAATAGCAATATGACGATCAAAACGACCGGGACGCATCAAGGCAGGATCCAAGACATCAGGACGATTGGTACCAGCCAAGACAACCACATGCTGACTCGAATCAAACCCGTCCATTTCGACCAACAGCTGATTCAAGGTACTTTCTCTTTCATCATTGCCACCCATTTGACCTCCTTTACCTCTTGCTTTACCAATGGCATCAATTTCATCCACAAAGATAATACAAGGAGCATTCTTTTTAGCGGTAGCAAACAGGTCACGCACACGAGAAGGACCTACACCCACAAACATCTCCACAAACTCAGAACCAGAGACACTCAAGAAAGGAACACCAGCTTCACCTGCAGTAGCCTTGGCTAATAAGGTTTTACCAGTACCGGGAGGACCGGATAAAATGGCACCCTTAGGAATGGTAGCACCAAGACGTTCATACGCAGCAGGATTCTTCAAGAACTTGACGAATTCCATAATTTCTTCCTTGGCTTCATCAGCACCAGCCACATCCTTGAACTTGACACGAATGTCTGTTTCTTGGTTGAACATCTTGGCCTTACTCTTACCAATACCGAAAATACCACCTTGTCCACCAACACCACCTGCACCACGACGAGTCATGTAGACCAAGACACCTATCAATAAGACAGTGGGGGCAAAATGCAATAATGTCTGTAACACACTGATTTCATCACGGTAAGCAACAGGAATACGCTCATTGGAAGGAATGCCCAGTTCATTTTGAGCTTCTTCTAGCTTTTGTTCAAAGCTATCGGGTGATCCAATAGTGAAAACAAAGGTTTGATGAGGTGATACACCTAATGAGCCTGCCTCTGATCTCAAATGGACTCGGACTCGGTTACGATTGACAACGACTAACTTATCAACAAGACCTTTATCGAGCAATTGAGTGCGGAATCCTTGCCAGGTAATTTCGCGTGAGGATTCAGCAGGGCTAAACAACTTCCAGGTCACATAGCCGCCGACAAGAGAACCCAATACCAAATTGCCATTGATTTGTATTTCAGGGGCTTATTGCCACCAGGTCCATTGTTCTTTGGTGGAGGTTTAGGTACTTGTTCAGAAGAATTCTTGGCGTGTTTGGAGGCAGCTTCATCTGCTGACTTCTTGGCTTGTTTTCCAGACTGTTTACCGAAAAAACTCTCGAATCCTTTAGGTATATTGAAAGGTTCATCGTCCTTCTTTTTTGGTTCTTTGTCAGTGGTGTATTTACGAATATCTTTGCGTAAGAGAGTGGGTGTACGGTTGAGACGTGTCAAGAAAGGTCCTCTCAAAGTTGCTTTTTGAGCAACGCTAGATCGACTACCGATCTGTGCTAATCGAGAAAACATGCTATTTTATATAAAAAAGTAGAAAAAAGAATAGAATGGAGTAGCAAAAACTACGCATTTTTTTTTTAAATAAAATGAAGCCCGGCTACATTTCTCGACGTCACTTTTTTTTTCGCTAGCTGAGTTTACCCTGGAGGAAATGTTGATTCATCCCACATACAAGTGAATTAAAATCAGACCACACACATATATACTTATTGAACACAGAGACATAAATCTATAGATATATATATATATATATTTTGCATACAAGTTTATTTGAAATATTTGGTTGTTGTTGTTGTTGTTGTCATCGTGGTTGTATAAATTACTGGCTCAATTCTTCCTTGGTCAAAATACCCAATTCCTTTCTAATAGGTTCCAATTCAGCAAGATAATCCTTGTATTGCTTTTCATTTTCAACCTTGGCTTCAAGACCTTCGAAAACACGAACAGCAGTGGCAAAGTCGTTAACACGACGAGAAGCCTTAAGAGCAGCTTCAATGACAGAAGGAGCAGGGACAAGATCGTAAGCAAAAGCGTTGTTCAAACCACGTTGAAGTTCGAAAAGGTCTTCGACACCATCAAAGAATTTGACGTAACGTTCAGTGAATGATTCGAAGCTTTCATCCTCATGACCAGCAGAATAGAAACGCTTACCCATAGCTATCCAATAATAGTAAAAAAAATTTTCTGTTAGTAAACTTGTTGTATGAGTCGTCTTTCTTAGGTTACCGAAAGCCATAGGACGGGCAGCAGGAACAGCTGAGCGAGCAGCAACACGAGAAATAGAACCAGCAAAAGCAGCACGAAGCATATTATATAAAAAAAAGAGAAAGAGGTCGAGTGGGGAGGTTTTTCTTTATATAAAGAGAGAAAGAAAAAAAATAAATTGTTTTTCAGACTTGAGAATTAAACAGGGATGTGGAAGAAAGTCACGTGATGAAATCTTTATTTTGTCAAAAAGCTTAATCATCTTCCTCTTCCTCTCCATGCTTAGCCTTTGTATTTTCCATTAAGCCTCGTTTCACCATAGAGAATCGGCAGTTACAGACAGATTCAAGCAAATCAGGTTCATCCTGAAGTCTTTCCATGGCCTTTGTAGCAGCATGTCGACGTGCTGTCTTGATATTCCAATCAGATCCACAAGCCAATGGCTTACCGTGTAAGAAGATGACACATTTTTGACTTTCAGGGCCAGTTTCGCCAGTACAATGGTTTCTATCATTCAGCTGTGTTAATCACTGTTCTTTGTCTGTTGTTTTCGAATTACCTCAACATAAAACCATCACAGCCAAAACGCTGTAAATCTGTCAAGAACTTTCGCAGAGGGTGGATTCTGATTAACTCGGGTGTAACATGGTTATCTAAAATGGGCAAAAACCATTTGGCAAACAAATTCTCTACAGGTTCCAACCGGAAACCAGCATCTACAAAAGTAGCACCAAGCATACTTTCAACAACATCAGACAATACTTTGGGTGTATTGAAATCAACCCAGTATTCACCCACTGCCTCACCTCTTTCTTTCACTTCTTCTACTTCTCCCACAAATTGCTCAATAGCACGGACCAGTCTGCCTGAATAGTGAATGATATGCTTGTATAATCCAACTTCACTGCACACAATGCCGAGAATATGATTATTGACACATGAATCCTTTAGATCTGTAATGATACCAGGATCAGCATCAGGATATTTGGCATAGAGGTAACGAATGACCAAGAAATCAAGAATAGCATCACCAAGAAATTCTAGTCTTTGATAACAAGGTGTGGTTGAATTAGGCAAACTGGCATGTGTCAAAGCTTCCACAATCAATAGAGGCTGTTCAAATTTACGCCCTGTTATTTTGTAGAGTTCAGGAAGATCCAGCTTTCTAAGTTCTGATATTTGAGCACGGGCAGGTAAGCTCTTTCTTGTCTTCTCAAAGGCTGGTTTAAAGTCATCCCAAGTCTTGATTTCATCAAACGGAATCTGAAGTTGAATAGCTGTATGCAACCCACCTTCAAGCCCTGTGCTGATATAAGCAGCACCTAGAGATGCTTCAACAATATCGGCTAATGTCTTATCTGACAATCTATGGTATTTTAAGCCTTCTATTGTTTCTGCATTGTCTACTGGGCTTGTAAAATGAGGTGGGCGCCAGTATCGACGATTGAATGCTTGACTAGTAATATATCTGTAAAACTTGAGACGCTTGGCTGATCGATACAGTGCTCGATTACAGATGACACGGATACGCAAATGATGAAGTTCACCTTCGTTACTGAAAGGAAAGTTAATGTACAAACGAATGGTGGCAATAAACTTAAGCAAGGAATCTATAGATATGTCAATCAATCAATTGCTTTCTTATGTGTCCATACCTCCAAGAGTTTCAAGACGTTCGTAATTCATTTCCATACTAGCAGAAGGTGTAGTATAGGCCTCAAGCATCTCTGCATCATGAATAGGCAAGTCATATCTAGCCATGGATTGACGACAGAGTAATAAGGAATCCACACGTGTCATGATAGAAGGTATCATCATTGTTGCTTGATAGACACTAGCGCTCATAAAGAATCGCTGACAGAAAGAAGGTAAACTATGAGTCAACATTGGGCCCTTCATCTTCCCTTGTGTAACGACACCTGGATACAAAAAGTTCATGACCTTCTTCAGTCGTTTGACTTGTAACAAGGGTTGATTTTCATCCACTTCTTCAATCTTCTTCTTTTGCAAATAATAGTCTTTGAATATAGTGAATCCAGCTTCTCGAATGGCAGAGCCTTCTGGTACCTGGCTTGAAGGAGTCAAATCATGACATACCTTGGTGACAAAGTAACGACGCATATTGTCAGACGTATCCACAACAATAGCATCGGTCATGTCCTCTTCGCTCCCTAATTCAAAAGGTTCTGTCTTTGATTCTATAATGTTCTGTACTTCTTGCCAATCAACCAAGTCTTGGAGTTCTTTAGCTGTTAATGCTTCAAAGTGGGTATCTTCAGAGTGTTTAATTAAAGGCACAATGTAATAAGGTATGTCGACAATAGGGCAATGGAACTTCTTATTGATCAAAACCAGCATCAATTTCAACATATAATCAGACAGTAGTAAGATAGTTTCTCGTTCAAAAACAACCTCAGTCTCAATATTGCGTACTTTGACCATGAAGGGGTTACTCTTGTGGAAAAGTTTAAGGTCAGGAAAAGTAGGGAACGGTTTTTTGGATATCAAGCAGAGACGACGGTAAGGAATTTCTTCAAATTGATTGCCTTCCAATTGTACTTCAAAAACTGTAAACCAACAAGAGAAAGGACCACTTGGTAACTCTTCTTCTTTCTCCTCTTGAATTTCTTCTTCTTTCACTTGCTCAGACTCTGGTTCTCCTAGATCTAAAAGGTTGTTTTCTGTAGCCAAATCATTCATCTGACTCTCGGGTTCCTTTGGATCTTCAGCCAATACGTTAGACTCTTGTTGCTCGCTCAGTAAAAGATGTGCTTCAGGTACGTTTTGATCAATGACTGGATTTGGTTCTTTGTTTTGGTTTGCTTCAGTGTAAACAGTCTCAGCTCTACGGACTGAGGTGTGATTGACTTGAGCCTGCAGTAAATCAGAATTATCTTCTACGCCTACATCTTCCTCTTCTTCTTCCTGTTCAGCTTCTCGTTCCCAGAACTTGGGTGTTCTCTTTTCATACATGCCATGACGGCGTCTACTACCAATAATGTAGCCATTTTCATCAAACTGAGGTGCCATTTCACCTAATATTTCTCGACGATAATTATGAGGCAACAAATGGTTATCCAATGCATTCAGTGAACGTAATTGTTCACATGCTTGTAATGCAACCAAAGCCTTTGCTTGCGTCTTGGATCTGACAACAGGCGATGTTAATTCTTGAATAGCAGCATTACTAGGTAATGTCAATTTACAAACAAAGCCTTGTCCGGTAGTTATGGTCTCAAATATAGGCTTTAGTACACAAAAACTGTCTGATGGTAAAGAACTACAGTATTTGTGTAAAAGAGGCACTGCATTCTGCTTAGTGATTGTAGCACCCGTTTCAGGAACAATAATAGAGTATTCAAGATAGTCTTCTTCGTCAGAGTCTTCTTCATCACTCGAATCAAGTTCCAAGTCTTGGCCAACCGAGAACTTGTTGGCAACGTTTCTTTCTGAAGGTAATATTTGACAAAAAGTCTTCATTTCTGCTTCAAGTGCTCTAAAGTCCTGAAAATTGTTATGCTGGCTCATGTTTTGTGACTCAACAAGGACAACATACTTCGAATCCTTTTTACGGGCTCGACCTCTTGATTGAATGTAAGCAATCAACGTATGAAAGAAATCAAACCGAATGACAACATTACATGGTTGGATATCAAGGCCTTCTTCAGCTACATTGGTAGCAATAAGCAAGTTTAATTCACCAGTTCTGAATTTCTCGATAATCTTGTTTTGTTCTTTAAAAGTCATTTGAATGTCACCTTCTTCAGTTGAGCCATGACCCGTCAATACACTACATCTTGCATTATTTAGACAGTCGAGTGATTCAATCAATTTTTGAATGGCTACTGCAGTATGTCTTCGTTCCACAAACACAATACCACAGAAATCTGTTGATTTGTTGACAAAAATGTTGAGAATCTTGATAAGCAACTGAATCTTAGGCGAGAATAATTCAGTGTTGTATACATCAGGATTGCGTGGAAAGGGTACTGTATCAATAAATTCATGCGTTTCTTTAAGAGCAAGATCTTCTTGCATCAATGCTTCTCTATCCAAGTTTTGGGTTGCACGAGACATTTTCTTTTCTAAATCAGTCAGCATGATTTTCCACATATAATCACTGCACCAAGGACCCAATGTGCTCAAGATGCCTGATGTGATAATAAAGCAACGTCTATATCTAGGAATATTGCCAAGTTTTTCTCGCACTTGAGCTGATAAAGGTGTTTCGTTATAAAATGGTGGTGAATGATATTCAACAGTAATTTCTTGACCTTTGTTAATGCTCTGATTAAGCTCTTCCAAGTTTTTGGCTGTATAGACTCGAGCATCCAAGTTTTTCTCCAGTTGCCTACATGATGTATTAGTTGATAATTCATACAAAGATGTTATACATGCACTACACTAGACTGAACACTTGACCGAGAATGCATAGGAGAAGCAGTCATGCCAAAAATCTTGGGTCGATTTCCAAGAGGACATCTGTCATAAAATTCTCGCATAATCAGATTAAAGGGATGTCTTTTTGTTGCATGATGGCATTCATCAAAAATAAGCAAATGAACCTATCATACATAAGCATCTTGAGGTTGCTATAAGTCATACCTTGTCTAGACTTATAAAACCATGGCGCAGAGTATCTAGAAAGATTTGTGCAGTCATGACACATACATCATTTTCTTCAAATATCTGTTTCCATCGCTTTTCTGACCAAGTATCCACTTCCATTTCTCCACACATTTGTTCTAAATTGACATCGCAGTTGGCTTTGATGACACTTGCCTGCTGGAAAACTAAAGGCACACGCTCTACTAAGAAAAAAGCTAATTTTGTCTGAAGCAGAGTCAATTCACATATCAAACCATGAAAAGAACCTATTTACTTCAAATCGCGTTAGGCGCGCTTCTCTTTCTTGCAACACCATAGATTTGATAAGCATGACAGAAATAAGAGTTTTACCAGCACCAGTATCAAGAACAACAATCACATTTTCCTCTAAAGCTTTTTGGTATAGTTCATACTGATATTCTCGAGGATTTAACATGGCTTCCTGCAAGTTGACTCCTCTCAGTTCGTTTGCAATAGCCTCGTCCAAGTCAAATTCAGTGTCTATCTTTTCTTTGTGTTCCAACTCGAGTTGGCCAGCATCTTTTGCCTTTGAATCGACTTCAGCATCAATGAATTCAGGATCAAGGTATTTAACAAGACGAGATCGATCAACATCATTCATGTGATTCTCTATAGGTTCCAAGGGAACATATCTAACAGTAGGATCCATGTAATCTCCCAAATCTCCTTCGCCTACAATTGTCATGCTTGTGAATTAACAAGAAAGAGTAAAACAATGAAATTTTTTGAAAAAATTCACTTAAAAGCATTATGTAGCATTCAGGCTATTCTGTGTCTAGTTAGTAACCAATATATCTAGAAGGCATACATAAACACACCCATGCGTACACAAAAGAAATTTTCTGTTAAAATGGTGTATACATTCATTCTTAGAGACATTCTCATTCTATTTGTTGATGATACAAGCCCACTCGTTTATCAACTACCAATGGCTATTGGTTTAAATAAGCCTGTTTGTTATAGATGTGGTCTTTTTTTTTTCTTTGAAGGTCCTTTGTTTAGGGTATCGTAATCTGCCAAAGTATGAAATACATAATACAGGTAGTAGTAATAATATTTTGCATGGATAGATTGTTTCAAGGTAACATTTGGTCTGGCATGTCTTTGTTGCGAGTACCCAATATCACTTGGCATTATCGCCAAACATTTTATTGTCATAAAAAGTAATAGCTTGGTCTTTAAAGCAGAAAGCAACTAATAAAATGATTGGTAATCAAAATCCCCTTTTTCTTACTAAACATTCATATTCAAAGCTTCTCTTTTATGCTTTAAAAAATGTCTACTTTATACATAAAGTGAAAAATAAAGACAACTATCCACTTACTATTCTAATTCTACTGACAAGGCTTCTCTTGTACTGATTACATTGTATAACGAACTTTGAGTGCATATTTGAAGGCGATACTCAGATTAACTCGACTTTTTCGTCTTAGTAAAACCGTTTTCTTTTCGTCAGAAGTACTTAGACATGGCTTCACCTCATTTCGGTTGGAGTAGACCTATATTGGGTCATTCCAAAAATTTCTGATCGAGTTTTGTTTTTTCATCTTTACGAACCTCCGTGTATCCCCTAAGGGTCAAAACAAAAATAAATTCCATCTAGAAGCCAAACCAATGATACCATTCGATTCCTTGGATCAGAATTGCATGTTTCAAATGAAAAAACGGATTATTTTGATAGTCTGGTTGTCGAGTAATGACACATCAAAGAATGTTACATTTAAGCTGTGTTTTAAGCATTTTTGCTCTAGATGCCATAAAAAAAGTGCTTTTTATGAGCAGTTGAAAGTTACTGTATGCTATTTCGAGTATTAAGGAACATAGAAAAGTAGCAACATAAGCACTTTACAGTGTAAATGTGAGGGCGGCGAGAGGACAAATGAACATAGGATATGCAGGATGGCTGTGAGCGGAGGCTTGAATAGAAGGTAACTCCAATTCTTTATTTGGCTGCATTTGAGAGGTCTTTTCTCGCAGTAGCTGCTCTTTTTTTTTTAAAAAAAAATTGTAGTACCCTTTTTGTCTCTTTTAATCCTCTTATAATAAATAATTGTCGAGCACCTCTTTTAGTAGGTCCCTCTCGAGACCACTAATACGTGCGGCAAACAAAATCATTAAAAAAAATCAAGCATTTGCTGAGAACTACATAAAGGAGCAGTTGTTTGGCTTTGGTGTAGTGACAAAAGCTGTAAATCTTTGTTTTCTGAGTATACTGATGTAAAGAAAACAGCAAAGTCCCTGCTAGAATACCGAGAAAACGTAAAAAAATGTTTATAAGGCTTTTTGCTCATATTTCATCATTTTTGTAACATAATTAGCAAACAAATACATGCATTAAAAGCTAGAGTTTTTGACGCTCATTCTGAGTAATTAAGATTGTCAATAGCTTCATTTTTTGTCTTGTAGTGTCAAAAAGAAGATCACAAATTGTCAAAGTAGGCTTTTTCCATGAGTAGTACCCTTTGGTTGAAAGGTCATTTTGGCCATTTTTTACAACGCGCTTTTTTGGGGGGTCTAAATCAGCCCCAAAGGCATTATGGATGGCAGTAAACACTGTTTGTATGCATCCAAATTGTTTATGCGTCTACAAACAGGCTTTATGTTACCTTTATATGCCCAAGAAGAAGAACAAGCAGAACTAAGAAAAATACAATGTAACATATAGGACAGAAACATAGGTTAACTTGATAAAAGAAACAAAAGACTTGAGGAGGATTACGGGTAAAACTAATGTTCAATCCATTTGTATGTATTAACTGTTCATATCCATTCACTTTGTGAGTTGAGTCATCTGGGTATTGTTCTGTTTTTGTTGATTCATTCATTCATTTATTTTATATCTGTTGATAGCAACCTGCGTTTATTTGTTGTTTCATCCAAGACGCTCTCTCTGCTATTGGCTGGAGAACCTGTATATGTTTAAGGGGTAAACAAGTTGTTATCCTACAAAAAAAAAAAGATCATTTGAAACAGAGAGATGCGTGGCCAAGTGCAATGTCAAACATAAGAATGAACGAAATGAGGGGTACAATGTTGTACAGTAGTCACTCGATTTAAGGGTGTTCGATTTTAGGGTATTTTCTATTTAAGGGAGGTTTTCGTATATCCTTGAATCGAGCGACTACTACACTATTTTCACTAATTATTGGGACACTTTGAAATTAAATCTGTTGATCCATATAGCATACTTGCGCATTGGTATAAATTTTGTCAAATTCATACCCAAAGTTTGTTGATTTATTGATTTGATAAAAAAAAAGGTCCTTTGAATACATGGTCCAATGTGGCCTTTGGCTGCTCGGAGTTGATCAATTCATAGGAATGGCTATACTAAGCTTAAAATACCTCAAGAGAACAAGGGGAAAAAAGGAATAGAGGGAAGAGTGTTGACCTAATGGTGTTTCTGAGTGTGGGTTTGTAACCAGAGAAGGGATAGAAACATTTGATTGGGTATTAGAGGGAATAGATTGTTTGTGGAAGCATATTACATAGAGGTGGTTTAGGATAAAAGTGAATATACAGAGGTTGTTCTGGTACCCCCAATAAATTACAAAGAGGGCAGCTTTGTGTATTCTCTTGAGAAAGCAATTTACGAATCTCTGAAAAATGAAAGGCTTGGTCAAGGCCACTTTTGCACCCTCTAAAACCACCTTGAGCAGTATCTAAGGACGATGCTTGGCTTTGGGGAAGTTCCTTTATGCATGTTTCGAGCATTTTTTTGGAAGTAGTAGTCATGCTAATTAGATAGTAATTGACTGGATCAGTTGGGTTGCCTTTCTCGTGAATTGGGACTACTTGTGCGACTCGTCAACAGTGAGGCGAGTATGGCCAGCGCCAACACCAACGCCAACACAAATCAAAAATACATAAAGTTGGAGGACCACTAAAATTTGTAACATTTATACAAAAATTAAAGCTAGGGCCATAAAAAACATGGTAATAGCTGTAGATGCCAGGAACTTTTCATGAATGAAATGGATTTACAAAAAAAAAATATAATGTAATTTAAACCTCCGCTGGCATTTATGCTGATATGGCAGTTATGCCAATTGTATGCCATGGCTCTTTCACATAAAAATCAGAACCAAAACTCGACATCTGCCAAACATGGTTATCGACGCGACCAAGCCCTATCTTGGGCTCAAATTGCGCAACGGCAAACGCTATCTTACCAACCGGCAACCAAGATGCAACCATCTAAGGACTTGAGCGACTCGTCATCTACTGCCTCCAAGTATGCTCATCAGATCGACGATCTTTTGCACACCAGCATCCGTCCCTTTATTCAAGGGCTTGAAGACGATAGTACGCTTATTGATATAACCAACATCAAAGACCTCAACGGCTTGAAACAATTCTTTGGCTCTTTTAACACAGACACATACTTTCCCTACTTTGGAACCTTGTTAGTTGAACGCCGCTATCTTCAACGTCGTTTCATCGAAACCTTTTGGGATAAGGAGGCTGCTGAGTATCAACAACTTATTGGGAATGGATTGACAATGGACGACGGCATTGTGATCAAAGGTTACCCCAGTCTCCCTTCTAACGCGAAAGTAGCCCGCGTGAAGGTCGAACGCTTGCCTTTCATCAACCCTTTAAAGTTGAGAGACTTGATGTTTCAGCGATTTAATCATTTTGGAACTGTTTTGGATGCAGGTTTACAATTGGACGGCAAGTCATTCTTTGGGCAAGGATATGTTATTTTAGACCTGAATCGACCTCATCCAACTATGCCAGAAACCTTACGACGAGAGATTGACTGGTTCAACGACGGCAAGCGCATGCTCCGCCTCACCTGGGATGAAATGCCACCTTACTGTCGCTACTGCCAGAAGGAAGATCACTGTCGAGCAGACTGTCCTGAAGTACATAAATCTAAACAATGCTACAACTGCAATGAATTGGGACACATCAGCAAGGATTGTCCCCGTCGTGGTCATGGTAATAATCTTCCCGCTAATAAGCGCGTTGCAGTTACAAAAGTTCAATTGGAAAAGGAGGCCGCTAATAAAGCCACTGAGAAAACAGCCAAATTGCTTCAAAAGCAGCTGGCTAGGGAGGAAGAAGAGCGTCGGTTGGCTGACGAGAAGGAAAAGGCACTGATCGCCATGGAGGAGAAAATTATCAGAGATTCCGAAATGCAAATGGAGGAGGAGGATAGCTCGACTATCCGAAACATGGAAATTGAGATGAAAGAAAGCACTCCAGCCGACCTACCAGTCATGACGATGGGAGAAGTTGCTCACACCTTGGAAGGGCAAAAAGTTGGCTTGAGCAAGAAACTCAAAGTGTCGCACTCAAGACACGCCAAGGAGCTAGATTCAGGTGCCTCTGGTGAAGACCAGAACCCTGTCTCTAATCGCTTATAAAATTTACTATGATCAACAACACTATGAATATCGCGACATTAAACTGTCGTGGTTTACGCAAAGCAGGAAATCCATCTTCTGCTCGCTCCTTTATTCGTTATTTACGCTCCTTAGAAATTGATATACTATGCTTACAAGAAACTCATGCTATTAATGCCACTGTTCAGGCAGAATTTAACCTCCTTTTCAACTCAAGTTCTACTTTATGGACACCCCACTGTGGGATGGTGTCTCTCAAACCTCACTTTCAAATAGTCGCTCACTCTACTTTTATTCATGAAGAAGGACGCTTCCTCTGTGCTACAGTCCATTCTTCGATCAGTCCCTCTACTCCTCTTTTACAACTATTGAATATTTATGCACCTGCGTATTCTACACCGCGCAAAGCGTTTTACCAGCAACTAGCCAATAACCTCGACCTTATGTCCCACCTCCAATCCAGCAATATACCGACTTTGATCCTGGGCGATTTCAATTTTAATCCCTTCCAACGTTCGACTATCACGGACACTTGGCTTGAACTTCTCGACCTCTACTACAGCGATTGTTTTGGAGACGACCCTAGACCAACTTTCACCGCACATTCTAACAATCGCACTAGAATTGACTTTATCCTTTGCTCCTCTCAACACCGTCTCCTTGTAACCTCTCATTCGCAACATTTCATCTCATCCACCTGGACTGATCATGATTTACTGTCTATTACACTACGCCCCCCTCTTGAAACCGCTGGACCCGGCTTGTGGAAGGCTGATCCTTCCCTCGCTAGGATTCCTTCTTTTAGAGATGGCCTGACCAAATACATTGAATCCCGTCTCACTTCTCAAAATTTCCTTGATGAGAATTGTCCTCACTCTGCTCAAGTTATTTGGGATATACTGAAGACCGAAGTCAAGACATACACTAAATCATTTCAATACGAGACTAATAAGTGGCGCACAAAGACCTTGAAAAAGTATCAGTCCAAGCGAAATCGAATTTTACGAGATTACAAGAATACAGCTATTTTATCCTCTCTCCTTCCTAGTGTAGAGCTTATGATTAGTAGCCTGCAGGAGGATATTGCCCAGGTCCATGCTTTGAAAGCTGGTAGATTCTGGAGAGAAAAAGGAGAGCGTTCAGCGCGACTTCTCAAACATCTCACATCAGTAAGAACAATGCAGCGAACTATTCCCTCGTTGTATGATCCTATCAAGCAGCAGATTGTTACCAGCACTGAGGACAAAACCTCAGTCATGGCCGATTTCTATGACCAACTCTATTGCCCTGAAAGTGTGGATTCAGAAGCACTCAATCGCCTCTTGAGTAGCCTTCAAGGCTTACATCTCAGCGAAGTACAAGCCCAAAACATGCTCAAGCCTTTTACTTGGAATGATATCTCTACTGCTAGCCATCGCTCTCCTAGACGAAGTAGCCCAGGCTCAGATGGACTTCCCTACGAAGTGCTAGGCATCCTACTAAGGATACCTGCCTTGCGCTCCTTAGTCCTTCGTCTATATAACGAAGCATTGTCCAAATCCCTCTTTCCTCACTCTTGGCTATTGTCTATCATGACCTTGCTTCCCAAAAAAGGGAACCTGACCCAAGCAAAAAATTACCGCCCAATTCAGCTGGTCAACACAGACACTAAGATCTTCACTCGTTTACTTAATCAACGTATCATGGCCAATGCATCGCACTTGATTAACCAACACCAAATTGGATTTCTGCCTGGACGTTTTATTGCTGAGCATGGGCTACTAACGCAGATGATCATGGAAAATGCTTCCTACAACCCTGAGGCTGCTCCACATGCAATTGGAATGCTCCTAGACCAGGAAAAGGCATATGACCGAGTAAACTTGGACTACTTAGAAGCGGTCCTGCTTCATTTGGGCTTTCCTGCTCAACTCATTGGTGCTGTGTGTTCTCTGTTTCGTGACAACTCTATTGCTATTAACTTGAATGGTTGGGTCTCATCCAGACTAATTGCAAAAAGAAGAGGCCTAAAACAAGGTGACCCGATTTCATGTATCCTATATAATTTTGCACTCGAACCTCTCTTGCGATCAATTCTTCAGGATGTCTCTTATCAAGGCTATACTTTTGTCAACCATCATCTAGTCGAAACGGTTCTTCCTACCATCAAACACCTTAGCTATGCTGACGACATGCTAGTGTATCTTAACAATCACTCAGATTTGGATCGACTACAGTACCACGTGTCACTCTACTGTTCGGCCTCTAATGCTAAGATTAACTTTGGTAAAGTGAATGCTTTCTCGCTGGCTGGCTCCAACCTTGACGACTATTGGCTGCCTGTTCTTGAGGGGCTTCAAATCACCAAGGTGTGGAATCGTGCTGACCCTAATCCTCTAATTTACCTTGGCTTTCCTTTAATTCAGTCGAAAATGCAGCGCAATACTTTTGTATTTACCTTCCTTCGGTCACTCCGTCGCCTTGTTGAAACACATAGTACTCGTAACCTTTCTGTCCTTGGCCGTGCAACCGTTGTTAATACTCTATTGTTGTCTCAATGTTGGTATATTCTGCGTGTTATCCCTCTTCCCAAAAACATACTGGTTGACATCCAATCCATCGTCTCTGGCTTTGTCAGTCGTCAAATTTTTCCTCGAATTAGTTGGAAGGTAATGACTACAAATAAACGATCTGGTGGATTGGGTATCCAAGATCCTTCAATACAACAACTTGCGCTCTTCTACAAATGGCATACAATTGGTTTTAAAAGATTTTTATTTGTTGCACGTATCAATTAAAATTGAAAGTGGTGCTCAACAATTTTTTGTTTGAAAGAAAATATATTCTTATAAGTAAGCGATGGCATTAATAGAAGGTAAAAAGAAAAACGCGAAAAATAATTACTCGTCGACAAAAGTGTCTTCTTCATGACAGCGTTGAATTGCTAATCGACATGAGCGGAAGACAGCGAGAGGAGAAAAAGGAACATTATGAAAGACGTGGAGCCAGTGAGCCTTCCACACTTCAGAGATTGCTATGATCAGGAGCATAGGCGAAGAAATAGGGCACGAAGTCAGTACTTGAATTTTCCTAAAGTTGAGGCAGTTAAGAGCTTCATATATATGGTCAATAGTAGTGCCAGGCCATAAATATTCTCGAATAAGGTGGTCCCAATAGATAAATTTGACAGGACAGCGAAAAAACAAGTGATAAATGTCCTCAACATCACCACAAAGACAACAAGAAGGAGAGGAATGAGCAGTAGGCAATAAATGCGATAAAAGCCGTTGGGTAGGTGTTGTGAACATATATGAACTCATATGCATAGATCAATAAATGATGATCATGGCAAAAGACCAGATCACATCTATGGCAATTGCAATGGATCTATAGTCACTGACATTCACTCATTCTACTAGAAGTACTACATCATCCTCATAGTCAGAGATTATGAACCTAGTGACTCTGTTATTATTAATGGCCCTCATAAAGTGACAGTTAGAGCTGACAAATACATTAGCATTGGCATTTGACAAATATGTAATAGTTTATTCAAGTTCAGGTCAGATCATGTACTATTGGCTGAGCTAACAACTTCCTCTAAAGGCATTTCTCTTAATTACTCCTGATCTAACAAATCAATCCGTAGTCAAGAAGCTAACCCAAAACAATATTTTGACCGAGAAGAAAAAGTATAAATACCTTGACATTTTATAGCAATTGAAGGACAACATTTTTCTTGGAGAAATAAAAACCTATACAAGTTCTAACGGACTTTCTCTGTGTTCTTACCTTTTCTCTTATTGAATATCTACTCTCTCTTCATCTCACAACATTTTTTTCCGTTAATTGCTTGGTAAATCCTACAAGATGAACAACTCTGGTAACTCTGGTAACTCTGGTAACTCTGGTAACTCTGGTAATTTTGAAAACATTACCAACCTTGATGTCTCCTCTTTGACTATTGGACCTTCTGCTGGAACATTGACTGATGCCCAGATGGATGAGTCGATTGATCAAATACTTAGTGAAGCATCAACTGTTAGCTCGGCTGCAAGTCCTGGCCAAGACTACAGAATGGTAGAAGAAAACCTCGCTATGCTGCGAAACGAAATGGCATCTACGTTGAGAGCTTTTGGCACTGCTAGGAGCCTAAATGATAGTGCCGCAGCCGATAGAGCACTCCAAGAAGTGGAGCGCATTAAATCGAGCATCCGCAGCTTAGACGAATATAAGTCTATGGTGTTGAAGATTGATGGAGCTGCAGAGCCCACCGGCTTCCAAAAGCAAAATGTTTCCTCTAGTGCTAGCGTTGGAGCTGTTTCGAGTGGCCTTTCTTTGAGTCGCCGGGATTTGCCCAAATATCAGTTACTAGCCAACTCACATAGACCCTTTCCTAACGAAGAGGCTTTTGAGTCAGATGAGCACTTTCTACGTACCTTTGAGAATGTGGTATACTCTTCCTCACAGGATATTGAAGCCGTGTGGAAAAGATACATTCCATTGTGTCTTCCGTATGGAGCGGATGCCTGGGCCCAGACTAACTTGAAGCGCTGCGGATCCTGGACTGAAGCAAGAGAAGCATTTAAAAAGCACTTTGGTTCGAAGTTCAAGACTAGGGAGTATAACACTCAGGTGTTTACTATGACCATGAAGAACGATGAACCCATTGGCACATACACCAATCGCTTTCTTCAAACTGTTTACAATGCTGGCATACCGAAGGATGATCCTCGAGTAGCTGATCGTTTTCTTGCTTCTCTGACTGCTCCTGTACAGACTTTGACACGTCTGGCGTGTATGAATACGTTGGGTAGACAGACAGAAGATTCTTCGAGTTGGACTGTGGAAAACATAGCCGATGTCGCAAGAGATGTGTTGGGTGATGATGCGTCCAAATATACTACGTCTACTTCCTTGTTGCCTGGTGTGGCAGGGCTGAGTCATGCTGTTGGTGTGAACCCTTTGGGTCATGCTAAGAGACATGCTAGAACGATAAGAACGCAGGTTGATCGCTCTGCACCTTACAATAAACCTGGCACCAGCAAATCATACTTTTGCAAGATGCATGGGCAAAATAGCACTCATACCACGGATAAGTGCTATACCATAAGCAAGAATAAAAACAAAGAAAAGGAGAAGGTAACTATCTCTCGACAACGTGACAATCCTTGCAGATTTTGCGATGAACCTTGGATTCCCGGTCACAGTTGTACAAGAAGAAATGTCTTGGCTTTGACAGCTGCAAAGACCAATGATGATAAAAATAAAGACAATGACAATGACAAAAAAGAAACAGACGATGATACTGAAATGATCACGGATGATTGCTTTGACTGTAAGTACACAAACGAGATCAAAGCGAAAGATGCTTTACATAAAGACACTTTTGACTTATTGACACCTATTATTATAGAAAACCACAAGATGATGGCAAAGGTTGATACCGGAAGCACACATACTTTTATAAAGTTAGACTCGCTTAGAGCTAAATTAAATATAAACAAAATAAACAAAAATATTAGTGGTTTCTTTAATTGCTTGTCTAAAGACAATAAAATTTCTCGTATTGGTATTACAGATCCTTTGACTGTAAAATATACAAATGGAATCATTTTTAAGCACCAATTTGAAGTCATAGATTTCAATGATAGCTTTGACTTTGACATTCTTCTTGGTACGGACATTATGAGTAAACTGGGTATTGCACTTACAGGTGTTGCATACAATTTAGAAAATGATAGTGTTGATCCAAATGATAAAGACTCTATTTTTTCTAATGCAAACATCGTAACAACTGATACACCTGAACCTGATAATTCACCTGCTGGATCTGCTGAGGAGGTTGCACAGTTTATGGCTTCCATCCAAGATGCTATTGATGAAAATCAAAAGATACCAGTAGAGTCATTTTGTCCTATTCCAGAATCCATTATCAAGTTGCCCACACCTGAAGGAGCAACCGCTTATCGTCGTCAGTACAGCATCCCGCATACATTGAGGCCTGTCCTAGATGAACAGATAAATGAATGGCTTAGAACAAAAACAATAGAGAAGTGTGGTGTCAATACTTCTTTTAATAGCCCGGTGTTACTTGTACCTAAAAAGAACAAACAGGGTGAAATTGTCAGCCATCGAGCTTGTTTGGATGTTAGACTTTTAAATAAGATCTTACCACCAACATATAACTTTGAAGTGCCACTGGTGAGAAACATTTTTGAAAACTTAAGAGGCAAGAAGATTTTCTCAACCCTTGATCTCTCTAATGCATATCATCGCTTTAAAATCCATCCTCCAGATGCGCATAAATTAACATTTTCTCATAATGGACAACAATACTGCTTCATCAAGGGATGCTTTGGACTAAAGAGCCTAACTTCTCAATTCTGTAAGGTTATGGCCATTTTGTTTGAGGGTATGGATTGCGTTCAATCTTTTGTTGATGATTGTATCGTGGCCAGTGAAACACCCGAGCAACATGCCAAAGATGTCAAAATGGTGATAGACAGATTGATACAAGCCAAATTGATTTTGAATCCAAAGAAATGTGTTTGGTTTCAGCAGTCAGTTAGGATGCTTGGATTTGTGGTCAATGCAGATGGGATTATGGTTGATAAAGCCAAACTCACTAACGTTGAATCATGGCCAGTACCAAAGACAGCGAAACACATTCAACAGTTCATGGGGTTAATCAATTATTTTAGAGAATTTGTACCGATGATCTCTACTGTTGCTGAGCCTTTGACTAGATTAAGCCATGCAAAGAACGTAGAAGAGCTGTGGTCTGATGAGCAAACTAAGAGCTTTAATGCCTTGAAAGCCATCTTGCACTCAAGTATGCTTTTGCATTATCCTGATTTCACCAAAGAATTCTTTGTTGCCTCTGATGCTTCTCAGTATGGTATATCCGCTGTATTATTTCAGAGAGATGATAAGGGTAGAGACAAATATATTAGTTTTGTGTCCAATGCTCTATCACCCTCACAACGCAGATGGAGTGCTACTCGTCGTGAGTTATATGGTGTTCTGATGGCTTTTCGTCGCTTCCATCAATATATTTGGGGACGCAGATTTACATTGCACACAGATCACAAAGCATTGATTTATATGCATACTCAACGAGATTGCAACAATATGATGTTGAATTGGTACGAAGAAATTCTGACTTATGACTTTGATGCTGTGCATATTCCTGGTATCCTTCTTAAATTGCCAGATTTGTTGAGTCGTTTGTATTCCCCTCTCGACCAATTCGAAGGTGATCACAAACTGGTAGGGGGTAGCACTGGCAATCGAAAGCGAAATGTACAAGCTGCCAAAATAAAAAGAGTTGCTATTTGCAGGAAGAAATATAGCAGAGATAAAAACCTGCATGTTCTTACCACGCAGCTGGTTGAGCAGACTAAAGAACCACTTGATTATTTTACACCGCCTGAGACTGAAAGAGAAAAGCTCTTGCGTGATGCACATACTTTTGGACACTTTGGCAGCCATGCTATTGTGCGTGAACTACACTCTCAAGGACTTCATTGGACAAATATGTATCAAGAAGCCAAGGAACTAGTAAGTTCATGTCCTGAGTGCCAAAAGCATAATATAGCAAAAAGAGGTTACCATCCACTGACAAGCATTATTGCATTGCGACCCTTTGATCATGTATCTGTTGATTCTGCAGGTCCTTTTCCTGTAACTGAAAATGGGAATACTGAAATCTTGGTCTTGACTGATATTTGTTCAAAATATATTATTGTCAGAGCACTTAAGAACCAACAATCAGATACCATTGCTCATACATTGATGCAGATCTTTGGAGACTATGGATTTCCTCGTATCCTACAATCCGACAATGGCAGAGCATACCATAACTTGTTACTTGAATCTATTTCGAAAAAGCTCGACATTGATCGAAGGTACTCCACTCCCTACCATCCTAGAGGAAATGGAAGTGCTGAATCCAGTGTAAAAATTGTTGAAAACACACTGAGAAAGATGTGTCAATCGAATAGCAAAGACTGGGATTACTACTTACCAGTAGTCCAGCTTTCTATCAACAACGCTATCAAGAATAAGACGTTGAGTTCACCCTTCTCATTGATGTTTGCACGCAGAGTCGGCTTACCTAAAAATTATGAAGAAAAGAACAAATATCCACTTCCTAGAGATATGATGACGCGTGATGATCTTGAGCAGCGCATTGATCACATGGAGAAGATTGTCTTTCCCGCTATCTTTGAAAGAACTCAAAAGATAAATGAGGAATATAATAAGAGGTTCAATACAAAGAACATACTTGTTGATATTGAACCCGGAACACATGTTATGGTAAGACTGCAAAAGAGACCGAGTAAACTGTCTCCATTATATGAAGGCCCCTATACTGTTGTAAGAAGAAACAAAGGTGGCTCATATGAATTAAAAGACGAGCAAAATGAATTATTGCATCGTAATTATACACCATCAGAACTGAAGATTGTGACCATTGACGAATCAACCATTGAAGAAGAATACTTTGAAGTAGAAGATATTCGTGATCATCGTGGCAAGCCAGGAAGACGAGAGTACTTGGTTAAATGGACTGGTTTTGGTGAAAGAGCTAACACTTGGGAGCCTGCATCTAGTTTCCAAGATCCTACAATCATCAATCGCTACTGGGATAAAGTTGAAAAACTAAAAAGATTAGAGCATGAACGCATTGAATCAAAATCAAGCGATAGATCTGCATCTAACAAAGAGAATAAGAATGGTGTACTACACAAGACAGGAACAAAGAGAAGAAACCATCCTACTAGACAAAGTAGAGAGGAATTATCCACAAATGGAAGAGCTAGCAAAAGAATTAAATGCTAAGTGACATGAAAGAGAAGAAGACTATTTTCCTTTTGAAGAACACAAATTGCATAGACTCTAAACCATTTTTATGTCAAGTAAAGTTATATCAAGCCTAGATGTTCACATTGTAAGAAGCCGTTTACAACTATCAAAGATGAGTTGACTCTGGAGGAGGGTAATGTTGTGAACATATATGAACTCATATGCATAGATCAATAAATGATGATCATGGCAAAAGACCAGATCACATCTATGGCAATTGCAATGGATCTATAGTCACTGACATTCACTCATTCTACTAGAAGTACTACATCATCCTCATAGTCAGAGATTATGAACCTAGTGACTCTGTTATTATTAATGGCCCTCATAAAGTGACAGTTAGAGCTGACAAATACATTAGCATTGGCATTTGACAAATATGTAATAGTTTATTCAAGTTCAGGTCAGATCATGTACTATTGGCTGAGCTAACAACTTCCTCTAAAGGCATTTCTCTTAATTACTCCTGATCTAACAAATCAATCCGTAGTCAAGAAGCTAACCCAAAACAATATTTTGACCGAGAAGAAAAAGTATAAATACCTTGACATTTTATAGCAATTGAAGGACAACATTTTTCTTGGAGAAATAAAAACCTATACAAGTTCTAACGGACTTTCTCTGTGTTCTTACCTTTTCTCTTATTGAATATCTACTCTCTCTTCATCTCACAACAGTAGGGATAAGGCGATGTAGCAACCGATACATAACATTACGTTGTACGGTAGTGAGTGCCAATCGCCAGAATCGGGACCATGAGGCATGTGTGATCTCCTGTTGATGCAGAATAGAGCTATTATGACTCTTAGAAATATGAGCTCGAAAGGCCTTGCATGACGTGCTAGGGTTGCTAAGAGATGTTTCATCCATAGACAAATGTAAGCGACGTCGGAAAGCGTAAAAGCCCAAAGACTTTTTGATGGCTGGGACTTGAGCAGCGTTGTAGAGGCTGAGCGATGTTGGCCTCATACATTGTATAAACCAAGGGCTTAGAAGACAATTACCGTTAGCGGTAGCGTTTCGGAAGCGAGTAACCGAATTGGAGTTAAATGGAATATCCGTTCTTAGTCGTTTGGGAGACAGGAAATGACCAACAGGGTGATATTCGTAAAGGTCAGAAACAGCAGCATTTGTCAGAGCTCGAGGTAACATATAGTGACAATCCGGGTCAATTATTGCGCGTAGAGGCAACAGCAAGGCATCCAAAGGGCAAGGTATGTAAGTGAATTGCCGCCGAGGAATGATATCTACGGTACGACATACCAAAGTGATGGTGGAGACGTTGGCACCTACAATTCGAGGCCTGGCAAGTGGGAAAAGAAGACACATGAGAACGTTGGAGGTTTTAAATTGATTGGCCAAGTGAACATATAAAAATTGTTGAACCAAAGAGCGCTCAGGTCTTTCGAAAAGCAAAGGATCAACCCATTTGTAGAAGAGCGCAAGTTGTTGTATTGAAGGATCTTGGATACCCAATCCACCAGATCGTTTATTTGTAGTCATTACCTTCCAACTAATTCGAGGAAAAATTTGACGACTGACAAAGCCAGAGACGATGGATTGGATGTCAACCAGTATGTTTTTGGGAAGAGGGATAACACGCAGAATATACCAACATTGAGACAACAATAGAGTATTAACAACGGTTGCACGGCCAAGGACAGAAAGGTTACGAGTACTATGTGTTTCAACAAGGCGACGGAGTGACCGAAGGAAGGTAAATACAAAAGTATTGCGCTGCATTTTCGACTGAATTAAAGGAAAGCCAAGGTAAATTAGAGGATTAGGGTCAGCACGATTCCACACCTTGGTGATTTGAAGCCCCTCAAGAACAGGCAGCCAATAGTCGTCAAGGTTGGAGCCAGCCAGCGAGAAAGCATTCACTTTACCAAAGTTAATCTTAGCATTAGAGGCCGAACAGTAGAGTGACACGTGGTACTGTAGTCGATCCAAATCTGAGTGATTGTTAAGATACACTAGCATGTCGTCAGCATAGCTAAGGTGTTTGATGGTAGGAAGAACCGTTTCGACTAGATGATGGTTGACAAAAGTATAGCCTTGATAAGAGACATCCTGAAGAATTGATCGCAAGAGAGGTTCGAGTGCAAAATTATATAGGATACATGAAATCGGGTCACCTTGTTTTAGGCCTCTTCTTTTTGCAATTAGTCTGGATGAGACCCAACCATTCAAGTTAATAGCAATAGAGTTGTCACGAAACAGAGAACACACAGCACCAATGAGTTGAGCAGGAAAGCCCAAATGAAGCAGGACCGCTTCTAAGTAGTCCAAGTTTACTCGGTCATATGCCTTTTCCTGGTCTAGGAGCATTCCAATTGCATGTGGAGCAGCCTCAGGGTTGTAGGAAGCATTTTCCATGATCATCTGCGTTAGTAGCCCATGCTCAGCAATAAAACGTCCAGGCAGAAATCCAATTTGGTGTTGGTTAATCAAGTGCGATGCATTGGCCATGATACGTTGATTAAGTAAACGAGTGAAGATCTTAGTGTCTGTGTTGACCAGCTGAATTGGGCGGTAATTTTTTGCTTGGGTCAGGTTCCCTTTTTTGGGAAGCAAGGTCATGATAGACAATAGCCAAGAGTGAGGAAAGAGGGATTTGGACAATGCTTCGTTATATAGACGAAGGACTAAGGAGCGCAAGGCAGGTATCCTTAGTAGGATGCCTAGCACTTCGTAGGGAAGTCCATCTGAGCCTGGGCTACTTCGTCTAGGAGAGCGATGGCTAGCAGTAGAGATATCATTCCAAGTAAAAGGCTTGAGCATGTTTTGGGCTTGTACTTCGCTGAGATGTAAGCCTTGAAGGCTACTCAAGAGGCGATTGAGTGCTTCTGAATCCACACTTTCAGGGCAATAGAGTTGGTCATAGAAATCGGCCATGACTGAGGTTTTGTCCTCAGTGCTGGTAACAATCTGCTGCTTGATAGGATCATACAACGAGGGAATAGTTCGCTGCATTGTTCTTACTGATGTGAGATGTTTGAGAAGTCGCGCTGAACGCTCTCCTTTTTCTCTCCAGAATCTACCAGCTTTCAAAGCATGGACCTGGGCAATATCCTCCTGCAGGCTACTAATCATAAGCTCTACACTAGGAAGGAGAGAGGATAAAATAGCTGTATTCTTGTAATCTCGTAAAATTCGATTTCGCTTGGACTGATACTTTTTCAAGGTCTTTGTGCGCCACTTATTAGTCTCGTATTGAAATGATTTAGTGTATGTCTTGACTTCGGTCTTCAGTATATCCCAAATAACTTGAGCAGAGTGAGGACAATTCTCATCAAGGAAATTTTGAGAAGTGAGACGGGATTCAATGTATTTGGTCAGGCCATCTCTAAAAGAAGGAATCCTAGCGAGGGAAGGATCAGCCTTCCACAAGCCGGGTCCAGCGGTTTCAAGAGGGGGGCGTAGTGTAATAGACAGTAAATCATGATCAGTCCAGGTGGATGAGATGAAATGTTGCGAATGAGAGGTTACAAGGAGACGGTGTTGAGAGGAGCAAAGGATAAAGTCAATTCTAGTGCGATTGTTAGAATGTGCGGTGAAAGTTGGTCTAGGGTCGTCTCCAAAACAATCGCTGTAGTAGAGGTCGAGAAGTTCAAGCCAAGTGTCCGTGATAGTCGAACGTTGGAAGGGATTAAAATTGAAATCGCCCAGGATCAAAGTCGGTATATTGCTGGATTGGAGGTGGGACATAAGGTCGAGGTTATTGGCTAGTTGCTGGTAAAACGCTTTGCGCGGTGTAGAATACGCAGGTGCATAAATATTCAATAGTTGTAAAAGAGGAGTAGAGGGACTGATCGAAGAATGGACTGTAGCACAGAGGAAGCGTCCTTCTTCATGAATAAAAGTAGAGTGAGCGACTATTTGAAAGTGAGGTTTGAGAGACACCATCCCACAGTGGGGTGTCCATAAAGTAGAACTTGAGTTGAAAAGGAGGTTAAATTCTGCCTGAACAGTGGCATTAATAGCATGAGTTTCTTGTAAGCATAGTATATCAATTTCTAAGGAGCGTAAATAACGAATAAAGGAGCGAGCAGAAGATGGATTTCCTGCTTTGCGTAAACCACGACAGTTTAATGTCGCGATATTCATAGTGTTGTTGATCATAGTAAATTTTATAAGCGATTAGAGACAGGGTTCTGGTCTTCACCAGAGGCACCTGAATCTAGCTCCTTGGCGTGTCTTGAGTGCGACACTTTGAGTTTCTTGCTCAAGCCAACTTTTTGCCCTTCCAAGGTGTGAGCAACTTCTCCCATCGTCATGACTGGTAGGTCGGCTGGAGTGCTTTCTTTCATCTCAATTTCCATGTTTCGGATAGTCGAGCTATCCTCCTCCTCCATTTGCATTTCGGAATCTCTGATAATTTTCTCCTCCATGGCGATCAGTGCCTTTTCCTTCTCGTCAGCCAACCGACGCTCTTCTTCCTCCCTAGCCAGCTGCTTTTGAAGCAATTTGGCTGTTTTCTCAGTGGCTTTATTAGCGGCCTCCTTTTCCAATTGAACTTTTGTAACTGCAACGCGCTTATTAGCGGGAAGATTATTACCATGACCACGACGGGGACAATCCTTGCTGATGTGTCCCAATTCATTGCAGTTGTAGCATTGTTTAGATTTATGTACTTCAGGACAGTCTGCTCGACAGTGATCTTCCTTCTGGCAGTAGCGACAGTAAGGTGGCATTTCATCCCAGGTGAGGCGGAGCATGCGCTTGCCGTCGTTGAACCAGTCAATCTCTCGTCGTAAGGTTTCTGGCATAGTTGGATGAGGTCGATTCAGGTCTAAAATAACATATCCTTGCCCAAAGAATGACTTGCCGTCCAATTGTAAACCTGCATCCAAAACAGTTCCAAAATGATTAAATCGCTGAAACATCAAGTCTCTCAACTTTAAAGGGTTGATGAAAGGCAAGCGTTCGACCTTCACGCGGGCTACTTTCGCGTTAGAAGGGAGACTGGGGTAACCTTTGATCACAATGCCGTCGTCCATTGTCAATCCATTCCCAATAAGTTGTTGATACTCAGCAGCCTCCTTATCCCAAAAGGTTTCGATGAAACGACGTTGAAGATAGCGGCGTTCAACTAACAAGGTTCCAAAGTAGGGAAAGTATGTGTCTGTGTTAAAAGAGCCAAAGAATTGTTTCAAGCCGTTGAGGTCTTTGATGTTGGTTATATCAATAAGCGTACTATCGTCTTCAAGCCCTTGAATAAAGGGACGGATGCTGGTGTGCAAAAGATCGTCGATCTGATGAGCATACTTGGAGGCAGTAGATGACGAGTCGCTCAAGTCCTTAGATGGTTGCATCTTGGTTGCCGGTTGGTAAGATAGCGTTTGCCGTTGCGCAATTTGAGCCCAAGATAGGGCTTGGTCGCGTCGATAACCATGTTTGGCAGATGTCGAGTTTTGGTTCTGATTTTTATGTGAAAGAGCCATGGCATACAATTGGCATAACTGCCATATCAGCATAAATGCCAGCGGAGGTTTAAATTACATTATATTTTTTTTTTGTAAATCCATTTCATTCATGAAAAGTTCCTGGCATCTACAGCTATTACCATGTTTTTTATGGCCCTAGCTTTAATTTTTGTATAAATGTTACAAATTTTAGTGGTCCTCCAACTTTATGTATTTTTGATTTGTGTTGGCGTTGGTGTTGGCGCTGGCCATACTCGCCTCACTGTTGACGAGTCGCACAAGTAGTCCCAATTCACGAGAAAGGCAACCCAACTGATCCAGTCAATTACTATCTAATTAGCATGACTACTACTTCCAAAAAAATGCTCGAAACATGCATAAAGGAACTTCCCCAAAGCCAAGCATCGTCCTTAGATACTGCTCAAGGTGGTTTTAGAGGGTGCAAAAGTGGCCTTGACCAAGCCTTTCATTTTTCAGAGATTCGTAAATTGCTTTCTCAAGAGAATACACAAAGCTGCCCTCTTTGTAATTTATTGGGGGTACCAGAACAACCTCTGTATATTCACTTTTATCCTAAACCACCTCTATGTAATATGCTTCCACAAACAATCTATTCCCTCTAATACCCAATCAAATGTTTCTATCCCTTCTCTGGTTACAAACCCACACTCAGAAACACCATTAGGTCAACACTCTTCCCTCTATTCCTTTTTTCCCCTTGTTCTCTTGAGGTATTTTAAGCTTAGTATAGCCATTCCTATGAATTGATCAACTCCGAGCAGCCAAAGGCCACATTGGACCATGTATTCAAAGGACCTTTTTTTTATCAAATCAATAAATCAACAAACTTTGGGTATGAATTTGACAAAATTTATACCAATGCGCAAGTATGCTATATGGATCAACAGATTTTTTTTTTTTTGAAAAACAATTATTCTTAAGTACAAAGAGATACATTCTCACCATAGCGTAACTGTTTACATTTTTCTTCCATCAATGTTTTTTTCATATTTGACTGAAGATTTGGCCAAAATTTTCCTTCAATAAATAAGAGATTCTTCCACTTTTGATGGAAGATTTCTGCATTCAATGAGAAGTTTCTTCCATCGCTTACGCTATAGTGTCTTTGATTTTAATATTTGTTTGAATTTCGAAAGCCCAAAACACACACATTTCTTCTCTATTGTTTTGTTTATTCATACTCACTCATGATCGCACGTGTTCATCCAGGGCCATCTAGGGCCATCCATGCTATCCCTTGCAAATGTATGTAACCGGAATGACAAACATGTTTGTTATATGGGTAACGTACATGCGACAGCGGCGACTGAAGTCCGACCACTTCTCTACAACTCCTTAGTCTCAGAGGTCCCTTTCTTCCAACCTTCTTGTGAGCATGCCCAATTAACCTTTATCCTAGGGGAGTCTAACACCAACTTCCAGAATCGCGCCTTTGTTTGATGATTTGTGTACCAGTGACTTAGATTGTCTTCCAGATGGTTTAGCTACTTTTATTAGTATCTCTCACAAAAATAATCGCACTGCCATTAATTATGTTTATGTAGACACTAGTCAAATACCAAAAATCACTAACTCGCAGCTTTACCGCCTCCCTTATGCTTGGATTGACCATATTCTTTTGACTATCAATCTATTCGCGTCAAAAATATCTATTGGCCCAGGATTTTGACGCTCTAATCTAGCTGTAATACTCAACAAACACTTTCTCGATTTATTGGATTGTACTTTGACAATTTTTCTCACTCAGATAAATTTGGATATGCTTCAGCTTGCAATTCCTGATACAAATAATTTTTTACCTACTGATTTAACCCAAGTGAAATTTGATCCAGCGCTGGCCGCTCAGTGGCAGAGGATAGGGGAGGATTTCAAACTCATGATATGCAAATTAGCACAATCATATTCAATGAATTCAAAAGTTAAATTTAATCACATTCTGATACAACCCCAAAATAGACGAACAGAACTCTTATCAGCTATATCGATGGACACTAGCAGAAGCTCTACTCCATTCTTGTTGAACGAACTATCTGAAATTGACAAACAGATCGAGCAATTTAATGTGATGGAAGCTGCTCGATATTGCCTACAAACAGCCACTCACTGACATACACAAGAGAAACGAATCAGTGAGTATCTCTTTCGAGTTTTGAAACCTCGTCAAACAAAGCAGATATTTACATTACAAAAATTCGATACTGGTGCAATGGTTCATGGCATCGAGGATATACTATAAAAAGCTCATTACTTCTCTTCCTCCTTGTATACGCCGGACTCAATAGACTATAATGTAGCTATTCAGTTGGTTCAATCTATTCCCAGTGACAGTAACCTTTCTATCAATGACCAAGAGTCACTCATAGAGCCGCCAACAATAGACGAGCTGGTGACTATTATTAAACATATTTCTCTGTCTAAAGGTCCAGTGCTAGATAGTTTATCATTCGAATTATACAAAAACGTTTGTTCTCGCTTCAAGGAATTTCTATATCTTCTATTGACGATCATACAGGATGCTTTCATGGATTTTTTCCATCATCCTTGCAACATACATGACTGATTTGGCGTTCAAACAAGGGAATCCTACTTTACTGAAAAATTAACAATCTTTATCACTGATAAATTTAGATGCAAAGAGTCTCAGTAAGCTAATGGCCAATTACCTCAGTTAGCTGCTACCTATACTAATAAATTCATATCAAACTGGGCTTCTTCCTGGCCAACTCATCTCAGATAATGTCTGGATCAACCATGTATTCATGACAGCTCTTCGCGAAAGCAAGTCTTTGGCTTTTGAAACTGCAGTTCTGTTGAATGCTGAGAAAGCCTACAATCGAGTACACCCACAATACTTGCTTGTGCTGATTATTTGGAAATTTTTCTGTCCTCGCCTGCTGAATGGTCTCACCTTTTACGGATTCTTAAGTTATATTCTAAAGACTTGAATACGAGGATGAATGTTACTAAAACTACAATGGTTTCTCTAAATGGACTTCCTTTTGCCGGATGGGTATCGATTTTCAATTCATTTGACATTTCATGGCATGATCAAACATCCGATGCTGCTGTTACTTTGTTAAGTTATCCTCTCTACTCCAGTCCTGCTCAATAGGACGCCTTTCTTGGGGATTTACGTTTGAAAATTTTTCAGCACACAGACAGTTTGAGGAGAATGCATCTATCGTTGCGTGGTATGTCTGTGTCTATCAATGTGCTAATCCTAAACCGTTTATGGCATACTATGCAAGCCATTAAATTACCTTCTTCTTGGCTAGCATCAATCAAACAGCTGGTGATATACCTTTTTGATTTAAGCCTAGTTGAGCAGCGATATGCAAACCAAGAAAACAAAGTGGTCTCAGATCAGTTGGTTTAAAAGATCAGGCGATAACACTTCATATAATTTACTTAAAACGACTGTGTTAAGAGTCTGTTAGCACAGATTTTCTCACCCCTTGGTTGCTTCGTATTCTACAACTCAATACCGCCATGTTTCAATTTTGCCTGTACCGGTAGCTCCTACCTTGTTTCGTGCAATTTTCAAGCTTTGTACACCCATGATGTAGCTGCTGAAGTTCCTAGAGTGTTTGCGACTTTTGGAGCTGTCTTTACCATGGCCTCCCCATCGGTTTTTGGATTTACCTATATCGTTAGTATTAAAAACTAATACAAACTCTGCATCACCACTCCCTACCGTCAAACGCTCTTTATTAGTGTCAGATATATTTTGTTACAATGCTATCACCGGTTTGCTTAAAGTTCATCGCTCTTTCATCAAGTACAGACGTACCTTTTTGATAAGGGTCTTTGATGCCCTTTTATTGCCCTCTCCGTCTGACACTATCAGCTGCGTTTTGAATACAGCACTTCAAGCAAAAGATGCTTTTTCCCCTCTTAGTCCTGTGCTGCCTTCTTTGTCACAATACCCCGATGTGTCCAGCTACCTTTCATTGCTTGACCATCGGATGCTGCCTTCCGGCCGTCGACGACCAAAGATAGTCCTTGCACCTGCTTTGAAATCTGTTAGAAAATATTGGATTGATCAACGTGGCCCAATTGAAATCGGTGCCCCCTACCGTACTTCTCCCACCCAATGCCTACCACCTTCATGGTAAAAGCTCTTTTGGTCACTGGAAATGAACATGAAGGCTTTCACTCCCTGGTGGCGAATCCCCCATGATAGCATTGTTAATGCAGGTAAGGCCCACTTTTGGGATGCAAATACGTTCATGTCGTTTTCTTGTAACATTTGTGGTATGATTGATGAGAGCAGCTTTCACTTTTCTGTTGGTTGTCCGGTTAGATAGTTCTACAGGCAACAGGCATTGACTTTTGGCCAACTGGATCGTCGATTTATAAATCCATGCAATCTAAGATTGGCACTTACCTCGCTGGCAGATAAAGACAACAAACTCCTGGCGCTGACGACCATGGAGGCCTTGGAAAATAGACTAAATGTACGCTGATGATATCATTATAAGTATGCCTTTGACAAGGAGGTACGGCGTTCAACGGCCCCATTTGAGCTTTTCTTGACTGAACATTAATTCTTAAATATGTACTTTAGGCAATCAGTTAAGAACATCTTGTTTTATATATCATTTAATATAATTTCTGAAAATGATTCTTGAAATCAATCACTCTTTTCTTCTTATTGCTGCATGTTTTGAAAGATAATATGACATTTTCCGAAATCACCAGGACAGGTTTTTTGGAGCATTTGCACTTTATTGAAAAAAAAATTCATGTGGAAAAATTTTAGAAATTAAACAGATCATGAGATGCATAAACAATATTTATCTTGCTACTTACATTAGATGATAAGAGTTGAGAATAGAAGGGACATAAAAGATAAATGAATTAGTAACAGATATGAACCAGTATATGTAAAATACTTACACGGATACGAGGAGGTAGTTGAATAATCCTCAATTGCATAATTGCTTCAGCCAATACCAAGCTGTGATTGATGCCAGAGAAGGTCATACTCGTTATTTATATTATCTTAAAATAGACATCTCAACACATCATCAACAGAAAACTGAGCGCGTTTAAGTATCATCTTGGCACATTAAAGGGCCCTTGGGTCATGATACCTTTGTTACCGAGTTCAAATGACAAAAAAAAAACTTTGTTAATTTTTATTTCGGGTCAGTGTGTAAGGGACCCATTGAGCAGTCAAAGAACGAAACATACTCTTTATTGACAATTACAATTTCGTAAGAAGAGAGAAGTAGGGAGTAGCTCTAAACATCGATAACTATCCAATGCTCTGGTTGCTTTTAATCTTGTGTAATATGCTTTTGTCTCAAAGAATTTAGAAACTGTAAATGATGTACGTTGACAGAAAAAGAAAAAACTTTGTTTATTATGTTGATTACGTACGAGTACCTACTCAAATAATATAATCAAAGCCAAACTCATATAAATTAGCTTTTGCATTTATTAATAGCAACTATAGAATTTGCTTCAATTTTCTAGCAAGCTAATCAGAAGGTTTATTTGAAGGAGAGCAAACTATTTTGAAAAAGCCAATATATATGAATATATATACACAAGATGTTTGATCAATACCACACAATAGGGGAATGTAATATTTGTGAAAAGAGAAAAAAAAAGAAAGGGGAAATACAGAATTCATTGAAAGGAGAGTATATGCGTAATTTATATATATATTTAGCTGGTATCCATTTTTTTTATATGATAGGTTGAGGTGGATGTAATAGCAATCTCGGTGATTTGCCGCCATATTCCTCTTGACGGTGCTCAGTATCTGTTGGTGCAACTATAGGCGAGCTTCTAACAACAGGTCTTGTTGATTGTGAGATCCATTCATGTTGGAAGGCCTGTTCAGGACTCAATCGTTTGGAGGGATCCCATTGTAAACATTGTTGGATAAAATCCAAGAATAAGGCATCATTGCATCTCAGTGCTTGACTTAATGTTTTTGTGCCTGCTTTGCGTCGTTTGCCACGAGAGTTGGTCACCACACGAGGTTCACCACGTCGATCTACATTTTCAGGGCAACTAATTAATAACACTAAACTACCAGAAAAAAAGCTTACCAAAAAACAAATGTCTTCGTTCACTTTGCTGAATTAATTCTTGATCAGGCACACCCATGATTTCCATGATACAAGCAAGCTGCTCTTGTTCATTTTCACCTGGAAAAATAGGCACACCTGTGTAAAGCTCAGCAATAATACAACCTAAACTCCACATATCAATAGCTGTATTGTAATCTAAACCAAGAATGATTTCAGGTGATCTGTAGAATCGACTCTGAATGTATGTATACACTACAAACGAATTAGGAAATGTGTTTTTGATAACGAATATTATATACCTCTTTGGTTTTCTAAGCAACTACTACCGAAATCAATAACTTTGATTGTGCTTTTGGTGGGGTGTTTTAAAAGGATATTCTAATAAGTGTTGATTTCATTATTCCTTTTGGTCAATTCATCTTTACCTCTGGCTTCAAATCACAATGAACAACTCCATGTCTTGCTAACAACGACAATGAACGTAATAATTGAATGGTAAACCTGCATACATATAATAAGTCTCTTTACTTTTTCTCTATGAATCAAATTACCTTTTGATCAATGTGATATGGAAACCTTGGAAATTGTTAACTTTGATAAATTCATACAAGTTCATGCTAAGGCATTCAAAAGCTATACACAAATGGTTTCTGAAATAGAAGCTGTCTGTCATTTTCACGTTATGATGGCGGTCTTCGGGATCCTATCAATTAAAGTTTAGCCGTCATTGTCTTTTGTTCATGAAATCCAACCTTACCCATTTTGAAAGGTCGCTCAAGATTTTAACTTCAGTCTTGGCCTGAGCATAAAATCGTTTTTTGTTTCGAATCAACTTGACAGCCACTGTGCTGGCTGTTTTGTGATCATAGCATTTAACTACTTGACCAAATGAACCTCGACCCAATTCTTCCATTATTTCGTAACGGTACACCAAATGATCATTCATGACACTCTTGTAATCACCTCGTTCATCGTCGTAGCCATAATTTAAAGCGGGGTTATCTGGCATGGCTTGGTATTTTTTAGCATGTTGTCCGACAAAATAAACTTCGGGATAAGCCTGAATCTCTGTTTGCTCGAATGGGCTCAAATGATGACCATAAAACTTGATAGCAATAAGTGGAGATTTAGGAACTCCAGGGCTGAATGCTTCCACCATTTCTTTATCCCACATCATCAGTGTTTCTTTAATGCGTTGAGGTCGAGCACGCTCTTCTGGTGACAATAATTGGCCGTATTTTTCATCAATATCATAAGTTTGGCTTTTACGGGCTGCTCGATGAGCCAAATACTCGGTGGCTGTCATGCCTGTTGTTGTATTGGCTGGATAAACACCAGGCGAGCGCAAAAGTTTGGTATCTTCATCATGAATAGCATGCTGAGCTACCATGGCCTCTAGCTTTTCACGCAGACTAATAGCACGATGACGGCCTAAAATATGTAAACAAACAATAAATAAATAGCGCTTATTTTTACCTTTATCTTTATCCATCATAGCTTCATCTACTAATGAATTCTTTCTGCTGTTGGAATAGGCAGAACTAAGTTTTCTGGCATTAACAGGCTGCTCAATCTCTTCTTTATGCGTTTTGTTTTCCAACACGCCCAAGCTTTGACGACGTGTCGATCTAGGTCGTACACGCGGAGACGCAGAAACAGGAGAACTTTTGAGTGGTGGTGTGACAACACTGGCGGATGAAGGCGCTTTGAGAGATGCACGACGTGAAGTAGAGATGCCTAAATGACTCTGACCTTTTGCTTTACGTGAAGAATTTGTCTTTTTAGGTCGTACTTCTGTCGAAGAGGACGATGATGAGCTATTTGGTATGGGTGTTGTATTGGCTGATGATAGCGACATGCGCTTCTTGGCTGTCATTCGATTGCTACTCAAAGTTGCTTTAATTGAAGGTGATTTAGGTGCTCGCTTAACTGTTGTGTTAGTCTTGGGCATATTCAGCTTGATTGGTTCAATCTTCATAGGAGGTAGCTGCAAGGATTGAACAGTGGGAGGCTTTGCTAAATTGCCTGGTAGAGTCTATTAAATGATTACTACATATTGCACCATAGACACATAGCAACTGAAAAGGGCTTGGGTGATAAATATTTACCTTACCACGTTTTCGAACAACGTTCTTTTTAGCTGGCTGTTCATCTCCTGTTGTGTTACCATTTTCTCTTGATTTTCTTGAATTGGGGGCGGGGTTTACTGGTGATTCCTGCTTGACGACACTCTTTCTACGAGACATGCGTGCGGCCATCATGGAGGGTGAGGTAGGAACACCTTCTTTCAAACTTTCCGTTCTGGACATGCGACGAGAAAGCAAATCTGGTTCACTAGCCAATGATTTCTTTCTTAGCAGTGTGGTTGTTGTCTTGTGTTTCTCATCTCCGCCATTAGTGGTTACAGTCTCATCTGCTCCTACTATATCAGGACATTGTTGTTGTTGTTGTTGTTGTTGTTGACGAGCCTTAGCAGTAGCTGCAGCTAATATCGATCTTCTTTTTAATGCAGACACAGCTGTGGTTGTAACAGGAGAAACTTCATCTTCACTAGTAAAAGAAGGGGACTCGGCTCCTTTTTGGCTTTTTTTCTTCTAGGACTTGCTGCTGTGTTTCTGTTAGAAAGAGGCGAATTTGCGACTGAGTGCCTACGTTGATCAGCCAAGGTGGATTTCATGTAACTCGCTTGTTGCTGCTGCTGTTGTTGTTGTTGTTGCTGTTGTTGCTGTTGTTGCTGTTGTTGCTGTTGTTGTTGTTGCTGTTGTTGTTGTTGCTGTTGTTGTTGTTCTGTCTTTTGAGGTAGTTGTGTGAGTAGTGTGGCACCACTTGATAAGGTACGTCTTCTAGTTGGTTGTTCTAAACTACGTAACTTTTCTTTTGTCATACTCGATCTTCGCTTAGCATTGCTGATCATATCTACCACAACCTGTTGTTCTGATTTTTGAGATGTCTTTGTACTCTTTTTCTCATTTAATAGAGCAAGTTCTTGTTGCGCTAATCTGCGTTCCACAGCAAGTGTATCACGTAAAGTATCAGCTAATTTGACTAGTCCACCAGAGTTACTACTGCCAGTATGACTCATCTTTTTAGGTGTAGTGGATGTCAATGCGCCAGAAAGAGTTTGTCGTCGACTTTGAATGAGTTGAGATGGTTTTTTTGCTAATGCTTCATTTGATTTCTTTGTATTCATTGTTGTAAGTCGAGGAGAAGCAACGGATTTCTTAGTCTCTACTGTACTGGTACTCTTCCGTCGCGTATCTAATTGTTTCTTAACAGTCTTTTTTGCTTCCCAACGATCTGCTTCGGCAAAGGCTTCGTAGATGCCTGACTGACTCATGCCAGTATCCATATTCTCTTTTAACGCGCGGGATCGACTACTGGCTGTAGATCGTGTGTATTTGCTATTTCCTGTTGTTTCTTTTTCTGGTTTATCATGAAATCCATGGTTTTGCATATGAATCCAAGATTCGGTAATATATGGTTTAGTTACAGTCGAAGACGACATGAAACGAAAACCAAAAAGTTATTTTGGAAAATTTGGTATCAAATTTAACGAGAGGAAAAAAAAAGAAAAGAAAAAAGGAGAGACGAGAGATAGCAAAAATAAAGAAAAAGAAAAAGGAAAGAAAGAAAAAGAAGAAAAGGTCGGTCTATGTGTAAGAAAGAAAAAGAAAAAGAAAAGAAAGGGGAAAGAGAGAAGGGTATATTTTGTCAAATTTTGTCACACTTCTCTCTCATCACTTTCTCTCGCTTTTTCTCAGCATTATTGGTATACATTTAACAATTCAATCTCAGTATATTACGAAGGGTTTCCTTTTAAAGTAAACAAGGAGAGGCCAACAGAGATGCACGGTCTATGCATACAATTTTTTTCAGCTATAAATATTTGTCATTGATAGTTTTCATGCAGCGTGCAAGTTCTTTTCTTTTTCAGTAGCACAGTCAAAGTTTATCCGAGGTTCCTTGCATTCAAGTTCCCTGGATAGTGTATGACAATAAACAACCTGTAAATCAAGAGGATGGACAAGTTATTTTAGTAAAGTCCAGTTCGCTATCTAAACTGGTGATGTACAAAAAGGAACTTGTATTACTTGAATAAAAAGGCATGATAAATTCATAGAAGTACTTAAGGAGGGCTCTATAAACAAATTTTCAAGAATACATGTTGTTTACATTATATTATCTAAACTTGATATAAAGAGGCTTCTTGAACTGATATAAACCAAGCTTCACTACGCATAAGTAAATGAATTATATATATACATGACTAACAGCACAAAGGTCTTTTTATGCAATTTTGCTTTGTATGACATAGGAAATGTCAGAGTCAAATGCGAAATAGAATAAATGATAGATACAGCATCTGAATCTTCAGATTAAAAAAAAAAACGAAATGCCACAGTCAGATTTCCCTCTGTCGTAAAATCAACCATTGAAAGTTTAGATATGCATACACTGTAGTTTTCTAATTTAGATTGATTCTTTTGTTTGTCTTTGGACATTTAATTTGCAAAGTTCTTGAGAAACTTGAATCAATCATATTAGCTTTTTGTCTATTCGAAACATACTTTATAGGCATTTGCGGCTAACTGAACTCTGGTAAATGGATTCCATGAAAACCAAACAACGAAGCTGATGTACCAAAAGTCAAAGAGAGATTCCTGCCTTTGCTTAAAGCAAACAAGATAAAATGTGAAGACATTAATTGCTTTTTAATAGAAAAAAGAAAAAACGAACGAGGTAGATGGTTCTCAGACAAATATACAAAAGCTACTAGCAATACATTTTGGCAGTTTCTATCATCGAAAATAAGTGGTCTTTTCTTTTGAAAGGAATCAGGCACTGTCATTAGCATCACCGAAACTATCACCGTTACGCTACCATTATCACTGCTAACGAGTATATGACACCTTAATTATGCGTATACTATTTTAAGCAAGTCGTTCATAACACTTTTGGTAGCTCTCGTTGTCTGAACCTTAAATCTTCAGCAGCCAAATTCGGCTGTACTACTAACAATAGGGATGTGATGTCTGCTGCTATCATTGGCCTTTCCTGCATGACGGAAATAATCTTCAAGACAGGCTTTCCTCCATTTACGCCAAAAGTGTTATAAACGCGTAGTCTTCTGCTGCGCCTTTCACCTGAAAGCCATATACTTTACCCAGTATTGGTGCTTCATTTTCATAAAAGTTTGATGACCTTTGAGATAAGTATTTTTTTATTTATTTATTTATTTAATTTCAAATGACCGAGATTAATTGTTCATATACCCTCTTAATATTTGTATCACGGCATAGAAAGCTTAAAAAAGTATATATATATGTGTGTTTTCAAGGAGAGTTCAAGAGTAAAGCCTGTTTGATTCGTCTACAATGCTTTATCAGTATACCTTGGCTTGAATTTCAAGTCCGCGTATTTAAAGGCCAACGAGAGGTCTTTTTTTTACAGTGCATGTTTCTCTTTTTCTTATTGTTTTATTCACTCTATCTTTATGACACTAACTGATAAACTGTCTCTTGTTGAGTGTCCAAGCTGTTACTCTCATATGGACATTCGGCAGTTATCCTCTCATGTTTGTTTGTTCAACCAGCCTGTATGAAACACTAACATAGACAAATATATACTAATGTCTTCCTCTCTAGTATAGATTCTCTCAAATATCGCATTATAACAGTATACCAGATTGTAAGTTAATAAAACAACAAGATCAAGATTTTGATTTCAAACAACAACATCCACAACCCCAAGTACAAGAACTCTCTCTTTGTCCATTGTTGTTGTTGCCAGAGATTCTTGAACAAAAGAGAGCTGAGTTTCAGAGACTTGCAGCCAACAAAAAGAATCGATGCTCTAGATGCCATCGATTTAATGCTGCCATTCATATGGCCGAGGTAACCCACATGTCAGACCAAAACATGAGTCTTTAACCAGATGCTTAGAAATATTATCATACACGTTGCTTTAGTTGTTTTTATTGTCGACAACCATTCTATAAGAACAATAATGCAAAGACCATTCCTAGAGTATTCAAAGGCCAAATTTATTGTAATGAACATTACCAAGTAGCTGCAAGAGGGCTTACTTGTGCAACATGGTAAAGCATGCACAAAGTTTCTCCTTAGACTGATTATATCGTCATAGTAAAAACTCCATAGAATCGTTTGTACGACCTACTATTGCGTTAGGTCATTACTTTCATCCTGAACATATTCGATGCCATCATTGTCATAAGCCTGTGGATCCACTAATGACAGGCATAAAAGAAAGAAAAGGCAACATCTATTGCCAGACTGACTATAACCAACTATTTCTACCCAAATGTCAATCATGTCATAAACCAATAGAAAAAGAAGCTGTTGTGTCTAGTGATGGTAAACTAAAAGGAAAATGGCACAAATATTGCTTTAAATGTCAAGTAAGTCGTACACATGGAACAATAGGATGTCTTACTCTTGGCTTCTAGTTGTGTCAATCTTCTTTTGTAAACAATCAATTCTATATCTACAACCAACAACCTTATTGTAAGCTGGACTATCATAAACTCAATAATACATTATGCCATTCATGCTCTTTGCCGGTCGAAGGTGAATGTGCTGTTACGTCAGAAGGATGGCGTTTTCATCCAAGTTGCTTTACTTGTCATGTAAGTCATTCTGTTGATTGTGTGGTATTCATTGGTTATTTGATAGGCATGCAAGACAAATATTCATCATGTATACTATGTATATAATAATCATGTTTATTGTCAAGACCATATACCTTTGAATAACATTCCCAATTTTAGTTAGTGAGTGCTTTATTGTGTTATGCATTAAAATATATATATATATGTACATATTACTCTTTTCTTTCTTTCTGACTATCATCTTCACTGTCACTATTCAAACAACCTCTTTCATCACACCTACTGCAGATTAGATACAGAGTAGAAAACAGAGCTTTACCTTTGATGATGCATGAATTTTGGATCAACAACAGCGCCAGGGAAGGTATAAAGACCATCTCTAACAAACGTATAGATCTTTTTGTTCTCTTCAAGACTTTCTCGGCTAAGTGCACCACCGCCAGGCAGTTTTGGGTGTCTTAGATCCCATTGAAGCATGCGGCATAATTCAGGCACAATCACATCTGTATCACCCAACAGTTGAATATCAAATGTCATATGCGTAATAGGTGTTCGATTAATCAAAATCTGAGGAATACTATGTGGTATTTGCGACATGATTTCGGATACAGGCGATACTTTAAGTGAGGAACCCATCACAATCAGCAGATCCACTTGGTCTGTGTCTACTGCAAGCAAATTATCGAATTCTGCGGGAAGTCTTTCACCAAAGAAAGTGATGTCCTAAGCATAGGTTGAGTATTCGCAATAAAAGTAAGTTGGTTCACTTAACTGGTTTCATGATAGAAATTCCTCTAGGATAATGATCCGTGTCTTGTTTCTCTATATGACATTTAGGACAAGGAGCTACTGTTTGAGCCATAATATAGTCTTCTATTTCTTTGCCATCTACTTTATATCCGCAAGTTACACAAGAAGCAGTAGCAAAACTACCATGGCAGTTTACAACTCGCTTGATATTTGCCTTGTGTTCCAATGTATCAATATTCTGTGTATAGTTTCTCAATAGTTTTCCCTTGTCTTCAATCAGCTTCACAAACAGGTGGCCTGGACTTGGTTCATAATTGGCAGGATAGAGCTCTTTAGCAAAGGTATAAAAGATTTCTGGCATTTCCCTAAAATAATCAATATCAAACATTTGCTGTGGGTCATCCAATTCGTATTCTTGTAATCGAGAATAAATGCCCTTTTCAGATCTGAAGTCAGGAATACCACAAGAGACAGAAACACCAGCACCTGTGACAATCATGATATTGTTTGCCTTGCTTAATAGTTCAGCAACATCTTCAAGTGTGTTTACATTCTCTAATCGACGTCTTTTACGCAAATAACGAGTCACTACATTTCTTAGGATAGGCAGGAGTTCAATGTCTGAGGCCAATGCAGCTGCTTTAGGATGCTATGCTGAAAATGAGTCCCTGATTCATATCATGCCTCGTTTACCATAAAGATATCAAATGCTTCCAACATTTTGGGTACAGGCACTGATTCTTGAACAACATACTTTTCAACAAACTTCATTAAGCCCTTTTCTCTTGCTTCTTCTCTTAATTGCTCCATTTCTTCTTCTGAAAAGCTTGTCCAGGCTATAAAATCCAAATATCAGCTACTGTTGTTTTGAGAGGAAAATATTTTACATAGCGTATATCGATTCTCTTCATCTGATCCATCCACGTCCACATCCAAACTGTCATCATCTAAATGAAAAGCAGGGTGTGACAAAATATCTTGATCACTCAAGCTACTTTCACTTTCGTCACCAGAAGCCCAATCTTGATCTGATTCTTCATTGTAGTCTTCAAACAACGCGTCATTGATAGACAGAGAAGGTTTGTTGTCTTGATTCTCTATTTACTATCAGTGCATGGGTCCTCTAGAGACATGTGCTTTATACCTTCTAATTTTGCTTTCTTTGTCGTATGCTCTTGCTCATCTGTTGTACTGTGTTCACTAGAGAAACGTTTATTCATAGGAGTTTTCTCCATGGACTGATTCTCATCTTCGTTCTTCATTGTCTCTGTAAATGAATGAGCTTCTTGCAAAAAACTGTGCTTTATTTCTCAGTTGTGTCAACCCCGCCAAAATTTTTTTTCCCAATAAAGTGTACCCAATAGAAATCAAAATGAATAGCTTATTTATTAAAATACTTTAGCAGTGTCTTTTCTTCTTTTAGACGATCAATTCAAGCGTCATAGTCGAATAAGGCAATTAAAGTTAAGAAGTAGTTTATTCTTTATGCTGAATGAACTTTCTCCCTATATCTTATAGGGAGATGATTGCCTCACTTGGCGGAGATCCTGTTGCTGTCATTATTCGCTTAGTGCAGATTGACTCATCTAAAAAAAAAAAAAATCTCTCTTGCTCCCGCCTATCATACGCATTTCTTTTTCTTTTTCTTCTTTTTCTTTTTTCTTCACTATGCTTTCTTCACGCTTAAGAACTATCACTCGTCAAACTGCTATTACTGCTGCTTTGACTAGACCTGTTGTCCAAAAGACAGCTATCAAGAGTGTACCTATTGTTTGTAGTCGTCGCTCTTACGCAACTAAGGATAAGCAAGTTGCATATACGGTAGACAAATTCCCTGGTTACGTCCGTAACGAACAATTTAAAAAGGTACCATACACTATATACTGCCTGGAACTTATCATTTGGATCATAGCTCACTGAACAAGACGTTGACCACTTTAAGACAATTGTGGGTGACCATGGCTTGATCTACAATAACGAAGATGATTTGTTTGCTTTTAATACGGATTGGATGCACAAATTCCGTGGCAAGTCACAACTTGTGTTGAAGCCCAAGACAACTCAACAAGTATCTGATATTATGAAATACTGTAATGAACAAAGGCAAGTAGGAATGTGTGTATGGTTCATCAGTGGGACTTATCATGACTAGATTGGCTGTTGTTCCTCAGGGTGGTAACACAGGTCTTGTGGGTGGTTCTGTTCCTGTATTTGATGAAGTTGTTCTCAGCTTGCAGGGATTAAATAAAATTCGTGGATTTGATAGTGTATCAGGTATAGTAGACATCAAAGGAATGAAACTAAATCATATATGTAGGTATCTTGACAGCCGATGCTGGTTGTGTACTTGAAGTACTTGATAACTGGTTGGGTGAAAAGGGCTATATGATGCCATTGGATTTAGGTGCTAAGGGCAGGTAATGTGTGCATCTCTCTCCTGATTTTATATTCAACAGTATTCAGTTGTCATATTGGTGGCAATATTGCTACTAATGCTGGTGGTTTGAGATTGTTACGTTATGGATCTCTTCATGGTACTGTATTGGGTTTAGAAGTCGTAAGTGATCAATAAGAAAGAATGGCCTTGTTACTCACCTGATAGGTTCTTCCTGATGGTACCATTCTTGATAATATGTCTACCTTAAGAAAGGACAACACAGGCAAGATCAAAACAAGAACACGTATCACAAATTATTAACAATCGCTCTAGGTTACGACTTGAAGCAACTCTTTATTGGATCAGAAGGTACTATTGGTATTATTACAGGTGTATCTATCTTGACTCCTCATCGTTCAAAGGTAATGTATAGACATCAACATGGTATGTTTGCTTATTTTATGATAGGCTGTCAATGTTGCCTTGTTGGGTTTAAACTCTTTTGAAGATGTACAAAAGGCATTTAAGCAATCTCGCGTAGAACTCTCTGAAATCCTATCTGGTAAGACATACACCAGGATGAGGTAACATAGCTTAATCTTTTACTCATAGCCTTCGAATTCTGGGACAAGAATGCTCTTCATATGTTCAAGAAGCATGCTACACCCAAAGATGTCATGGAAAATGAATATCCTTTCTATGTCTTGATTGAAACCAGTGGTTCTAACAAGGACCATGATGATGAGGTATGTATACAAAAGTCTTTTTTTTAAAAAAAAAAAAAAAGAGGGCGGAATCTCATGATTAGTAGAAATTGACCACTTATCTTGAAAACATGATGGTGGATGGTGTTGCTGAAGACGGTGTTGTTGCTCAAGATGAGACACAAATCCGTGCTCTTTGGAGTTTGCGTGAAGGTTTTACTGAAGCACTCGGTAAAGAACCTGCTGTCTACAAATACGATATTTCAATGCCTGTTCCTAAATTGTATGAATGTGTACAAGATATGCGTCAACACTTGATGGATGGTGGTGTCTATGGTCAGCCTGATTCTCCTGTGACAGATGTGGTTGCCTATGGTCATGTTGGTGATGGCAATTTGCATTTGAACATTGCTGCCAGTCGTCTTGATAACAAGGTATCTGCACTGATAGAACCTTATTTGTTTGAATGGGTTGGTAAGTAATCTTCTTGTTTTTATGTCTGCTGACTGAATGGGATCTGTTTAGCCAACCATCAAGGATCAATTAGTGCTGAACATGGTTTAGGTGTAGCCAAGAATGAATTCTTGGGTTATTCTAAATCCCCTGTCATGATTAAGATGATGAAGACCATGAAGAACATGCTTGATCCTAATAGTATCATGAACCCTTACAAGGTAAGATTGTTCGTATAGTCAATAGAGTGTATTTATCTTTCTTTTTTCTATAGTACCTTCCCACTCACAATTAGATAAATTGTACTATCCCATAGAAAATAAATTCTTTCTTTATGAATCTTACTTCTGCTTTTATATCTAAACCAAAAACATTTGTTTGCCTACATGCTAAAAACACCATTGTTGAAGAAAGGATTCCTCATGATCATAAAGGCTGTTTACAAGCTCAAACAGTGGATCATGAGACTGAATTATCTGCTAAAGGTATAGTTGTCTATCAGTCTCTTATAGCCAACTCTTGTCAAATAGGCCATGACAATCAAATGTAAACCAATAGACTAGAAAGAAATGTTGTATTAACTCACAACAGCCATGTTTGGAGAGTAGACAAACATGCTAAAGAGACAGAACAATTAGTGTTTGACCAAGAAAGCAAAAAAATGGTTGCATTGGTTTTAGAAGGTTGCCATTTCTTTGTTTGTCGTTGCACTGACTTGGTTTGTTTAGGCCATGATGTAGCAAGTATGTTTATGCAAATCAAGTAAGTAAAAGACAACCATGATAGACGCCTTATCCTGTCTATGTAGTGGAGATAACACTACTTTTCATAAAAAGTAAGTCAATACATATATGGATAATCCATTTAATTGATTGTATAGACTACAACAAAAGAATCAAATCCTCAAAGAGTTAGAAAGAAATCTGGATTTACTTAAAGTGACTATTGAATTCAGCTATTTTGGATTCACAGATGCTTATTCCTATGATTTACAAAGAGACACTGTATGCTCCAGTAGGTGATATGATGTATATTGAACCATAGACTTATTTTAACCCCCTCCCAAAAAAAAAAAAAAAAAAAAGATGATGCCCTCATTCACAAGGGAATTGACTTTTGGATGAGACCAGTCAATACGATTGCTGACATATGGAATTTAATCAGCATAGGATGCAAATTTCCAAGTGTACTCAAGATCAGGATCACCAACAAGACAACACATCGACAAAGCAGCTTGTTTCTGTTTGACTTGTTGCAGCCTGCATTCATCCCAGTGAACATGGAAGCGAAAAATAAAGACCACATCTATTCTAGTTTTACTCGATTTCGTACGTTAAAAAAATGTTATCTTCATGCCTGAATAGCTGTGTTTTAGGTGCGCTTGTGGATTATGTCACGGAACAAGTTCAAGCTTCAGCTGTAGTTACTGATTATTATGTATTGACTCATCTTGTAGCAAAATTCATCTGTGGCCAAGGCTATTTGTTAATATTTGCTCATTTGAATGTAATTCTAACAAAAAAAAAAAAAAAAAAAAAAAAAAAACTAATACACATGAAGCAATGTTTAAGGTTCAATCGAGAGGAATGTTTCATGACTTTAGATCTATTAGAGAAGATAAAAAAGATAAAGACTACTTCACTTGCCAATAATTCATTTTCAGATCAAAAGACCTCTCATCATAAACCCAAGGATTACAAAGTAGTTATTAATTCCATGGTTGTTTTGACTTAACCCTTTATTATTGAATAGGCAAAATATGAGCAAGTAAAACAAGTGATTGCTCAACAACAAGACATGATTCAACAATTAAATTCAGAAAATGAAAAGTATCATGGTGTATTAAACGCAAACAAAAAGATATATGAAGATGCCATGGGTAAAAGAATAGTGAGAAGCCCATAGACTCACTTGGAGTACATAGCTCAACTTGAAAAACAAAAAGAAATCACTATTCGAGACATGCAAACAAAAGCACAAAAGTCATTGAGCTTGATCATCAAAAGACATCTTCAGAAAGAACAAAAGCTCAAAAAGTTAGCTTTCTTTCGTATCTCGACATTAAAATCAGAAAAGGTATGTAATATATATTGACGCTTTATTCATGTCCATGTATAGAAATCCTTGCAGACCAAACAGCAACAATGGGAAGAAAAACAAGTAAAGGAAATAGACAACTGATGCAATTGAATTGACTCTTTTCTATAGAAGTGCTTGAAAGAGAAAATGGAAAAATTAAGAATCAAAGGTATTCGATTAGCAAGTCATTTCACAACAACTAAGGTATGATGGTTTAATAGACTCATGACTAATCTTTGTTTTCAGTCTAAACTGCTGAATGAAATCAATGGCCTTAGAAGAGAAAAGAAGGAATTTAGAGAACTGTTTATGGAATTCAAGCATAATTTAATCGAAAAAGGCATTCATCTAGATCAATAAATTCATTAGGGGGGTATCTACAATAATTATATTGGGCTTATTTGAGAGGTGCCTTAACATCCAGCACTCGACCTCGAATGCGGGCCCATTCAGCACAGGCTCTGTTTTGTTGATCGCATAATGTTAATAATACTTTTCTTTGAACTAGTTCTGCTACTGCTTCCCAATCATTCACATTATGGCATTCTTTCATTTCGAATACAGAAAGATTTGGACAGTAACGAATGTAAGCATAGACAGTATCATTAGAGATCTTGAAACAACTATTTACAGAGACACGCTCAAGCCCTGTTGTTCTGTGTTTGGCCAAAGTCACCATACATTCGTCATCGACATCACATCCAGCCAGACCAAGTACAGCAGCTTGTGTGTGTTGTGCAATCAAGGAAATCGATTTCATTGTCACCTTTTCACGGTCTCTGATTCTTCCTACATTCAAGTGTCGCAAACGAGGGCAATTCAGAGCAATAGCAGAAAGAGACACATCAGACACTAGTCCACAGGCACGCAAATCTAAATGTTCTAATCCTTTACAGTTTTCTGCTACTTTTAATATGGCTTCATCAGAGATATGATGGCAACCAGCAAGAGATAGATAAGTAAGGCTTTGATGCGCTAAAAAGGGGTAAAGCGTCTCATTTGAGAGATAGTCGCAGATATAGATATCCAGATGGTGTAATTTTGTAGCCATCTGTCCAATAAGCGAGAGCGGATTGTTGATTGACTTTTCCTTAATCTTGCGAAGTGAGAGTGTTCGAAGGGCATTGCGGTATGTAGTGAGTCTAGCTTCTTTTTCAAGTTTCCGTATATCTTGCATCGTTTTCAATTGTTCCCATTCGACATACAGATTCTTGGGTGAAGTCATGTGGTCAGAGATCAAGCACTCAGTATCTATCAACGAGTATTCTGAAGGTGTCTTGATTGAGTTGACAGAAGACATAGAAGATGAACGACTGGATTGTTTTAGGGTTGTGTTGTTGGTATGTGTAACTCCGCCTACAGCTAATGCATCTGCCGTAGTTGATGTAGAAGGCGATAAGACTGGAATGGGTGTGTCAGAAATGATAGAAGCAAATTTAAGAAATATGTCAAGATCATCTTTTGCATCTTCAAAGTAGACCCGTCTCCAGGTCATTCGAGTCGCACAATTGTGCCACAGACGATTGACGGTCAGACAGGGGTAAAGATCGGCATACATTTTCTTCTTTGGTTCTTCTTGATTGATGCATGGCAATAAAAAAGAAAAAATATGGCTGACAATCTCTGGCAAGCATACTGCTAAATGAGGTCTGTTGTGTTCCATTATGCTAAAGAATAGAAGAGAGAAAAGAAAAGAAAACGAAAAGAAGAAAGGGTTTTATATTGTTTAGAAAGGGGAGAATTAAATAACGGAGCAAGTAAAGTCAATAAAAAAGGTTATTATAACATTCTTGTGTTCTCCATATTCATCTTTGACTTTATGGAATCTAAATCTTTGGTCTATACAACTGACGTTCTTCAAACCGAATAGGCACCACCATCAATTGGCGTACAAGACAAATTTCATTCATGGTCAATCCACAGCCATCACGAACAAAACCTTCAAAAGAACCATACGTCTGCTTTAATTGATCAATAGCCAGCTTCATTCCACCATATCTAAAAATTGCAGTCAATTATGCATCATTATTTAAATAAGTTACTTTACGATGCAGATAAAGCAGCACGCAAATTTTCCACAGTAACATTCAATTTCAATGCTCTTTTTTCCAAGTCTTTTTCAAAATCTTTGCTTGATTAACTCAATGATACTCTTTTTACTTACCAAAATAGCCCACATTGGACAATTCGTATTCTCTAGCAATAATCTCATCGTCTACACCACAAAGACCCAGAAGTACCATGATAAATACACCTGTGCGATCTTTACCTGCAGTACAGTGAATGACCATAGCCGAACGTTCTCGGATCGACAACTCTTGAATCATATATCTAAACACATCCCCAATCAGTTTTTTGCCTGATTCTAAAATAACTCTATAGCCTAGTATGTGTTAACAGACAATGGAACATTTGCGATCTTACCTTCAGCAAAGCCTTTTTCACCATCCAAAAAGACTTTTAACTTTTGGAAGTATTCTTCATTTGTCTTTACAACTTGTTTATACAGATCTTTGCTAAAACGAGTGATACCTGGCATAGGTCTATTCACTTGTCAGTCATTTATGTTGACTATATAACTGACTTACTCTGGTACGCCATCTCGAGTAATTTCATGATCCAGTCTAAAGTCAAAAATGGCCTTGATATTTAATTCATTTAACCTAAGGCGTCCCTGAGTAGACACTTGTGCTAAACTAAAATCAAATTTTAATCTATAAATGCCTTATTAAAATCATACGCACTGTCCAGATCGGAACACGGTTCTTTCACGAATATAGCCACTGCCATCTTTTAATGGCCAACCACCAATATCACGAAAGTTTCTTACACCTTCTACATCAATCCAGCGTGGAATGACTAAACTAGCACCTTGTCCCATTCCCAATGCTTTTTGATAGTTGTCATATTCATGTTGAGCAAAAAAGTCGACGATATACTGAGTTACTTGTTCGAATTTGCCTTTAAAATTATGATCTGCATCCGGAATGAGTACCAGTGTATGATTTGGAACTTTATTTGCAAACATGGCTGCATTATAAGGAGGTACAATCTATCAAATTTTGTTTAATTTAATTGATTTTTTCACTTTCTTATACTTGCATTATCCTTTAATCCATGACATGTCAATACGCTTGTAGACAATGGCATACGAGAGACTAGAGAAAATAAGTATATGTATATCCATTTTGGCTTCATTTACCATGTTCATTGGACCAATGACAGAATTTGTCTACTTGGTCTTGAGTGACTTTAATTGTAGCTATTTTGTCTCTTTGTTTGACATGCCAGTCAAAATAGCCCTAACATAGACATCAGTCATTGTTTAAGTTTAGTGACTTACATTTTCTCTTAATGCTTTTCCAATTTCGGGTCTACTGGTATTGATTTGATTATCGTTCATTTTAAAACGACCAGAGATATTGACCATCAGGGGTAAAGGCTTTTCGCATGTCGTGGCATACTTGAATGCAGCTAATGCACCTAATACAATACATATATATATCGTGTATGCTATACCAAAAACACTTCTTACCTCGAGAATGGCCAATGACTGCATAAATTTGATATCCAAGTCCCTCAAAATAATCAGCTACTGTATGAATATCCTCTGTATCTTCCTAGTTTATGGTCTATAAGTCAATAAAGTAAGCAACTAACTTACCAGAATATTACAATAACCAGGTGAGCCATCACTTTCACCATTGCCTCTAAAATCAAAACGAAATGAAGACATGGGAAGTGTTTGAGCAAGTACTCGATGGAAAAGATAGTCCTTGTGTCCTATGGTTGATATGAATACGTGTTGATATCACACACACACACCTAATACACCATGTACAATCAAAACTAGTCTATGCTGTCGTTCTATATCAAACTGAGGTTTTTCTTCCAAGATACCAACAAGTGTTTCGTTGTGTTTGTTTGTAATATTAACTTTTGACATGAATAATAATAATAAAAAAAAAAAGTATGACAAATAAAGTATCCCACAGTATTTGTATGTGCCTTGATGTCAATACATTCTATCGACATAATAGTTCTTTTCTTTTTCTTCCTTTCTTTGCTGTTATTCCTGTTATGATTGCTTCTAGTGACATGATATGCAGAGCCTATGGTTCATCATACGAGTTTAAAATACACCTTGGCCTTATTATCCTTAAAGACGATATGATTGGCTAGCTAAATTTCCTCCTGATTCTTATTCTCTTATTCTCTCTCTCTCCCTCTTCTCTCTCTTTTGGTTTTCTGGGCATGCCCTTCTTCAAGAAGAAAAAAAGCTAATGTTGCTTCTTGTTTTATGGATTGCGTTTGTTCTTGTAGTTGATCAAGTAAAAGGTATGACAATCTAGATCAACCTGAATCTGATCATCCTTTAGCTCTGTCTACACTACCTTCTCGATTAGCCAAAATAGAGACCATAAAAAACCCAATGTTTAGACCACTTTCTAATAGTCCACTCGACCAACAATATCTACTTGAATTCTCAGCTTTTGATCAGTCTATTCAGCTCATTTTATCTCCTCATATCGAACTCTTTCATCCTGATGCACAAGTAACTATTTTTAATGCAGATGGATCAGAATACACAGAACAACTTGAATTGCATGATTATGCGGTATTTAAAGGCTTCAATAACCAAACTCATGAATGGGCTCGTATTATGATGCGACATGACCTAGAGAACACAATTGTGTTTGAAGGTGCATTTGCTTTGGATTTTGACATCTATCATATCAAGACAGCCACCAATTACCATCTATCTAAACGAGACGATGATCCTGTTACTACGCAACACACAGATATGATTATCTATCGAGATTCAGATCAGATAAACAAAGTGCTTAATAAACGATATCGACCTAAATCAGATATCATGTGTGCTATGGAAGAATTAGCTTACAATAGACGTAATACAGGTTCTCATATAGGACCCAACTCGACGAGTTTTTCTAATCTATGGGAAAAAAGAAGTCTTTCAGGCTGTCCTGTCTCACGAAAGATTGCTTATATGGGTGCTGCTGCTGACTGTTCCTATGTACTGTCGTATGGAAGTACACGTTATGCTAAACTACAGATCATCAATGACTGGAATGTAGCCTCTGCTGTCTATGAAAGAACGTTCAATGTCTCATTAGGGTTGATCTATCTTCAGATTTCTGTGCCTGAATGTCCTCTAAAGCCTAAACAAACCATTCCATGGAATCAAGCATGTTCAAGTCATTATACTATCAATGATCGTCTAAGTGATTTTAGTCTATGGCGAGGAACAAAAGGAGATGATGGTGCAGCACTATGGCACCTCATGACTAAATGCGCGTAATGATCTGTTCTTATTTCTTTATATGACTAACATTTAACAAGTACTGGTACAAAAGTAGGCATTGCTTGGTTAAGTCAATTATGTGAAACTCAAGTATCTCAACAAACAGAAGGTAAAGTGAAAAAAAAAAAAAAAAAAATACTGATATAAGTCAAGATGATGGTTCTTCAGAATGGGTTTCTGGTACGGGTGTATCTTCTATTACCCGAGATGAATGGAAAGTAGTTGCTCATGAAATTGGTCATGGATTTGGTATACTATAGTCTATTGTCTGACCATAGTTAATGATTCTGTTTAGGTGCTATTCATGACTGTACTTCTTCCATGTGTCCTTGTCAAGGAGAATGTGGTTGTTGTCCTCTAAGTGATACTGTATGTAGTGCAGGCGAAACGTATCTCATGAACCCAACAAGCAATGTTACTACTAATGATTTCAGTCCTTGTTCTATCTCTGATATCTGCAGTACATTCCCTAATATTGGCTATTGTCTAAAGAGTAAGTCTATCTTGAGATAGAACGACATCCATCTTAACTTTAGCGTTTAGCATCTGATGTTCGAACGGGCGGTTCTTTTTCAATCTGTGGTAATGGTATTTTAGAGCCAGGGGAAGAATGTGATTCTGGCTTAACAGACAGTGAATGTTGTTATGCCAGAACATGTAAACTAAAGCCACATGCTGTTTGCGAGTAAGTTTAGTCTCTTTTGTGCTTATGATCTCATACTATGCCATACAGTGATTATAGTAATCAATGTTGCCTAAACTGTACGATTGCACCCAAAGATACGATTTGTCGTCCTGCTGTATCTGAGTGTGATACCACTGAATACTGTACAGGCGAATCCAGTCAATGCCCTCCTGATCAGTTTGATGCTGATGGTACAAGTTGTGCTAACAATACCATGAAATGTGCTTCTGGTATCTGTACCTCAAGAGATCAACAATGTATGACTCGAGGTTTAAGGCAGAATATTAGCACACAATGTTCTTTTCAAAAGGACTCTTGTTTGATTAGTTGTACTGATCCTAAAGATACTCGTAACTGTCTTATGTTGAGTGGTATGTTTCTTGATGGTACAGAGTGTGGTTTAGCTGGTTATTGTCAAAAGGGCACTTGTATAAGTACAGGAGCATGTAAGTTAGGATGCTTTTACTTTTGGGGGGGAGGTTTTTCTGTCTGTCTGACTGTTCGTTAGTAAACACTTTAAAGGCATGGACAGCACAGAATTTATCCATTGCTATTCCTGTTTACTTGTTTGGAAGTATAGCTGTCTTGTTAATGATAGGTTGGATTGTATGGTTTATACGTAGAAGACATAGGCATCAATTACAGTCAACAGAAAAAGACAAGGATTCTCGACCGAATTCTATCATTAGTAATGAGATTATGATGACCCATCGACCCAGTCCTAAAGAGACTCAGATTGCACCACTGCCTACACCCAATACGATACCAATAGAGAATGACAGTACTGAACTTGTGCCAGTCTCATCAAATCCCTTTTTACCATCAACAACAGCAGCCATTGCCTCTACAGGAACACATCGAAGAGGCAAATCTAATTTAGAATAATTTTTCTTTTCTTTTCTTTATTTCCAATGGTTCAATTCTTAATGGATACTTTTGTTCAACGTAAAATAAACCCTACACAGGATCCTACTGATGACTTGTTAGATGTGTCAGAACTAGATCAGCTTCTTTTTCAAGATGGACAAGAAAGACTCTTGAAAGAAATAGATGACTTTATTGATCAGTTTGAGGCAAGTGTTTATCGATAGTACAAGATATAAACATGGGCATAGACAAGGCAAGACTTGTTTGATACAGCAGCTAAAATGTATGCTCAGTTGACTGTATGTGATAAAAAACTGAATAGTCTCAAGACAGTTGAGTTGGATACGACTCTAGATAAACTACATCAAACACAGCATAGACTTGATCAGTTATTATCAAAGACAGAACCCAGGACAGTCCATCTTGAAGAAAAGAGACAAGCATTTTTAACGCAACAAACAGAGCGTAAAAGACAGATAGAAGCACAGATCACAAGAGAATCAGATAAAATAGATGAATATTATGCTAAAAAGACAAGAGAATCCATCTATAGGAATTTAGTGGGTTCAAATCAATGGTTGTCATTGGATAAAAAATGAATACGCATACTTGTACACTTGACAGATATTAAAATTTTTTTTTTTTCTTTCTTTCTCTTTTTAAATAATAATAGTAATATGCTTCCACTTTCACTTTTATATACAGCTGCAGGTCATCCTATGCTTGTTGAACTCAAGAGTGGTGAGACATTTAATGGACATTTAGTTAATTGTGACAACTGGATGAATCTGACACTTCGTGAAGTGATTCAAACTTCACCTGATGGAGACAAGTTTTGGCGTTTACCAGAATGTTATATCAGAGGCAACACAATCAAATACTTGAATGTACCTGAAGAGATTGTTGATATGGTTAAAGAAGAAGAAAGCAAGCAAAGACATAATGCAGGTCGCGGTGGACGTGGACGCGGTAATAATGGATCTTATAATAACAGAGGCAACAGAGGACGTGGACAAAATCGTAATACAAATGGCCGTGGTGGCATAGTTATTGGTGCTCGTGGTGGACAACAATAAAGAAAAAGAAAAAAAAAAGTATGTCTATCTATCTATACCATGTGACCCTATCGATTACGTTACATAACAGTGACGTTTTTTTTTTTTTTTTTTTGTTCTCTTCTTTACTCTTTTTTGTATGATGCTTTACTGGCCAAAGCTATTGATAGCTTCTTTTACAACAACGCATATTATAGAAGCATTTATACCACTCTATCTAATAAACCAGTTACAACTCAGTGCATTACAAGTGTCCATACTTTTAGCTTTGATTTATGTATGTCGACTTTTTTCAAGCATATGGACTGTTGTTGATCAACCTCAGTTATGCACTATCTTGTTCAGTATGATGTTGACTGGATCTATCTTGTTGTTGACAGTAGACAATACTGTATGTTTGGTTCTGTTTACCCTGTTTTACGGACTATCTCAACCATTAGAAACACTGATTCATACAGTCATTATCAAAGTATTAGGAGATTACAGAGTCTTGTTTTATGGTAATATGATATAGCATCGCATGTCATAATCATACGAAAGATTAGGATCTTATTTACGGTGGGGAATATGGGTCGCTATTGTCATGACTGGCATGATAGGCCTGTTGATGAAGGATGATTATCTATCCACACTACTTGTGATACTCTCTATTGCTAGCATGATACCTATTGTCTTGATCAGTCTGGTCTGGATGTCCACTGAGCCAGTCAATCCAATTCAACTCGATATCAGTCAAGAACAAGCACCTCTCTTGTTAAAGAATGCACTTCATTTGACTGCAGATCAGAACAACATTATCTATAAACCCTACAGTATTTTTGGTGAACAATTATCACATATATCAGAGGAAGATGCAAGTCAACTGGATCGCATGTTTACAGAAGAATCATTAAGACCTGTGGCTAGTTATCAAAGTGTGGATGCAGTCTCTTTTCAGAGTGAAAGTGTCTATCGCTATGAAGAGAACACGATAGTGCCTTGTCATGCATTGGCCTTACTACCGTTACCAACACCCTTGGATCCACTGGTGGGTATCTATATCAAAGACAGCCCAGAACAAGAGTTAATATACCCTGCCATGCCCAAAGCCAATATTTGGAAGACATCAACACTCTCATTGACCTTATTGCTTCTGGGTATGGGTCATGGACTGATCAACCCTTTTTTGTTTGTGTATGTCCATGAGATTCTCGAGATCTCTTTTAACATGATTAGCTGTTTGATCATGGCCCATTTCTTGTCTCACATGCTCATGTCTTTTGTGATTGAAAAAGTATGTTACTTGTTGTTTTCTAGATCACTTATTTCATTAGTGGTTTTTTCATAGGTTCAAGTTAACATTAATCACCACCAGTGTTCATATCACACTCATACTTTGTTCTATTCTTTACCCTTGTTTTAAATCCAATCATCTCACTACATGGGCTGGTTTACTTGTTCTACAGGCACTTCAAGGTAAAATGAGTGCTTATTGATCATATATTTAATGTGTATATAGTGTGTGCTTTTCAGTTGATATGGTCAAGTGCAGCTGATCAAGCCCATCTGATGCACTGGAACCAGATGGATCGAATGAAACAACGTGCCACTATATCAGCCTTATATACAAGTATTGGTCCTGCTTTGGGTGTATTGATAGCAGGGTGTATATTGCAGTCAGAGAAGAGGAGTGAAGATTATATCTTGATGTACAAGATATGTGTTGCATTGTTCTCTTTAAGTTTTGTTATTTCTTGGGGATGGACATCTGATGAATAAGCCTTATACCGATCACAATAAAGTAATGCTTGTTGCTTATGTAGTTTTTTATAGGATAACCAAAAAAGTGTGACTACCATTAGTTTGATTGGACCATCAATTGTTATTATAAGCATACAAAGAAAAAAAATATATATATCGCAGTAGATAATCCTCTTTCTTTTTCTCTTTATTATCATGGCTAATTCACAAGTTCTTTCTCTTTATCGTGACTTTATTCGACACGGCAAGAAGTTCGCTGCTTACAACTTTAGAGACTATACCATTCGTCGTTCAAGAGATGCATTCCGTGCCAATATGAATGAAACTTCACCTGAAAAGATTGCAGCCTTTATTGCCAAAGCTCAAGAAGAATTAGCTGTTGTCAAACGCCAAGCTGCAATTAGTCAAATGTACACCAAGGGAGAGCATTTGGTTGTTGAAGTACCCCGTAAATATTAACTGGTTAAATAAAAGCTGTAGATATCAACATGTTCGGAAAAATTAGTCCCGAGGTAAAGTCAATTTTAAGGTACAAAGTTGGAGTGGTAAGGGATAAAAGAGGTATTGGTTAGTGAGCATATAATATCCTTCAAACTTAAGCGAGTATGGTATAATTAAAGAGTTTGTTATTTTGTAAAGATGATCTCTTTTTTTCAAAATTAGCCGTATTGAAAGAAATGTCCATTAGTGTTTGGTTATTCACTCTAATGCCAGCTGCACTTGTAGCACTACATCCAAATCTGATATTAGTTTATCAGAAGGATATTGCACATATAATTCTGTTGTTTGAATGGATTTAGACAATAAACCAGTATGTAAGCGCCTTTGTTATAATGTCTTCTCAGGCACTGTAAAAAATAAACATGGAATGAACAAAACAAGAAGTTAGTGATACTCATATTTAGAAGTATCTTTAGCTGGAAAGCAAACGAAACTTACAAGGCCAATCTGAACTTGCTTTTGTCACACTAAAGAAGCACTAGCTAATGTGTTTATCACTTTTCTACTCCCTTTCAACTTGGTAAATTGACTCCCAATGTTAATGTATCAATCTTGTATATAGACAACAAAACACGATTTTGTTTTTGTGATCCTAGTTGAGAAGATCTTCCTATCTTAAATTGATCGACTTGCGAGTTTAGTGTGCTTCAGATTTTAAATGGCCCCTTTGGAACAAAGTTTAGCTGTTTAAAGCTACAATGAGCAGAATAAGACAGCAAAGGACAATTGATTGGTTGACTTGGCTGCAAGTTGACCACAAATATAGACAAGCTCACTAGGCACAAATGTCATTCTGGATTCAGCTCTTAATATCCAACATTATGATGTTTATTTCAAAAGTAGATGTCTTTTATGAATGTCTTTGTCTTACACTTTGGCTACTGCGTCTCTTTCCCCGAGCTCTGCTAACACTAGGCGGTGCAGTCGGATTCACTCCTGTTCTTTGTTGGCCCAGCATAAAACTACGGATACTTTGAATAGACTGCTGACTATATTGCGAAGCCAATACCAAATCTCTAAAACGCGATGAAATAGATCTTGAGGGAATCGATTCTTGGCTACTAAGAAAATCATGACCAGATAAGCTATATTGAGAAACTTGGAGACCTTCATAATCAGGATTATTTTCATAGTTATCCTCATCCTCGCATTCAGTACGTTTTCCAAGGCTACTGGACGTCCTCTCCATTGGAGCTAGTATAGAGAAATCTTCCTCTTGACCTTCTACATAGCCTTTTGCTTCTTCATCAGATTCTTCTTGCCAAGTGTCTGTCATAATCCTCTCTTGAGCATCTTCAGCCATCTGCCTTGTTCTTAGAGTACGGTCTCCAACTCGGTACTCCAAAGGAGGAGCAACATTGTCTAACAAAGCAATTTCAGCTGGAACAGGATCAATGATTTCGTGTATCGTGAATGAATCACAGATAACAGTATAACGAGGACTGACAGACGGATCCTCAAGAACATTGAAGGTTCGCATAGGTAACACGCTTCCTTGGGCAGCAATTCTTAGGCATCTGTTGCCGTTTTCTTCGTATTTATCTTGTTCTGTTCTATCGATAAATGTCAGGATAGAGTCCATGAACATCTCTAAGGGAATATGAAGAATAACACAGCTGTTTGATTGATGAAGGTATGCTGTAAACATAATCATCGTATTTGCACGACAAGGCTCTTGGGACTGAGTAGCTCTTGCTGTAAAAATAATGGCATCGTTTATAGTGGACGTACGATATTGGTTTAACTCCATTCTGTAAAAAAGAGAAAACAAAGGATGATAATGATGTTGATTACAGATTGAGGGTTGGGTAATTTATCCTGATTAATATATTTCTGTCTCTTTAGTACTTTTTTCTTTTTTTTTTTTCTTAATGAATCTTCAACCAAGGCTCTTGCAACATTTCATCCTTTTATCAAATCGAAAACTTTCTGCAATACAGGATGCAGACTGCAACCAGTCTTCAGGTCCTTAAGCCAACTGACCATCAAATCCAACACATCACTCGGTATGACATTAGCTTTAATTCAGCTAGAGTGCAGTGTACTGCTTGGGATATAGAATTTTTATGACTGCTTGAATAACCTCATCTTTCTTTACCGCTGTACAAACGGACAGCGATACTTTTTGTTTTGCAAGAAAAGTGAAACTAAACTAAATCAAAAGGCAGGTCTATGCACCTACTAATCAAATATCCGGACTTACATTGGCAAAGTATGCAAAGCTGCTGTTTTTTTTTCTGTCGACCATATATTTGGCAGATGCACTAAGTTTCTTTCCTTTATGCTTGATCTGATTGAGAAAAGAAATATCTACTCTGCCATACATCACATACTTCCTATTGAGCCAATCTGACACTAAGCACCTATAGACGTCTATACTAATGATCAATACTAATACAACAATACTTCTCTTGTATCCTACACGATACGTAGCAGCAGCGTCTTGAAGAAGAGGAATAACCTAAATCCAAACATAAGTAACTATCAAAAGAATCACTCTTCCTCACTCTCTCCCAATTTTTAGAAAAAATACAGACGCTGGCTTCCATAGAGAGTATTTGGATTACTTCAAGTTCACATGCAACACTTTTTCACCTAAATACCAAAGAGTCTTAAGCAATTGCAGACCATGAGAAGACTCAAAAATGTTTTTCATACATTGGAAACGTTCTATTCAATAGCTACTAAACCGCCCTATCCTCAAAAACGACTATGTCAGTTGTTATCAGCCAATATTTGCCTATTTCTACTCACCACCTCCTTTTGTTGATAAGCTTTCTGAAGACAAGTCGGAGGCATCGGATATTTGATATACTCAATGAAGCTGCAAAGCAGAGGTTAGTGTTTTTCTTTTTGTCTGAAAAAGTAAGTTTAAACTATCCCTTAGAAGCCTTCACTTACACCTTGTGCTCTGGACAAGCTTATCTACAGAACGTTTGATGACGATGGCCAACCTTGTCGCAACCCAATCTCTATCAATCTGTGTACGATTGCAGATTCATATCTGCGGCATTTACTGTACAAAAGAAGGAGCCAATGCCTGTCAATTTGGCATTCTCCATCCTTGACAGCCAGACTCAAAACAATACTATCAGCAAAAAAGTTTTCTATAAACGTAATACAACGGATAGCCGTATAAAACCCTTATGACCTCTACTTATTCAAACTTACTGAGGTTACAACGGACACCCAAATGAATCAGGAACAGATGTAATGTTTAACTTAGTCAAATACCTCAGTACACTGGATACGGTGGTTCGGATGAAGATTGGCATGGATCATTTCAATACAATGATTGTCGGTGCTGTCGATGCCGCTTTTTACCCCTGCGACTGGAGAAAGCACAGATTAAGTAGAGAAATCATCTTTATCAGCTGTGTCTGTCCATGGGAAGAGAAGACAGCTCCGTTACGACCTACTAGAACTGCATCTTGACTCAGAGAACATCTTTTCCAGAACACTTGTGAAAAAATAACAGTCATCCAAATTTCACTTTCAAGTCTTTTCAAAAAACCTTCTAAAACGATATAAAGCTTTCTTACTTAGACATCAAAGTAAAGAAATAAAGAAATAAAGAAAAGAAAAAAGACGACTTAGTTTGCATACACATCTAAGCTATTTGTTGCTATTGTCTACTGTCTCTTTTCGTATCTCATTTCACATGAAGCATATCTATATCTGTAGATCCATGGACAATCATTCTTTTTTCTGCAAGCAGACCTTGAGAAAATCTATAGTTTTTCTTCGCCTTTTTATCTTTTTTTTTTCTGTTCTCACTCGTATAACTTGCTTAAATCGAATGTTCTCATCCTATTTCAATCTAAACCAACTAGACCAATAGTGGGGGACGATGTCTAGAACTAGTCTGTGTTTTATCTTGAATGAAAAAGAAAAAAAAGAACGAATATACGTTTTGTAGCAAACTAGAGTCTTGAGCAGCTTTTTTTTCTTTCTTTATCTTGTCCTCTCATATTTTCAAGTCTTGGAAAAAACAGAGAGGTATGTATACAATATTGTATTGATTTAGCTAATACTTTTAGCCCTCTTTTCTGATGTTTCTTCAAGTCAAACCATACCAAGGCGTCTCTTCTTTGCAAATATAGAAACTCGAGCTTCTCAATACGTATTTTGACAAATGGTTTATCTATCTTTTCGTACAAACCAAGAAAGAAAATAAACAAAAAGAACACGCGTCTCGACAAGGATTCTCTTTGTTTCTCTCTCCTCTCTCTGTCCCTCTTTCTGGCCTTATCTCCATTGGTAACTGGCTAGTAGAACGAAGACTGATTTCGCTTATTGAATCGCGTAAATCAAACGTATCTGTTGTTGGCCAATTTCCATAAACCTCTACTCCTGAAGGGCTTTGCCTTGAGGGACACATAGTAGACCTGTTGGGAGGTTCGGTAGCAAGGAGTTCACAAACATTACCTGTGCTTCTCTCTCAGTACTGATAGGCTTGTTGTGAGGAAAGAGCCAACAGAACTAAGCTTTAGTGATAAGATTTATCCTCTGAATTCTACTGCAAGTTTACCGATATGATACGGCTAGTACTATATAAAGATCTGCTGTCTACTGTCTACTACAAAAAGTCTACTATCCACTGCGTAATGCTTGCTCTTTACTACTTAAAAACTTAAACAATACCACAAAATTATCATCATCGCCTCAATGAAATAAGACTCTAATACACATACACATCATTATCTCACATTAAAATAGAAATTGGTTCTTGTCTGCAGCAAACTAATAGACTGCGTCACTGTTTAAATCATAAAAAAAAGGCTTATCTTGTGAAACTCTTCACCAAAGCTCAATCGATAAGGCCAATAGTCGCTTTGCTTTTAAACAGCAGTTTTGTTTTGGCTGTAGATAAAAGAGGATGAGGGTTGTTTTGGAATTAATAGAGCGATTGTTGATCCGTAGACAATGTTTTTTGACATCAGTGACGACCAAAAGCCATGTTTATATGACTAGAAGAGAAAAACAATTCTAACCCATCATGCCTTATAAAAGACTTGTAGTCTTAGCAGCAAAAGCCAAGATTTGTCTGTAGTTCCTCACACAAGCAATATATATATATATATATTCTAACAGCCCATAATAAGGAAATGCTTTTCTAGCATCAATAAATATACTACAAGAGAAAGTATAGTTTTGTTTGTTTTATTTTCTTATCTATAGATTCTCTCAGCTCTTTAACAACCTTCACTTTTAAAGGAAATATGCTTGATAGTAAACAATCGAATTAAAGCAAAGAAGTATGCATCTAATAGCTTTATGACAGGATTATTTTGTGATACTGTTTATTTTTGATATCGCGCTATAGGGCATATAGACTTGAGACTAAAAACACACATACACACACACTTCAGCTAATAGCAAGTATTTGGATAAAGGTTTCAACAGCCTCCACTCGAACACAAGACACACTTACCTATCCCCATACTAGCATTTGTATACTCGGAGACCAAAGCTTAGCAACCCTCTGAAAACAATCAAGAATCTTTACTGATATGCCTGCTCGAGAATCTCATCAGTTTGTTTAGATCCATTATATGGCTGTGTTATGAACGTCAAATCTTCTTCTTTTGGATAGCGGCTCCTGACTTGCATGAATGCAACTCTCTCCTTTTAGTCTCTGTATCTCTTGTTGTAAGCAATAGTGGGCTTTATTGCCTTACAATCAGGACTCGTCTTTGACTAGATCTTGTAATGATGTCTTTAACACGGTATAATATTACGTCTTGCTTTTGTGCGCCTAAATCCTAGTGGCTAGAGTTTTTTTTTCCTCTCCTTCTTTCTAACAACTTGATCAAACATTCATTGTAAGTGTTAATAAAGAGAAAAAGAACGGTCTTCAAAGCAGAGAGTAAAGAAGAGCGGAACTTGAAATCCCTGGCCTCCTTTTTACGCAACATTCACTGTTTGTCAAGTCATAAGCTGCCTTTTTCACCTCAAGACTATCAAGTATTGTAGTATACCTTTCTGGTATATGCTATTCACATCAAACGGTATGCCTAACTACCCTTTCACTAGCCAATATCTACTGAAAAGGACTTCTCTTGTACTGATTACAGTGTACAACGAATTTTGAGTGCAGATTTGAAGGCACTACTCAGATTAGCTCGAATTTTTCATCTTGGTTAACTCGCTTTCTTTTTCTTAGAAGTATCAAAACATAGTCTCAGCTGATGTTAGTTGGATCAGACCTTGATTGGGTCATTTCAAAAATTCTTGTTCGACTTTTTTTTTGTAAATTCATCTTATATCAGAGATTTATTTTCTGAAATTATAAAATTTTATATGGCATCAATGTAATTATATATTCTTTGTATACTGTTATATGAATAACAACAAATCCGTTATTATGTCATATTTTTCTCCCAAACCACGATAAATATGTATAATACCAGATAAGAACGTCTTTACTGAAGAGAGAACTATTTAAATTTATATAGGGTATTCGAAGCACAGTTATAAATAGGCTTTTATTCAAATAGACAGGTGTACATATAATCCATCTTTGCATGTAGACGCAAACTTACTAAAGTACTAAGCCTGAGTAAAAGGGAGTGATATGCTTTGTCATGCAGAAATAGACCATTGATGTTGCGGAGAATCTTGCTGACTTAACTTACCTTTGTATACTACTTTAGAGACCTTGCTACATAGATTAAGAGATTCAATTAGTTAGGATAGATTAATAAGTGCATTTCAATACCTTCAGACACTAAGATAAGCTGTTTTTTTAGCATTATTATACAAGAAAGCAATTAGAAAGAGTTTAATCTAAAGTTAAAGACAATACCTTGATTACCTTATCTAGTCTATTTTCTTTATTGACTTAAATTGTTTTGAATAAGTTGGAGAGAATCCCTCAAAAAAAAATCTGCAATGGGATATTATGCTCTAATTATGGAAAGAAAGAAAAACTCTGGTTGATAACCTTCCTCACCAAAGTAAATGACGATTTTAACCGATATCACTAGAAAGTTGAGTTGAAGAGGAAAAGAGCAAAGTAAGAAAAAAGTTGCAAGCACATAAGTAATTGGGTGGTAATGAGTGCATATGCTTCAAAACAGTGACTAGTCAATGCAAAGTAGAGTATAGCCAAGTAAGTAAACTGTCAATACTCTACGTTCGCCAATAGAATTTTGGATTTTTTAACACAATAGAAATTCAATAGCTTTATTTGGTGAGGCTAAAAACTCTGATATAATTCAAAAATAAAATCGTACGTTTTGTAATCCTGCAATTAATTTTATGAAAAAGAAGACAATGATAAGGATAAGGATAAATAGAAAATAAACGAAGTGATAAAAAAAGGAAAGAAAAGAAACTAACAAAAGACATTTGGCTTTTTTAAAGCAGTAATACGAAACAATTTGTAAATAAAGGGGCTTTATTATTTAAGCGAGAGCTTTTTTTTTTTCGGAATAATCGATTATACTCTCAGATTGACTTTTGTCAACGATTTAAGGTATATTAAACAGCCAATCAAAATTATAGGCTATCTTGAACCATTGTTAAAAGTCAATAACAAACCCCTAAAATAATACCCAAAATAGGAAACAACACTCTACACTTTTCATAAGATAGCGGTAAGATGAAATGATGCATAAAAACCACTATGGTTGTGAGCAATTTGATTTGTTCTACCAATTCTCTACATGCCTATGCATATCTACAGTAAAGTATTTGCCTTTTTCCTTGATGCATTGATATAAAGATCATGAAAGAGAGTTTCATCCTACATCTACCTGCAATACATTTGTCTATAGATATACAGAGTTTATCTAAATTAATGTAAGGTTTTTTATACTATAGATGATGTATGCTTTTAGATAGCCATTTATAGAATAACATATTTTATCTGATATAAAACTCACTTTATAGATTTATATATCGGCTATATTTTAATAAAACTTAAACAGATTTATATAACTTTTATAATATTTTCTGATATAATAAGCTGGTTATGATTTTAAAAAATTTTCGGCCACTGTGATAAAAATTATATAAAAAACCAAAGGAAAACGAAAGAAGAAGGATAAGACATGCTTATACCACGGGTTTCTTTACAAGTTAATAATTAACTGTTACAGTATCAAGAAATCAAAAGGAAGAATTTTCAGTGACCTAATTTTCAGAAGAGGAAGAAATCTTCCATCACCCACGCTGTAGTGATATCTCTACAAAAAAAGTAGCCAGAGCGATGAAGAAAATCATGAAAAGATTTGTATACCTCAGGCCTCTATGATCACTGTGATGGGCTTACAAAAAAAAAAAAAAAAAAAAAAAAAAAAAAAAAAAAAAAAAACATTTTCAAAAATGATAAAAATTCTAACAGGTATGCCGTAATTACAAGTATGACATTTGCGTACTCAAAATAATTTTTCAAAAATATTTTTGTAACAAAACAATAAAAGCCTGTTTTCATTTTTCTGTTTTAAATAAATAAACGGGTCTACCGGATGTTGTTGATTCTACTTTTTATGATCATAAGCATTAGCAAAAGTATGTTCAATTCATTATGAAATATTTGATTAAATATAACAAA